TCTAGGGACTCCATCATTCCCACTTTTCTGCACATACAACTGCATTAGTAGACATGAGTGGCTGTGCGATACCAGCACCACAGTGTCAGTGGTATACGAGCAGGTTGTGTGGCTCTGCAGAGATCATGTTCTTTGTGAACGTTCAACGTAAGAAACCAAAACGCCCATCCACAGACTGACTTCCCACACACGGCAGATGAACTCCTGTTCCTGTCTATAATGGCTAGGAGCTGCGGACCAAGTAGCTCCTGAAACTGAAGACACTCGAGAACAAGTGACGGCCAGGGACATGGAGCAGGTCAAGCAGGTGGTCCTGGTTTTTCATTCAAGGGTGTACCCCTCTACATAGCAGAGAGCTTCAATAGGGAGCAGGGTTCTTACTGGATTAAGAGATCATAGGTAGGGTGGGACCCCATCCCGGAAGGCTAGAACTTGAGAGAAATGCCAGGAAAGATGTGACAAGCACCTCAACACCTGAACTTCTCTCAGACTCTTGCCCAACTCCCAACCTGCATGGAGTGGAGCTCAGCAGGAAGGGCAACCTTAGAGCAACTCCGCTGCCAAGGGCCAAGGAGGCAGAGTCGGAAGTTCAAGGTCCCCAGGGCAGGCTTGATGGTGCAGGAGGTGAAGCCTCTGCTTGGGACGCCGTGCCAGTGTTCCTGGGAAGGCAGTGGAGGATGGCCCAAATGCTTGAGTGCCTACCACCCATGTGGGAGACCTGGAATAAGCTCCTAGTTCCTGGCTCTGGCTGGCCCAGTCCTGGCTGCTGTAGTCATTTTGGGAGTAAACAAGCAAAGAAAAGGTGTCTGCCTCTCCCTGAAATAAACAATAAAATTATGTAAGTCTTGGAATCTCATTGAACCTTGGGATAGTATGCCAGGGCTGGGCACCCAAACACAAGGGATGTTACCTCCAGGAAATAAACAGGGTGTCTGGAGGAAAGGGAATTTGGAATCTAGGACAAGCGGTGAGGGACTTTTCTGTTCCATATGCCCCCGTGCTATTCAAAGATTTTGCTTTGTTATTGTCCATTCTTTTAAAAATATACATATTTATTTACTTTATTGGAAAAGCAGATTTACAGAGAGGAGAGACACAGAGAAAGGTCTTCCATTTGTTGGTTCACTCCCCAAGTGGCTGCAATGGCCCAAGCTGAACCGATCTGAAACCAGGAGTCAGTAGTCTCTTCAGGGTCTCCCACATTAACGAAGGGCCCCAAGGCTTTGGGGCAATCCTCTACTGCTTTCCCAGTGGGGGTTGCAAGGCGAAGATTTAGTCACTGGGCTATCACATTGTTCTCGTCCATTCTTTTTCTTTAAGATTTTCATGGGAAAGGCAGATATACAGAGGAGGAGAAAGAGAGGAAGATCTTCTATCCACTGATTCACTCCAAGTGACCCCTGTGGCTGAGCCAATCCGAAACCAAGAGCCCAGAGCCTCTTCCAGGTCTCCCATGCGAGTGCAGGGTTCCAAGGCTTTGGGCTGTCCTTGGCTGCTTTCCCAGGCCACATGCAGGGAGGGGGATGGGTGGCTTGGATTAGAACTGGTGCCTGTGTGAGATCCTGGTGCCTGCATGATGAGGACTTCAGCTACTCAGTTTTGGGGGAATGACTGGACTGCTTTGGTTGCTCCTTCTCACCACCTAGTGGACTTTGGAGGCATAACAGCCACTGCTGTTTCCTGGGCGATCCCACCTTGGCGATGTTACGTGATGTTTAGTGAGTTTTGCAACAGTAAGAAACATCGATCACATATAAAGCTAATAGATAGGAAAATAAACCCTCCATCACTGATGACCACTCCAACTTTCAGATCTAGATGAGCCTGACCCTTGGGCCCACCAGCTATTATCTCCTGGCTGTCCCCAAAGATCCATCCATGCTGCCTCAAACTTGGACAACACTCTCGTTTCCTGCATTCTACTGTTGGCTCTGTGACTTGCTAGCTGTGTGACCAGTGCAGGCCCCTTAACCTCTCTGAACCTCAGTGTCTTTAAGTACTAGCCATCGTAGCTCCCGCTAAAACACAGGGGAACAAAAAAGAAACACAGGGGGAAAAAAAAAGGCCACAAGTCGTGGGGCAACACACTGGTTCAACCACCAGCACGGACATCCCCTACGGGCGCTGGTTCATGTCCCGGCTGTTCTACTTCCCCTCCGGCTCCCTGCTATGGCCTGGGAAGGTAGTGTAGGATGGGCCAAAGCCTTGGGATTTTTGCACCCACGTGGGAGACGCCAGAAGCACTCCCCACCTCCATATTTGTATTTTGCTTTTATTTCTTTCATGCCAGAAACCTTCTGAGCAGAAAACCAATGGAAGGAAGAGCTTCCTCCTCCTGGTAAACCTGCCTTCCCAATAAAAATAATCTACTTTTCAAAGATTTATTTATTTTTATTGGAAAGTCAGATGTACAGAGAGGAAGATCTTCTGTCTGCTGATTTACTTCCCAAGCGGCCGTACTGGCTGGTGCTAAGCCGATCTGAAACCAGGAGCCAGGAGCTTCTTCTGGGTTTCCTACACAGGTGCAGGGTCCCAAGGCTTTGGCCTGTCCTTGACTGCTTTCCCAGGCCACAAGCAGGGAGCTGGATGGGAAGTAGGGCTGCTGGGATTAGAACCGGCGCACATATAGGATGCCAGTGAGTGCAAGGCGAGGACTTCAGCCACCTGGCCACCACGCCAGGCCCAAATAATCTTAAAAAAGGCTGGGGGGGGGGGGTGGTGGCCAACGAAGCCGACTTCCCTGACAGTGTACACTTCTGAAATACACAAGCTTGTGTTTTTATTACCAAGTCCATCCTAAGACCGTGAGATGTGCAGTTGCACAGTCTGATTTCTAATTTCTAATAATTTCTAATAATTTCTAATAATTCTCACATGGGTCAGATGTTATTCCCATGCACAAACCCTTCCATGGATTCCCACGGACCATAAGACAAATGACAGAATGTTGACCAGCTATGCCAGCAGGACCCAGCAGGACCAAGCCACACAGCAGGTGTGGAAGTGAAAGCAGGGTTGAGCCAGGCTCCTGGTAGGGGCTATGCTGTAAGAGTCCTGGCTTGAGGATCTGGCATGGTAGCCTAGTGGCTAAAGTCCTCACTTTGCACACTCCAAAGGATCCCATATGGGTGCTTCTCCTAGGTCTCAACTTCCTGAAGCTTCATGTGCCCTTTAAGTTCGAATTTGGTTTTCTGCCAATCTGCTACAACTCCGTAACCCTGTCCCCACGTATCCACTGGAACCTCATGGCATCGTGTCAGGCAGCCCTATCCAACAACTCCTCGCGGGCCCTTATCCTTGCCCACCCCTGCACCCACCAATCCCCTGAGGCCCCAACCATCCTATCCACCAATCCTTCATGGCCCCCTGATGCCCAGCCATGGCCACAAGAAGGGTCTTCCCCTCCCCCTCTTCGTCTGGCTGTCCCCCTCTCGCCCCTGCCCTTGAGGTCACCCTGAGGGTTTGCCATGGCCAGTGTTCAGCACACAAGGAAGTTTTCCAACTCCGACTCTTCTCACGGACGTGCAATCCACAAGTCAGATCCAGCTGCTTCTACGTGACAGCCAAGAGACCAAAACACTCAAGATGAGCAGTCAGAGCACCACCAAGACACAAATGTCCCTTCTGGAAGGTTCCGTGGAGTGTACCGGAACTGTGGGGCAGGCTCTCTACAGATGAGCAACCTCCACTCCTCAGGATCCAATCTCTACTTCTGCTGAACAGAAGGTAGGCCAAGCCCAGTCCACACACGGCCTTTGCACAAACTGGAGAAATTAAGAAAAAAGCTGGCCACCCCCCAGGCAACACTGTCCAGGGACTGGGCTCAGGCTCATCTCTCCACGCCCACGTGGCCCACAGAGCCTGAAGCACAGGTTCTCCCCTCGTTGGGCCACCCCAACAACACCCTCAGCCTGCCATGGCCAGCATTCGGCACCTGGGACTCACACCCGCTTTGTCACCTCACCCAAGCCACAGCCGACATCTGGAAGCACGCTGCACACCAAGACGCCTGCACAGCCCAGATAAGACCCCACAAGCTGGCAAGCTGGACACTGCTTCTCTCTCAGGCTGCCTGGGAAAAACCCAAAGTCCATGGGGGCCTGGTTCCCTCAGCTCCCATCAGGAGCCACAGACAGACAAGCAGCTCACAGCACACTGTGTGGGTCACCCCCTCCTAACCCCTTGGCTTCCTCCATCTGGGGGTTCCAGTTTTACAGTCAATTCAGTCCCCACAGCCAGGGGCTTCAGGAACTCCCTGCTGGCTCCCTGCCCTGGCCCAACTTCTCCAGCTCTGGGCTTTGCTGACCTCTATTTATTCCATTTTTTTTTTTTTTAAACTAACCAACTTTCTGGATTTTGCAGACTGTCCCTTCCTTACGTCATAACATCCAAGACTCCATCACTTGTAAGAAACATCCAGTTTCAAGAGATTAAAATGCAAAATAAAAAAGCTCCAGCCTGACTATGCACTGCTAGTGGACACGCTCAGCTACGGTTTCCCAGCAGGAAAACTGCAAAAACAAAGCTTTTTTTTTTTTCTTTACTTCGAGAGAAATTGTCACCACACCCCTCCCTCCCCGAAGCCTTTCACCACCTCCTTCCCACTTCCTCAGAACAAGTTTGCTGCTTTGCAGGTTTCTAAATCAACGGTCAGTGAACCAAATGCAAGACCTGATCTAGCAAACTTGTCTGTGACAAGAGAATATTTTAGTATTCTGTGAGCACATTTCCTACAGGGCAAATGCCCCACATCTAATTACAAGATACATGATTTTTTAAAAAAAACTCTTTCTAACACGCTTTGGAGCATGAATAGGGTTTTCCTGACAGAAGCCCACTTCGGACAAGTTCAGCTATGAGCAGCCCAGACCTCGGGCGCTCCGGCGCGCCGCCTGCCGGCCAGCCACAGCCTACGCACACACACGCAGCCCCCGCCCCGCCGTGCGGTCGACTGCGCCTGCGCACCCTGAAGACCCCCCCCACCACCGAGGCCATCCTAGGCCGGAAGCGGAAGTGAGGTCGAGCGAGTCCCTCGTTGGACCCGCCGCAGCCATCTCCCCCATCCATACCACCACTACCACCGACTTTCTGGGCCGGGAGGACGAGCGGATTCGCCGGAAGCGGAAGTGGCTGGGGGTATTGGGGGTGTGGTGAGGGCTCAGTCCGGGTTCGCTTCCCGCGTCTGAGGTTCGAGGCTCTGCTGGGCAGGGCAGAGAGAAAGCGCCGTCTCGAGACCTCGCCAGCAAGGCCGTGGCCCCCGGGGTCGTGTCCCTGCGAGTCCCGCCACCCCCCGGATCCCTTCCCTGCGGCGTGAGGCTCCTGTCCGCCTTCCCCACCCCGCAGACCCCCACGCGCCATGGGCAACACGAGCAGCGAGCGCGCCGCGCTGGAGCGGCATGGGGGCCACAAGACACCCCGGAGGGACAGCTCGGGGGGTACCAAGGACGGGGACCACCGGCCCAAGATCCTGATGGACAGCCCCGAGGATGCCGACCTCTTCCACGCCGAGATCAAGGTGCGGGGCTCGGGGTGGGGAGCGGCTCCCTGAGACCTCGGGGTGCGGGTTGTTGCGGGGAAGGAGCCCTCTGCCGGGTCCCGGCACCTACCTGCCCTGTGGCCCTGGAGCAGCCCACCAGCAAAAAGGGACCGGCGGGAACCAGCCGTCCTGAGGGAGGCGGAAGGCAACTCTGGAACGGGGCTTTATATTATTAATTAATGAAGACAGCTGAGCTGGCAGTAATTGCGCCCCAGCCGCCGGCTGTTCCTCTTAGGGGTAATTAATCTCACAGCCGCGGGAATCCTCGCCTCCCGCTTTGGGCCCACTGGAGCTGTTGGAACAGGTGATGACTTTAAGAAATGTTGCCTGTTAGCTCAAAGTGAGCACCGCTGACCGTGGCGATCACTGGTGTTTCGTGAAGCCTGAGGCTTCGCCTCGCTTACCGAAAGCAAGCATGGAGAATTCCCTGGGTTTTGGGGGGAGGTCAGTGGGACGGGGGAACTGTGGTTGTGAAGGAGGCCCCCGTGGGGTTTGAATGTGACTTGCTGCTTGAAGCGGGTCCACGTAGACCCCTTGGCAGTCCCATTTGGGCCTTATGCCACCATCTGCTTTCCTTCATCACCAGCCCAGCTGCGTCCCCTCTCCATCTCCAGCCTCGTTCCTACCAGCTGCCTTAACACGGCCGGTCCACTGTGACTCTGGCAGCTGATGTGGGTCTGGGGTGGCTGGGGAGAATGTTGTTGTGGTCCACTCGTATGCTCCTGGTCATCAGGCCTGGCCAGAGGGCCCGTTAGGGGGGATGACATGAATTCGCACCCTTGCTTTTGAGCCTTAACTCAAAAGAGTTAGAGTCTGCTGTCACCTGGCCCTGTGTCCTATGGCTTGAACTGGCTTTCTCAACTGGTTGCATTCCCGAAAAAGTTGTGTGCAAAAAGTGAACTTTGAAGTCCTGTTGACTCAACAGCCCTTCCTCACCCCATAGTACACTGGGCCCCCACCAGGTGGGTGATGGCACCCTATCAGAGGCAAAGCACGTTGTGCAACAAGTACCAGTTGTTGCTGAGGGCCTTGCTAGGCGTCTCGCAAGCGGGTGGGCTGGGAAGCGTAGCTTGTTGTGACCTCAGCAGTTACTGAGAGGCCCTGTGGCCGGCCACCATGGTCGGGCTTCACTGTCAGGCATGCACTGCATCACACCGTCCGCGGCCTGAGAGTCTGCTCTTGCCTCTAACTGCAGGTCTTGCTAGCATTCAGCAGGTGCACGCATCTCACGTATACTCAGGTCAGGGTGAGAAAAGAAAGTTCCAGAAGCTCACAGCGGGTGGGTCCCCTTCAGGACCTCTCCCATCCTGCAGCTGCCGCCCTTGAGAAAGTTCTGACTTGTGACTGGGAGAAAAGTTTTTTATAAAGGAAAAAAAAAATTCAACTGCATTTATCGCACCTGGCCAGAGTTAGATGTTCTGATTCCGGAATACTTCAGGGACGTGTGCTGGGCTGTGCTGGTGGTCCGTTAGCATGTGCTCCAACACAGGACCACTCTGTCTTATTTATAATCTTCTGACTGGTTCCAGAAGAAGCATCCCCATCTGTGAACAAACTGACAAGCTCTGGGCTCTGGCGTTAGTCCGAACGCATGTTCATGTACTTCCAATGTAGCTTAGTGAAGGAAGCAAAGTGACATTTGTTAAGCATCTTGCAGGCAGGTTTTATGACTTGCCCTACGGTTCTCATGTAGACCTCTTTTTTTTTTTAAGATTTATTTTTATTATTTTTTTATTGGAAAGGCAGATATACAGAGAGGAGAGACAGAGAGGAAGATCTTCCGTCCGATGATTCACTCCCCAAGTGAGCACAACGGCCGATGCTATACCGATGCGAAGCCAGGAGCCTCTTCCGGGTCTCCCACGCGGGTGCAGGGTCCCAAAGCTTTGGGCCGTCCTCAACTGCTTTCCCGGGCCACAGGCAGGGAGCTGGAAGGGAAGCGGGGCTGCCGGGATAGAACCGGCGCCCATATGGGATCCCGGGCGTGCAAGGCGAGGACTTAACCACTTGCGCCACCGCGCGGGCCCTATGTAGACCTCTTTTTAAGATTTATGCATTTGCAGGCCCCTCATCCTCTGAGCTACTCCCCCAAGTGGCTGCATAGGCCAGGGCTGTGCCAGACTCAAGCCAGGAGCCAAGCACTCCATCAGGGTCTTCCATGTGGATGCCCTGAGCGCAAGGACTTGGGCCATCCTCCACCACCTTTCCGCTCACATTAGCCGGGCCTGGAGCCTCGGAGACAGCGCCAGGATCCCAGGCAGCGACTGAGCCCAGTGCACCACAGGGCCGGCCCTGAACGCAGACTGCTAACAGCCGTGACAGACGCTAATTAGGGGCCATTCGTGCATGTCCCCATCACTTCACAGAACAATTTTTTAAAAGATTTATTTATTTTACTTGAGTTATAGAGAATTAAAAGGAGAGACGGGCATCTTTCATTCATTGGTTCACACTCCAGATGACCTTGACAGCCAGAGCTGAGCTAGTACCAAAGCCAGGAGCTTCTTCTAGGACTCCCATGTGGGAGCAGAGGCCCAAGACGTCGGGCCATCCCTGCTTTCCCAGGCCATTAGCGGGGGGACTGGATCGGAAGTGGAGCTGCCAGGACTCGAACTGGCAGGCTTAGCTTAAGCTGCTATGCCAAAGCCCCTTTGCACAACATTTTACGTAGAGTGTCTCTCAGTCTTCCCATTGACCTTAAGAATCCATTTTACTATCTCCATGTTACAGGTGGGGAAACTGAGGCACAACCAGCAAGCCTGACTGAATCTAGGTAGTGGCAGCTGCTGTCAGGGAGCTCCTAATGACTTCCTGTCCCTGAGAAAACTGCTCTGCCCCTAGGCGCCAGAGAAGGAAGAATTCCTGGCCTGGCAGCATGACCTGGAAGTGAACGACAAAGCACCTGCCCAGGCCCGGCCCACGGTGTTTCGATGGACAGGTGGCGGAAAGGAAGTATACTTGTCTGGGTCCTTCAACAACTGGAGCAAACTGCCTCTCACAAGAAGGTAATTCACCAGCTGGTGCTCGTCCTGCGCTTGCCTGACCCCTAGGTGCACTTGGTATGCTGGTTTCTAAAAGACGTGAGTGGAGTAGCAGAAGGGCCACCACTTAAAAAAATACAGAATGAGAAAATGATCTCACTTGGTACATCAGAGGGTCAGTCCCAACCTCAGAGAAGCTTCTGCTTCTTGGTTGCATGTCTCCAAGGCCGCTGGGGCTGGAGCTCTGGCCTGGGGTCTCCCGTGGGCTGCCCTGCTCCTCAGCTCCCAAGGCCCGGTTCTCCTGTCGGTAGGAAGGGAGCTGTGCTTGCTTCTGACCTTGAGCGCCCGTGCTCCTGACTGGAAGGTACAGGCTCCGCAGGCCTCGTCACTTCCTGGCACTTCCTCAGGAAGCCAGGCCAGTGTGGCTTCCTGCAGCAAGTTGTCCAAGAGAAAGCATGAGAACTGGTGGTGAGGTACATACGGCTGGTCACGCCTGCTTGAGTGTCCAGGGTAATGCTGGGCAGCTCAGTCCCAAGTCAGGAGCAAAGCCACGTGGAAGAAGGTTCCTGGAATCCTTAATCCCATCCCAGCCCCAATAGAATCAATGGCAAAGGATGGCTTGGCTCTTGATCTGGGGTGGCCGTCTTTGGCCTCCGGGGCCTCAGGGCTGGAGGGGCACCAATGCCTGGGGGACATCATTTTCACGTTAGGAATATGGTTCCCTAGCTTTGGAGCAGATCATGTTTTCTGGAAACCCTCCCGGCCGCTGCTTCCTTACTGCCCACCCTTCTAGCATGAGACCCTTCAACTGCATTGCCCCATTGCTTGAAACCGCTGCTCCCCCTGCAGCTGATTGAGGCTGAACAGGGAACTTCTTGTTTTGGCCCATGAGTTGTCTGGGTGGTCCAGCCAGCTAAGAGCTCTGCTTCCCCCTTCTTTGCAGCCACAACAACTTTGTAGCCATCCTGGACCTGCCAGAAGGAGAGCATCAGTACAAGTTCTTTGTGGATGGGCAGTGGACACACGACCCTTCTGAGGTACCCACCTTGCCCAGGCCTACGGGGCCAGTTCCCTGTGTATGTGTGACCGAGCTAGATGGCAGAGCCAGCATGGACTGTGGCCTGTGTGACTGGGAAGAGCAGGGTGGCCGCCAGGACCGAATACTCCACGGACCTGCCATGTTGTAATTTCTGTGTGTCTCTCCCCCAGCCCATAGTAACCAGCCAGCTTGGCACAGTTAACAACATCATCCAAGTGAAGAAAACGGACTTTGAAGTGTTTGATGCTTTAATGGTGGATTCCCAGAAGTGCTCCGATGTGTCTGGTATGAACGCAGTTATTCTATACACACATGTGCACGTGGGGGCTCTGCCGTCTAGACGTACCCTCCTTCCTCTCTTTCTTGCTTTCTTGCTGAAACCACCCCAGCAGGTGGATGCTTATAGCCATAGAACGAATCCTTGGCTCTGCCCGGTCAGGTTGCTGGTATTTTGCCCCAAGGGAGCCATGAGTCACGGTGCAGGAATGGACACGGACGGCAGTTCCTGGGACAGAGCCAGCGCTGGGCTCAGGCTTGGGGCTAGGCTGAAGAGGCCCTGGAGAAACGTGTGGGTTGGGGCCTAGCCAACTCGCGTCCCACCTGTGCCACCGGGAAAATTTCAACCTTGACAGGTGGCAGGCGGACACCTCCGTGACCTCAGCTGTCCCTTGTGTGTTCCTTTAGCACCAGGGCAGAAAGGGGCTCACATAGGAAGCAGGCTGTGCACCCCAGCTCTCAGCTGGGGAAATATGCTGCCTCCCACAGTCTAAATCCAAAGTTTCTACCCAGACCCCCTAGGTGGGAAGGAACTGCCAAGACTCCTGGCTAGAGTTCAGGCAGGAGGTGTGCACTCTGATCTGTAGTGAACTTCCTCTCCCTGGCGCGTGTGGGAGGTGGTGAACCCAAGAGGCTGGCAGCCCAGGCAGAAGTCAAGGGAGAGAGACAGTGTCCAAATGTCCTCCCCTTCTTAAAGACTGTAACACCAGGCCACACATCAAAGCTTACAGTCAAATGTCTTGCTGTGCACGAAGAAAACGGGCCCCTAGCTGCTGGTGGGCTGGGGTGGGCCAGCCAGCAAAGAGCCTTGCCGTCTGCCGCTGGGCCATCACAGGCGCTCGTCTGGGCAGTCACCTTCTTCAGCTGTCCCACGTGCCGCTTGTGGTTCTGGGTTTTGCTCTGCTTTTCCCAGTTCCCCGCTGTGATGTGACTGGCTCCTGTGAGGGGAGGAGCTGTCCCCTAGAGATGAGGTTGGGGGGCTCGGGTGAGCCAGAGTGCACTAGACGCTCTCTGGGTGGTGGCTCTGCCCTCTCCAGCTGGCCAGAAGTCACTAAGTCAGCTGCTTCCAACAGCTACAATTCTAGAAGCTTCTGAACACATCTGTATATCAAGATAGGAGCTTGAGCATGATGGACTCCAGGATTCTTTTAGAAAGCAGCTTTTCCATTTTGGGTTGGTTTTATTTTTCTGTGGGGAAGGTGCTGTGCCTTACGCAACCTGTTTTCTCCCAGACAAGGAGGCAGCTGTGTCTGCTTCATTGTGACTGGTGGTGGTTGCAGCTTGAGCTGAGCCCCTGAATCTTCTCCCGAGGCCTCAGTGCTGTGGCGTTCGCCAGCCCAGCCAGATGCAAAATGGAGGCGTTCCCGAGCTGTGGAGGGGGGCGGGTGTCCGAGAGCCACAGCCTCCGGGGGGTGCGCACACCTTCATGCACGTTACACAATTCCTGAGGCCTTCCTCATTTCCTCTGTTGTTTACCCTCAGAAACTGTATCCTTCTAGAAAGTAGGAACTCTATATTGAGACAAGCAAAACTAGGTGACAACACTGTGAGTTACACAAGACTGCCCCCAGGACTCAGCATTTTCAACAGACGTCCTGTCCCCCATCTGTCCACAGAGCTGTCCAGCTCCCCACCAGGACCCTACCATCAGGAGCCCTATGTCTCCAAGCCGGAGGAGCGCTTCAAGGCCCCACCCATCCTGCCGCCACACCTGCTGCAGGTCATCCTGAACAAGGACACAGGCATTTCTGTGAGTACCGGGGCACCTGCTCTGCCTGCTGTCCACTGCTCCGGGCGGCCACTGCATGAGCCAGCATCAGCCACCCAGCTTGCCCCTTCACAGTGAGCTGTGTAGGAGTACTCCACCTCAGGCTCCCACACCTTAGAATTCAGTTTCAGCCACTACATTGCCTCCAGAAACAGTGGTGCCCCTGGATCAAAACCTGAGGTATCGGGCCAGTATTCTCCCCTGGGCAGTTGATAGTGCTTGCCAACAGCCAGCGTGTCTCCTAGCTCCTGGCAGGCAGCCAGCTGTCCCCTTTGCGCTTTGGCTGTGTAAATGCACAGGGGCCTGCTTCTGAGGACCTGGACAGTCGGGACAGCCCTGGTGAGGACATCACTGTTGTGTCATCCCAGGACCAAAGGTCGAAGGGCAGAGAGCCACACACTCCAACACGTCTGCTGTCGGGTAACTGACACGGCCTCCTTGTAATGCCAGTCCCTTAGCGAGGGCAGTAAATCATTAGGCCTCGTGTCTCAGCCGTGTTGTGCTAAAGACCCAGTTCAAATACACGCACTTGAACCTCAGCTAAAGTGACCATGCAGCCCCACCCAGTGCAGGAGGTGTGGGCCAAGCTGAGCAAGATGTATCCCGTACAGGTGTCCCCACACAGATGCCTGCAGGGCTGCCAAGGCAGAGTCTCAGGGTTTGTTCACCACCTGCCCTGCTGGGTCAAGCCCTGTGCAAGCGGAGGGCACTGGGCAGGGACAGCACCACAAACAGGCAGCGGGTGAGGGGCTGCGGGGACACTGACCTCTGTCCTAGATGCACTTGGGGGAAAGTGTCTTTTGTGTGTTTGTGTGTGTTGTTCGTTTGTTCTTTAACATTTACTTAAAAGGCAGAGTTATAGAGAGGACGGGGGGGACAGAATTTTCCCTCCACTGGTTCACTCCCCAAAAAGCCACAGTGGCCAGGCCTGGGCCAGACCGGAGCCAGAAGCCCAGGGCTTCTGGATCACGCACATGCATGCAGGGGCTCTAGTACTTGGGCCGTCCTCCACTGCTTTCCCGGGCCACAGGCAGGGAGCTGGATGGGAAGTTGAGCAGCTGGGACCCTGAACTAGCACCAAAAGGGGTGCCAGTATCGCAGGTGGAGGTATAACATACTGTGCCACATTGCCAGCCCCATGTAAGCCAGTGAGGGAGTTTCCTGTTCTGTCCCCACCTCACAAAAGCCAGCATCACTAACTGCCTTCTCCAAAGGAGACTGATTCTGGAGCTAGACCAGCTGGGACTAGAGACCAGGCAGGGAAGGCCGGGCCCCTCTGTCCGAGGCAGCCCTGAGCGCTGGCTAGATGTCGGCACCAGTTACAGTTGTAACTGACTTAGTGCACGCACAGCAGTGCTGTGGACTCAAGACTGCGAGACCCGCATTTAGGTGAGGGGAGAGTGGAACTCGGAAGGTCAGTAGCACCTTCTGCCTGAGCGGCTTCCAGGCCTGTAACTTGGGGGCCCTGCAGGCATCGGGCTGCACGGCAGAGCTCCTGGGGGTCTGCTCACGCCCATCTGACGACCCTGGACTAACAGCTCATCACCAGCAGCCTCACACAGTCACAACCACCATCCTTCTTAGATCCCACGCACCAGCGAGCACATGGAGCATGTTTCTGGGCCTGGCTTGCTGAGAATAGTGTCTACAGGCCCTGCACGGTAGCCTAGTAGCTAAAGTCCTCATTTGCATGCACTGGGATGGGCTCTGGTTCTAATCCCGATAGCCCCACTTCCCTGCTTGTAGCCTGGGAGAGCAGTCGAGGATGGCCCAAAGCCTTGGAACCCTGCACTCACATGGGAGACCCGAAGAGGCTCCTAGAAGAAGCTCCTGGCTTCAGATTGGCTCAGCTCCGGCCTTTGCGGCCACTTGGGGAATGAATCAGTGGGCAAAAGATCTTCCTCTCGGTTTTTCCTCCTCTTTGTATGTCTGACTTTCCAATAAAAATAAATCTTAAAAGGAATAATAAAGTAAATGAATAAAGAAGAGTGTCTTATGCTGTCACAAATGGCAGGGCTGCCTTCCTTGCTAACACGGAACACTGCGGCGGCGTGTGTGTGTTAACGTTTTCCTGTCTGCCCGTGCGCTGTGGGCTGGCTCTTGGAGCGATCATGAGTAATGCTGTAAAGAATACCAAGTTCAGATGTCTCTCACTGACATCATTCCTTTGGCTGTGCTCCGTGGGACCGCTGGGTCATACAGGGGTTCTTGGAACAGCACACTAAGAGAACAGATTTAAGTGATCATTGTGTGAGGTGGTACATATGCTAACATTCCACGTGGCCAGTACGTAACACACACACACGTAAGTACTTTAAAACCTGTCATACATAATAATTACTCTTATGTAATTTTCTAAAAGAAACTAATTTTTTGAGCGGCAAGAGGAGAGGACCCAGCCAGTGACTGATCCCCTGAACACCCTCAGCAGCTGAAGCCAGGAGCTGCTAACTCCCTCTGGTCTTCAGGGTGGCAGGGACCCACGCCCCGTGCCCTCCCTGCTGCTTCCCAGGGCTGTGTCATCAGGAAGCCACAGTCTGAGCAAACAGGACCAAGTCCAAGCACTCCGGCGTGGGACACGGGTGTCTTAACTAAGTCACATCCCCGTTCCCTGTACATACAACCTGTCAGCTTCAAAGTTAATGGAAAAACAAATCTTGCGGGTTCACAGTAAATGGCTGAGACAGTGTGCAGGGCAGGCAAGGGCCCAACTCTGTGCTCTCACCAGACAAACCTGCAGGCGTCCCTCCAAATACCTGCTGGGTGCTGACAAAATGATACCCTTTTTTAAGTTATTTGAATTAACATTCAAGTTAAAAGTGTACAAAAAGAAATATAGGTTTCTGGCTTCTGTCTTCAAAAAAAAACAGCCAACACCCAGTGCCAGTCTCCTGTGTGAGCTTTGGTGGCTCATTTCATCCTTCAAGTTCATGGTCGGAGTCTTACAGAGGTTGGACATCAGCTGGGCTTAGTCTGGCGTATTTCAGTGGTCACTGAAAGTGCTTCCCAGCCAGTTCCCTGGCTCCTGCCTGTGCCTCAGAATAGGATGGTGGGAGAGGCACAGGCGGAGGAGCCCCAGGGCTGCCCAGCAGCTCCTCTGGCAGGCGTGCGGGCTCCCTCCAGCTTATAGAGCATGACTGCCCCCGAGGACAAGCCTTTCTGCTGTGCCTGCTGTGGGAGGATGCCCCGGGAGACCCTATTGTTTCCCATCCCATGAATGTTCACATCTGCCTCTGTTTCCTCAGTGTGATCCAGCCTTGCTCCCTGAGCCCAACCATGTGATGCTAAACCACCTCTACGCGCTGTCCATCAAGGTAAGGGCCCATGCAGGGCTGACTCTCGGAGTCTGCGCCAAGGACTCCCCACTCCCCCAGCAGTAGGATCACCTGGGCCAGCTTCTGCTGGCTCAGGTCCTGGGTGGGCCTAGGGATCCCTGTCAAGCCTCTTCAGGAGTCCTGCAGACTGAGGTTGAGCCCACAGGCAGCCCTGCCTTTGCCAACTGTCACCCTTTTCCTTTAGGATGGCGTGATGGTGCTTAGTGCAACCCATCGGTACAAGAAAAAGTACGTCACCACCCTACTGTACAAGCCCATATGATGAGCCAGGAGCTGGTGGTGGGCTGGGAGCAGTCTACACCACCACGCTCCACATATTCTGGCTTCCCCGACCGAGGGACGGACCACACATTGCTCATCGTGCACGCTCTCAAAGACACTTCACACCTGCCCTGTGCTCCCTGAAGGTGCAGTCTCCCAAGGCCTCCTGGTGTTGTGGGCCTTGGGGGCCCCGAGAGACAAGTGAGTTGGGGGCATGAGGCTGTGCAGCACTGGACAACAGGTGCAGTTCTGAACATGGGGCCTCTCAACCTGCTCGCAGAGAGCCCCAGCTGAGTGCCAGCCACCTGCTGGCCAAGATTCAGGAAGCAGGAAGAGAGGTCACACAAGGCTTGTGCCGCTTCCTGTCCTGGTGCCTGTCATGGCCTGGCTGTGGGTGCTCAGTCATGTCACTCTTACCTATCCTTCATAATCAAAGCAATACGTCGGCTCCCTTCCTGTACTCACAAGGATGCGATTTCTGTAGAAATTCAAAGCTGTCCGATTTCCAGATGAAGTTTTACAATCATCTCTTCTACTATGTGCACTAAGAACTTTCTGTTACCAAAGGCGGCTGGGCCTGCAGCCCCAGTCAACTTGGAAGTCACCAGAGCTAGAATCTAGATTATGGGAGCTGCTCAGCAATAATCTTAAGAGAGCTGCCAAGCCACACAAGCCACCCCCTCTCATGACAGCTGTGCCACCCCACTCGGCGCCAGGGCCCTAGTTGGCCATGAGAGAACCGGGAGCCGCACCCGGGCACCCTGGCATGGCGCCTGTCAGTAGCAGCTCCTGTCCCCACTGTTGGCATGGGTGTGGTTTCCACTATGCACTCGGTAGACCGGAGTTCTGGATACCCTGCTTTTGTTACTGTTTTCAGAACACTCAATTGTTTTCATCTTGACATACAAGTTTGAATAAAGTTTGTAAAGCAAATTTGAACATGCACTTACAGGAAGCCTGATTTTATTTATTACCATCCTTGTGGCAAGTGCATAAGGCTGCCCCTGGGCCACACATGGCCATAACCACACTTCATGACAACTTCAGCAATCATGAAGTGAGGTAATGGCCTAGCTAGGCTGGCAGCATCCTCAGATGGGAATGTTTGCTTGTCTAGCTCCTTAGGGAATCAAGGATCGTGGACCTGGCTGGTGAGGGCAGAGCACTCATGGAATTGGCTGGAAAGCACTCTGTCCCTCCTCCCAGAGTGAGCAAAGGTTACCAGTATCTGCACCTGCCATTTCATGGGCATCAGGACACAGTTACAAATGAATTGGGGGCAGCATTCCAAGCAGGGTTGTGCTGCTAATGGCACTAGCCACTTAGAAATTCCTGGAGTTACATGAAGGAAACACAACAGTCCTGGTTAGAAGCAGCTGTGTTGTGACAGTGCTACTGTGGCCCCACCTGTAAGAGGAATTGAAGAATCTGGCCTGAATCAGCTCAGAGGGAGCCCCTGGCCTCAGCAGAAATGTGGGAGGTCAGCAAGGCCAGTATGTGATGGCTGTACCCACAGTGCAGAAGACAGTGTCAAAGTCAGAACTTGTCTTCTCTCAGAAGCCCCTTGAGTCCTGGGGCTGCAGCCAAGGCACAGGCAGAAAACACTTGATGTGGGCATCAGGTGGCATTCTCCACACTTGTGTGTATATTTAAACTATATATATTTTTTCAAGATTTAAAAGGTAGGGCTAGTGTATTTGTGTAGCAAACTAATCCTCTGCCTGCCAGCACTGGCATCCCATATGGGTACTGGTTCATGTCCAGCTTCCAGTTCCCTGCATACGGTCTGGGAAAGCAGGGGAGGATAGCCTCTATACCCACATGGGAGACCTAGAACTAGCTCCTGGCTCTGGATCAGCTCAGTTCTGGCTGTGGTGGCCATTTGGAGAGTAAACCAGCAGTTGGAAGATCTGTCTCTCCTAGCTTCCATTTGCTGGTTCACGCTCCAGATGTCCTCAGAGTCCAGGCCAAAGCCAGGAGCCCAGGGCTGCTTGAGGATTGCCTGTGTGTGCAGTGGCCAAGGACTTTGGCTGTCCTCTGCTGCTTACTGAGCATACCAGCAGGGAATCGCATCAGGAGAGGAGCACCCAGGTCTCAAACTGGCACCCACAGGGGATGCCAGCGTCCCAGGCAGTAGCTTTATCTGTTATGGCACAATACTGGCCAGAGAACCCATTTTGTTTAGAAAGCAACACACACGGAAATTCCTAATGGCCTGGATGGTTGCCATAGAGCTCAATTAAGGCATGTACCCGGGAAGCCAAAGGAAATGGAAATGACCTTACCACAGAGGAACAGGAATGGCCCACTTTGCACGAGTCCCAGGCTCAGCCACCTGTCACGTTAGGACACCCCGTGACCTAGGTAGCACTCGCTCCATTAGCATATGGGTGAAGAGTGGTTACACGTTAAAGCTTAACTCAAATAGCTTTTGAATGAAGATAGATCTCTCCCTCCAGAAATGTATATGCAAACAAATTTATGGAGCCAAAGGCAAGGCTTAAAAATTACTGAAATGAAAAAAATTTTTTTTTTACTAATATGTAGAACAGGATTGAAAGGTGAATGCAGTATCCCTTGGGAGCTGTGGTGGTTGTTTCCAGGACTCCGTGGGGTCACCAAAATCCAGATGCTCCAGTCCCTTCTGTGACAGCACATTGGACCATAACCATCTCCCTGTACTTGAAGTCGTCGCTGGGTTTACTTACACAATGTAAATCCCATGAAAATATTTGCTGTGCTGTATTGTTTAGTGAATAATGATCCCAAAACTGTACATGTCTGGGACAGTTGGAATTTCTTTTAAAATATATTTCCCACCTGTGGAAGTAGAACCAACAGGGTTGGGGCAGAGATGGAACCAGTATAGTGAAGGTGAAATTTCATTTGGTTTAATGGAGTTCCTTGTATAAAGGAGCACCATTTCATTTCTTAACATGCATTCACTTTTCCCACTATCTAGTCCTCCCCTGACAGAGTTTGAGTGTGTCCCCTGCAAGGTTCAGGTGCTGTTCGTGGGATGCTGTTAACAGGCAGGCCTTTAAGAGGCTCCTGCTCATGTGGATGGGATGAAGACCCTCCTAAAAAGAGGGCACTGGCAGCAGTGAGCTAGCTTGCCCTGGCAGTTACTACCCCATGTGGGCAGCCTTCCACCCCTCAGGATGATCAGACAGCCACAAGGCGTTCACACCCAGCAACAGAAAATAAAACCTTGCCAGCACCTTGTCTGTGGACAAAGGAACAATGGGAAACTAGCTTCCTGTCCAGGAGGAATTACTCGGTGTCTGGTATCTTGTTCCAACACGCCCCTCTGCTTCCGTACTTCCTCTCCTCTACTGCTCCTGACAAGGTGATCCGAGAGAGACAGCCTAGAAACTTCCGCCTTGTAGCAACAACTGTAATTATCTTAAGGACAGAACAAAGAAGTTTGGGACATTTAATCTAAAACTCAACTAACTGCAAAAACATCCACAGGACCCTTCCAGGAGCCATCTCTTATGGGAATTCTACGACTTGGAGCCAGTCTCAGACCTAGCCAACTGCCTCTGGAGTGGCACCTGTACCCCTAGGCCCTGCCCTCAAGGCTGGAACCCACAACTACCTACTTTCCATCTCCTTTAAACACCTGAAGGGCCTTTGCCCCAGTAAGGAGGCTGGCGCTCACTGCCACCTTCTGCCCCCCTGCAGTGAATTCGCCTGTCCCATCTGGGAGACTCCGATCCCAGCTCCTGATGTGCCTCCTGAGAGCCAGTTTCCTTTTTCCTATTGCAAGGCTCTGAACACCACTGTGAGTTACGTAAAGCAGTGAAGTTATTTTTGAAGTTCTTCCCTATACCTCTGGTTACCAATCCAGGGCCAGTGGAGTTCCATTAATAATTGATAGATTCAAGGGTAGGCAAGAGGGTCACCCCCGGACCACATTTCCACTCTTCTCCCTCCCCAGTGTTAGGAAATGGCCATGTTTAATTAGGCAAATGATAAAGACTTTTTTCCCCACATAAACATTGTGTGCCTTGAACCACAATCCACATGCCTCAGACACCACAAATAGTATTCTCACTGCCAAGAAAGTAATACTACCAGGACCATGAGAACAGCTCACCAACCGCCACACTATTTGAATCAAATCATTCTTGGTGACTGGGGTGGTGGTGGTGGTGGTGGTCAGGAGTGTGGAGGTCTCCACTTTCAGGTACGTTGCAGGCTGCTCAGCAATAGCCCATGTGACAACCAAAATGTCTCCACATGCCACCACATTGTCATCTGGGAAAGAGGGAAGCCTAATCTGTCCCAGCCCAGAACCCCCAGCGCCAGCCACTGGGGCCGCCGCATGACCACTGAAAGCTTAGCTTGTCCACCACTGCAGGCCGCCCTAAGCATGGAAGAGGCCCTATTCTGAAAGCCCACCAGCTTGTCGGGGCAGACCACCGTTTGTGGCCCAGGTTTCCCTCTTATGACACTTTCTATGCAGTCAGTGCCTTCACTCTCCTGAAATTCAAGTTGTAAGTGCAGGAAATGCAAGATCTTGTTTAAGAAATCCGAGTGGCAGCTCAGGAGCTCAGGCCTCACCTTTGATGCCACTGAGTCATGTGTCCGTTCGCTCACTTCTTCCTTCTTAGCATCAAACTTTGCAAGTGTTCTGTGGCTGCCAGACATCCTCAGGGTAGTAACTGAAACATCCCCAGGGAGGTACCTGGAAGGAGCATGTGTCTAATGGAAAGCGCCAACATTTGGGCACTTTTATGGCTGGCAGCAAAATAGAAAAAGGGAACCAAGCAAAGTCAGATACAATCCAAATGGTAACCCCAGATGACTTTAGCCAAGATAAACTAGCAAGGACTGACATTTAGCCTCATGCTTAAATCTTTATATATATATATATATTTATTTATTTATTTATTTATTTATTGGAAAGTCAGATTTACAGAGAGAAGGAGAGACAGAGACAAAGATCTTCTATCCATTGGTTTACTCCCCAAGCGGCTGCAACAGCCAGAGCTGAGCTGATCAAAAACTAGGAGCTTCTTTCCGGTCTCCCATGTGGGTACAGGGTCCCAAGGCTTTGGGCCATCCCCCATTTCTTTCCCAGGACAGAAGCGGGGAGCTGGATGAGAAATGGAGCAGCAGGGATACCAACCGGCACCCATATGGGATCCCAGCATGTGCAACGTGAAGACTTCAGACACGAGGCCACTGCGCCAGGCTCTGACGCAGCTTCCTGTGATGGCGTGGGGACAGCTCAAGTCATTAGCTCCCTGCCACCACATGCAAGATCTGCACTAGGTCTCTAGTTCCGGCTTCAGTCACAGCCCAGGCCCAGCCAAGGTATCAGACTGGGAAGTGAACTAGCCTATGGAATATTCTGTGTCTGAGATCAAAATCTGAAGATAAGACTAACGACTAAAAGCAACAGGAAATGAAAAAGGTTTACCATTTGCCAAAAACAATATTTATCTGGCTCAAGCCAGTTTATACTACAAAAATTAAAATTAGCTATTTGTCTTATAGACTTCGATATTCATTCAGCTGGAGACTTAAGTGTTTATATTGTTAATAACCACAATTAACTCCTCCCTCCCACAGAAGTCTATGTTATGAAGCCCTCAATGGCCTTACCATCCTGGGCAAAAGATATCCCAAGCCGACCTGTGTTCCTGGCTGGCTGTGACCAGGGGAGCTGGGCGATCTTCACAATGTCCCGGTGAGGGCTGACGGACGTTCCCAGTGCTGCAGTCCTGGAAATGACCCTCATGTTGTAAATTCATAGTTCATAGTGGGATATTGATAAAACCGCAACAATGCCACAGTTTCAGAACACTGCCCGTCTTTACGCCAGGATTACCAGTCTGCTTTCCCAGCCCACCCTCGAAGAGCAAGAGGCTCCTTGCAGAGGGAAGGCCCCAGGCCTGGACAGCGAGCCCAGGCTGACACCAGGGGGTGGGTGCTCAGGGTCTCTCGAGAAAAGACGACTGCACGGCAGCCAGCGTTTTGAGATCATTGCTTTATTTCACTATTGTTCCACAACCAAGTCCGTTCCTCTCAAGGTGGATCTTGAATGGCTCCCTCGCCTTCTGCGTTCAGAATAAAAAAGGTAATGAAGAAAAAAGCCTGTACTTTTGGAGACCTAGATTCTTACTGATGCTAAGAAGCTTTTGACAGCAATTTCGTGGTAACGGTTATTTCCTGCTGGCATCTTGGTGGCCACACGGAGCTTCCCGCCCCACCCTCTCTGGGAGGGGCGGCTGTCCACACCTGCCACCGTGGAAACCAAAAGTAAGTGTTGAAAAAATGCACCTTTTACAATAAAAAAGTAGAAACCAATTCAATTTCCTTTTTTTGTTTTTCTTTTTTACGAATATAAAGTTTCTTGTAAATATGTACAGTCTGTTGAGCTAGTTCTATAGAGCGGGAAGCATTTTCACAGATGAGACACACGATATACACTTTCAGGGCATCAGCTGCCCATTGCTCATGGAGATCTGAAATGAAATGCCAAGACTGAAAGACCAACGTTCAGGGACCTTTCCAAAAAATACTCGTGGACCAAGAGACGGACACTTCAGCAAACATTCGGTCAGATCTGCCCTGGGGAAGGGAGGGGAGTCGGGGAGAGGGAGGGATGACCCTAAAGACTCCAAGCAACACATGGAACACAACAGCAAGACGCTGGTCAACAGTGCCACGACATGGAGGTTCATGAGCATTTCACACAAGAAAAGCACTTAGGTTAGTTAAGAGACGAGCAGGAAGGGAGCCAGGATTTGGGCCAAGGTTGTGATCGGGAAAGCGACCTGAACTGCGGACACACACGGGTTGAAAACACGGTCATGTTCACCTGCTGCGGTGGAAACAGGTCTACCTTTTGAGCCTACGCCCAGGATGTGCCTCGGTCAGCGAGGCGTGCCTAAGAGGCGCGGAGAATCCAAAGCGAGAGGTGCCTCGTGGGAGATTAAAGGCAGAAGTAAGGCCGCTAGTTAGCTTGCCAACTGCAGAGCCTCTAAGATGGTTCTGTGCCAGCTGCCAGGAATCTCGCCCTCCCCCGAGGGGTGAGAGGGACCTAGTGGGGGCCGCACTGCACCTAAGGGGAGACTTCCCCACCCTGGCTGGGTGGGAAGAGTTGAGCTGCGGCTTCTTTCTCCAGTTTCCTGGTCTCGGGGCTAGCCCTAGGAAAAGGCTCATCTGGGAAGTCACAGTTTTGTGGGAGCAGGAGGGGAGAACCGTGCTGGATTTTGTGTGAACACAGAGTCACCCGCGAAGGAGTCGGCCAGGGAGCGTGGCGGGTGGAGCGGGGACTGAGTGTGGCGAGGGGCTTTGCTGAAATCCTTCTCTGGTCGTAAGGCTTGAGCGTTTTTGTGTTTTGTTTGTTCAGTGCTACAGGCTGCAGCTTGGGGTGGCCAGTTCGTTGGTCAGTGGTCAGAGGGTCTTGAGTCGGCAGGAGCTATGCAATAGGGTGGTCTTCATACAGGTAGGGATCAGCCAGGTCGGAGGGGGGCAGCACATGCAGTGAACCGCCATGCAAACTCCTGGGCAGGCCTCTCCCCCATTGCAGAGCGGGGAGCTATGCCCTCATGGGAAGGAGGTGGGCATCCCTGGACCCCTCCCTGCCCCCCTGCTTGGAGCAGGTCTTTTGCATGCTTTCCTGGCCAGAGCTACAATGGCAAGCGGGGGGAATAGCAGGCTGGGTGGATGATGCCAAGGGGTGGGAAGGAAAACTCGGAGAGGTCCCTTGGCCCCAAGTCACTGCCTCCGAGCTGAGGCCCAATGACCTCCGTACATTCTCAGCTGGTGGGAAGGGAAGCCGGCAAGGCCGCAAAAGGCAATGAGAACAGTAAACATTTGGCTACAGTTTCACCCTGGGTAAAACAGGGCCACCTATGAGAATGGACTTGACCAATAATGAGCCTACGTGGGTGCAGGAGGTTAGCCAACCGACGGGGACTCTTCTACACTACGCTTCAGTAGCAGAGACCTGATGGGGAGATCTAGCTAAAAATGACTGCAACAGGAACTACATTGCTATTCAAATCTATTACGAATTCTGTTGTCTTAAAAACAAACAAACAAAAAATAAACCAGAAATAAAATGAAACCAAAAGAAAAACCAACCAACCCTATGGTCTTTGAGTAGCTAAATAGGATTCTAACCACGCTGTAGTTAGTCGGGGGGTTGCAGTTGGTGTCCTTGGATGAACTGGTACAGGCTAAAGCTTTACAAAAGTTCATGAGAAAGAGTAACAAAGTGCAAAGAGATGACTGCAGGAAGGCGCTGAGGGGGGCTGAGGGGGCGCCTGAGGGGGCGCCTGAGCCGCCTGCACCTCCTGGGGACGGGCGTCTGTGCCGAGGCGGGTCTGTCTGGGCCCAACCGTGCCAGGGAGCCGTTGAGCAGACAGGCGCTGGAGTCCCCTTCAGCGGAGTTCCATAGTGTGTTTGGTATTTTCCTGCAGGTTAAGATGAGGAGTTGTTTTTTTCTGGCTGAGACTTATACTGAAGACTGGTCCCAGACCTAGGAACAGAAGTGGGGAAGAAGGTGGGCGGTTTAGCCAGCTCAGCCCATCCGGCCCCAGAAGCTGCTGCGCTCAACTCACTATCCCGTCCACACAGGAGTTCGCAGCAGCTTGCAGCGAGTGCTGGGGCTTGGGCTCAGGGAAGGGCAGTTGCTGAACAGGCCCCAAAGCTGTCTGTGGATTTCTCTGCTGCGTGCACGCACACACATGCAGTTTCAGTGGTAAATCAGAAGGGAGAAAGACATCTGGAGGGCTTTTCCCTCTTTCTTTACCAGTAAAGGTGCCCACAGTAAACCACAAGCGGCATTAAAGGATGCCCCCCAGGGACTCAGCCCTGCCAAGAGACAGAAAGGTGGCACCACTGTGCAGTGTGTGGTCTCTAGGAATGGGACAGCCTCCTTGGCATAGTGCAGCCCTTCTTCTGGAAACTTCAAAAAGCCCACAAAGAGTCCAGTGCTGTGGCAGGGCAGATCAAGCTGCCTGTTGAGGCACTGGCATCCCATATGGGTGCCAGTTCGAGACCTGGCTGCTCCACTTCCGATCCAGTTACCTACTAACATGCCCGGAAAAGCAGCAGAGGATAGCCCAAATCTATGGGGTCCCTGTACTTGTGTGGGAAGAAGCTGGCTGTGCTTCTGGCTTTTTGAGGGGTGTACCAGTAAAGAGAATAAATTTCGTTATGTGTCCCAAACAAATGGATTACACTATTGTGACTTAAAAGAAGGAACAGCAGGTACACTGGGCCTTTTCCCACCTCCTAGAAACATGCTGTGTGTACCAGCAGATGGGCCTGTACACGACGAACTTCAGAAAGCATGTGGAAAATGTGCATTATTAAGAACTGCACATATATTTCAAAATTCATTTGAAAGGTAGGAAGACAGCAGACTCAAAAATGTTTAGATTTATTTATTTATGGGCCTGGCACAGTGGTTTGCACCCTGGTACAGGGTTCCAAGGCTTTGGGCCATCCTCAACGACCTTCTCAGGCCACAAGCAGGGAGCTGGAAGTGAAGCAGCTGGGACATGAACTGACCCCTATATGGGATTCTGGCACGTGCAAGGTGTGGATTTAGCCAATGAGCCCCACACCCCTCCTTGGGCCTCCACAACCTGGCAGGCACGCAGCCCCAGGTGCTACCTCACCTTGTTCACCTGGGAGAGTGGGGTCCGCACGGCTCCTGCTGGCAGGCGGCCCCTGCTGCTGTCTTCGAAGAGCCTCCCAGGGGACCGTTCCCTCCGTGTGCTCAGCATGCGGCCGGGGGACTTCTCCCGCTCCAGGGGGCGGCCAGGAGACTTGTCCCTGCGCAGCTCTGTGCGCCCCTCGCGGTAGCGGTGTGGTGTGCTTGGCTCTCGGGGGTGGCTAGGGCCTTCGGGTGGTGCCGGGCTGGAGGCTACACGCTTGGTGATGTGCTCGTTGTACGTAGGTGGGCCTCGCTTGTTGGGGCTGCTGGCAACAAAAGGAGGTGGGGAGCTGAGGGCCTCCTCCAAGCCACCCCCCAATGCCCTGGCCTCGGGGAGGAGGAGGAGACAGAGATCAGAGCTGGCATTCAGCCTCAAGGCTGTATTTTCGTGGTAAGGCCAAGGGTGCAGGCAGGAGTTGTGCTACACACCAAGTGCCTGCTGCAGGCCAGGCCTCGGGCTGAGCTCTGGATGGGCACGCACCATGTCATCTCATGAAAGGATGAGACGGCTCTATGAGCTAAGGACAAGTGTGACCGCTGTCACACAGGCATGGGAATCATGGAGCCTGTGGGGAGGCAGGGACTCGCCTGAGCAGGTGAGGTGAGCCACATGGACCTCCTAAACCCCACACTGCAGCCCCCTGACATGGCCTTCCCCAGAGCCTAGGAGGCGCAGAAGGAAGGGGTGCAGCCAGCTGATACCTAGAGGACAATGACCCACAAAGACGTTCCACGTGTGACGTGGTCTTGGAAAGCCCATGCTGCTCACTGTCGGCTGCGGCCTGGGTCCCCTTTCCTGGGCCTCCGGGACCTCTCTTCACAGCAAGGCCCAGAAATACCAGCGGTCTTCAAAAAATGCATAGGAAATACACATTATGGAAGAAGTGCATGGATTTCAAAACTTTTTCCCATGAATTGTTTGAGGTCTCCTGGTGCAGTGAAAGCTGAACTTTGATCTGCTTGGTCATTTCCTTCTCACCCCTTGGTCAGCAGAAAAATGACCGGGGTCCCCATTATGATCTGGGTAGATCTTAGGCTGGGAAAAGGCCACCTCACTTCAACAGGGTCAAAATTACACATATTTTGACTGATCAGGGTTTTATCAAAATTGGCCATCAAGAAAACTAATTTATTTCACCCCAGATATATATATTTTTTTAAATCTAGGTGGCAATGCACTTACATGCTGACTACAGAAAGGAAACAAATATGAATTACATGCAGACATTTCTGCCCTCATCCTGGGATGTCTGCACATTCATGTAGGGTTTTCACAAGATCAGGCACCAGTCATTTCTTGAGAAGAACTTGAGAGCAACTCTGGTTTTCGCAAAGACCCATCTGAAGCCTAAACAGGCAATTCTTTGTCTTTGGAAGAGGTAGGCATTGTACCAATCTGATTTTGTTTTCCTCCAAGCATGACCCTCATTATGGAAATCCCTTTTGTCCCCTGTACAGCCAAGACCCGATCTCCTGGGAAGGATAGCCTGGAACAGGCCGGAGGACCACATGCAGACCCCTGCCTGTTTTTAGGGGATAAAGTACTATTGGCTCACGGACATGGCCATCTGTCTCTGCGCTGTCTGTGGCTGGCTGCCTCTGCACTACAAGACAGGATCCGAAAGTCAAGCCAGAGGGCCCACGGAGCTCAAAGCGCCTGCCCCTTGGACCTCTGAAGAGAACGCTTGCTCCTTCCTGCTCTGAGGAACCAGCAGTGTCTGCTGAGAGGAGGGCACCATGTCGGAGGCCAGGCAAACACATCCTTTCTGTCTCTTGCCACAACCACTGGAACCAAGGTCACCACCTTGACTGGGGCAGGGCGGCAGGGGAGTTTCCTAATGGGTGCAGCCTCTGGGAAGAGCGCAGTCACATCCCTCAGGGCTACAAAGGCATATCTGTTATCGTCTGTCAGTTTCACCTCTAGGGAGTCATCCTACAGCTGGGATTCCTCGAGTCCTCTCACGTGCACAAGGACACACGTTCACAAGAGACTGGAGTTGACCCAAACACCCGCTGGTAAAGGAACAGTTAAGTTAAGGATGGCCACATGAAGGAATGCTAGGTGGGCTCTGGGAAAAAAAAAAAGAAAAAAGAAAAACAAGTTTCAGGGGGACATGAAGCCTGCTCAACATGCTCTCTCATTCTTATAGAGATGGGGAAGGATGTTCTAGCATGGCACAGAAGAGACGAGACCTCTGAACACCTGCTCCTCCACAGAGGCACCGAGAGCAGCAACTTCTCAACACCCTGGGAATGCAGCACAACCCTCTGTGCACCCATTCCAAGGCTGGGGAAAGCCCAAAGGCTCAGGACACCTGGCTCTTTGGCACTGCTGTTTTTCTAGCAGGTTCCTGAGATCACCAAAGCTCAAGGTTGGAGAAGTGCTTGTGACAGCCTTTCGAGTGATTACACAAGAAAAACCACGGAATCTAGGCAAGCACAGCAAACTTGGGAACATGTTCACTGTACTGTCGGGGAGAGGGGTGAGCCAAATTTTTAAAATAAAAATTTAAAAAGAATTCCAGCAGAATAGGTTTAGGAGGGTTCCAATTCCATGGAAGCCACTGACAGACTGGGAGGCCCTGACTTTTTCCTTCCTGCTCAGGGGCTCCTTGTGGCACTCCCGTGTCTTTGGCTCCCAAGCTTAACTACTTCCTGGGGGAGACACCCTCCCTGGCTCCCATCTCCAGGCCAGGGGTCTTCCGGAGACGGAAGCTCCCCTGCGCTGTAGGTACTCACCTTCCTACTGTGTGCCCTGAGGATACTCCAAAGAGTTGGTGAAGAACATCAAGTTACAACCAGGTTCATTTTGGCAAAGATGTTTTGGGGTCCACACAGTTTTCCCATGAGGCACATTTCCTATGAGTCTCTGTAAATCCCCTCCAGGACCCTCTTGTCTCTCCCACCATGCTCTGAGCACTGTCGGGGGTGGCAGGTGGGAGTGAGACAGCACCTGATTTTCTACACTCCACCATTCCACCAGGCAAGCCCAGCAACAAGGAAAGCAAAATACGTGTTGTCAGTTTGGGTATGGTCTGGGGTCCACCATGGGCCCCTCTATTAAAGGTCTGGTCCACCAAAATCTCATGGCAGTGATTAATGGATCAATGCCATTGGCTAAGGGAACTGAATCTAGTCGTGTAACTAAAGGACAGGCCTTGAGGAAGTGATGGGATAGGGTTATTCCTCCTTTGGCTTCACAGACACACCCTCCCTAGCTCTCTTTGCGACCCTGCCTCTCTCCGCCTCCCCTGATCCACCACCCTTGTCAGATGCCATACCCAGAAGCTGCCTCAGCTTGGACCATGAGCCTCCCCAGGTGCAAGCCAAATTCCATCTCTTCCTTTCCTAAGCAGCATGTCTCAGGGAGCTCACTAATCCATCCATTCAAGCAGTGGCAGCATGCTTCACAGCCGTTCCTAACAGCCAGAGAAATGCTTGCCAGGGGAAGGGCAGACAGGCCCTGTGAAGGAGCATGTCTTTTCGGTCCTGCAGATCTTAGAGAGATGAGCGGTCTAAGTGTGAAAAGAGAGCAATGCCTTGGGAACCTGTGGCCAGTAGGGCAAGACTGACTTCTGCTCTGTGGGAAACCACTCGGGTCCGAGCAGTAGGGAGGGGAGCAGCTGGGTACCTGCGGGAGGTGGAGGGGACGCGGTGGTGGTCGGTGCCAGACTCCTTCACCAGGTTCCCTTTGCAGCAAATCACCCGCAGTTTATCCTGGTAGGACGACGCCAGGTAAATCGCTCCCGAGGAAATCGCGGGGCCCAGGTAGCGCGGGTTGGGGATTTCCAGGTAAGCTCGGGCAGGGGTCCTGCAGAGTTCCAGACGAGAGTTCACGTGTACTGTAGGTGGGGGACAAAACCTGCATGCTCCCCACCAACATGTTGACTTTCCAAAGCACAGGCAGGCAGTCTTACCCCAGCGAGGAGCGGGCCTGGATCTCGATAACTTCCAGAGAGTTGAAGTGGGTCACAAACAGGTAAGGTTCTCGGTAGGCTGTGTGAGCACCATGGAGGAAGGGCACGGGCAAAGGAGAGTTGGAACAGGGAAAATTAAAACCTGGCTCCATGCAGCTTTCAAATTCATATCCACGTGCCAGCACACTTGTGCGTGTGTGAGCTTATTCATTGCCACATAGCCTGTTACAGCACAACAGCTCAACTGTATGTTGCAGGGGATCCACTGAATCCCACGCGAGAATCCGGGCAACAGTGCACTGCTAGAAATGGCACAAAGTGGTTCTCCATGTACCAACATACAAAAACAGTCAAAGTTCGTGGCTGGCTGTATAAACAGGGATCAGAGAAACACCTAAAGCATGCTACATTAACTGGTAAAAAAAAAAAATCTGGGCACCATATCAGCATGTGTACTTTCATGTGTCGCATCTGCATCAAGTTTTAGAAGCACAAGAAGGTGGTCAGCTGATGGGCAGAAGCCTGGCCTAAAAGGACCAGATGGCCACATCCTACGTCACACTGCACAGCCCCAGCTCCCCAGTCTAGATGCCTCTTAATACACATTCTGGGAGGTTACAGAAGATAGCTTAAGTAACTGGGTTCCTGCCACCTGCACAGGAGACCTGTTAACAGTGTAAAAAGCACAAGGGTGTGGGGTAGCCGCAGAATCACGGCAGTGATGAGCTGCTGGGCATCACAAGATCTTGCTGTGGCATGCAGTACAACCACAGACAAACAAAATAGGTTACAGTGGCCGGGTAGTGGCCATGTTGAAAGCTGACACAGCCACAATGGTATTTCAGAATATTCACAGATATGTGTGTGCATTTTTCCTCCTGCACCCGGCAACTGTACTTTGAGGGTCTTACAATCCCACTGGACAAAAGCAGGCAGGTCAGCACAGACATGTTCCCTGCAGTGTTGTCCACATTGGCTAAAGGAGTGAGCATGACCTAACCCTCTTGCCAACTTACAACTGGCTGCTTCAACAGCACTCAGCTATGCCATGGATCACCAAGAAGCCTTTTGAAATATGACTGAAATCCACAGGGAATTGTTTCCCTTCTATTGCAAGAGCCTAACAACACTTCCCAAGGCTGGGACTGGTTTTGGCAGAAGCAGCCCCAGGAGCCTCACACTCCCTGCCAGGAACATTCACTCGGATGATCTTCTCACTGGGTGTCTGAAGGAATGCATGAGCACAGCACTTTCAGCACAAAGGATTCCACCTGCAAATTCCCTCCCTGGAAACCCCTCCCAGCACATCAGATGCTGGAAAAGGCTGGGCTGTCTGCACTGCACCTCACTTACCGAAGGCCAAAGGCAAGCGACTCCATTTCAGATCATCTGTGCGGCTACGTCTTCCGTAGGAGTCCACGAACACTCCAAATTCTGCAAGAGGAGGAGAGCAGAGGGACATGAGTCCAACATGTGGGTGACACTGTGACAGTAGACTAGGAGCCAAGCCCAAGGCATTCTGGCCAATACGGAATTGGGCCATGCAAACCTGAAGACCTCAGCCAAGCCAGCTGTTTTATTTCAAGCAAGGGATTTTTGTTTCATTTTGTCTTTCATCTAGCAGTTTATTTTACCTGTCTTAAGACCGCTCTCAGAGAAAAGGGCATTCAAGTGAAAGGGAGGAGGAGAGCAGGAAGAGAAAGAGGGGGGAAAGGAAGGAGACGGAGACAGAAACGTGGGAAGAGGGTGAAGAAGAGAGAAGGAAAGAGCCAGAGAAAGGGGTGGAAGGAGTGGGGGTGGGCTGGACAGGGCCAGTGCCCTAGTTGTGGGGAAGAGAGGTCCTATGGGTGCCTTGGGTGACAGAAGAACAGTCCCTGAGTGCCTAGGGCCCATTGACTACTCCTGGCCCAGCAGGCCCAGGCCAGGCTTCACCACACCCCAGGGTCCTGCTGACTACTCCGGGCCCAGCAGGCCCGAGCCAAGCTTCCCAGTGCCCCAGGGTCTCACTGGCCATTCCTGCCCCAGTGGGCCCAGGCTAGGCTTCCCCACGCCCCAGGGCCCTGCCCCGCCAAGAGCAGCTGTGACCCACCGTGGAAGCACAGTAAGTACTCCTCTCGCTGCCCTGCACCGTTCACCTGCACGATCGAGACTGGGAAGCTGTTGGACGAGGAGGCAAACACGGCAGGCGCCAAGGAGTGGTCATTCTTATCCAGGAACTCTGCAAAGGCACATGAGGAGACGGGCACGTGTCAGGAGCTACAGCAACCCCGGGGCAGGCCTGAGCATGCATGGGGGCAGGGAGACACGGCCCTACCCTCGAGCGTGTACTGCTTCATGTCGATTTCGTAGAATTTATTGGTTCCAATGAGGATACTGTAATTGGTGAAGTGGATACAGCTGCAGGGCTCTGAGGTCTCTATCTCCTGGACAAGCAGTGGGCAGGGGAGGAGGAGGAGGTGAGAGATCACACGGGATGGCCCAGTGTCCCCTGTTGCTCTGCAGGTAGCCACCAAGCCTGCGTGGGGCTCCACATCACGCACAGGCTATCATTGTGCATGCCTCTCAGAGACCCGCCAGCTACTTCTTCCTACTGCTCTTTGCAAACCCAGACTAAGAAGACTGTAGTCCCCAAAGGGTCATAAGCACGGGGACCATGAGAAGATACGATGCCAACAACACAGCATTCTTACTAGAGGAAAGACAAGAGCCCAGAACAACACACCTGACTATTGGGAGGAGTGGTCCTAGCTTTGTCCTGCTCGGTCAGCTCCCAGCAAGAACCTTCCTTACCTAGAGCAACCATCATCGCCTTCGACTATCCCCATTGTTTTTCTAGGCCAATCCTACTATCACCAGAATATCAGGCATGCTTATTCCAAGTGGGGGCGGGAATCAGGAAGCAGCAATGACTTCCGAGAAGTTTCCAGAAGCCAAGTACAAACCCGGGACCACTAGGTATTTACTGGCTGCCTTCTTAAGGAGGCAGTGTGATATAGTCAAAGGACTGGAAACACAAACCACAGTTTGGGGCTCAACTTTGCCAACTCAGGATCTCTCCCTTTCCTGGAAACTGGGTACTACCTGGGTGCTACCCCGACCCTCTGCTGTTCAGAACCACAGTGGAAGGTGTTTAGAAACAACCAGCTCAGTTCCTGGTGGCGTTACACACTCAGTCGAGGCACTAAGCTACCAGCATCTGGCGCAGAATGAAATCTCTGCCCCAGCGGGCAGCAGCCCTTGTGTGTTGCTATTTGCCCCTCGTTTCATTTGTGGGACTGAAAAGCACCAGAGGTAGGTAAAAGCATCCTAGGTAGGTTAGGCTGAGGGTTGACAGGCCCCACCATGTCCCCACTGCAGTCACCAGCACACTCCCTCTGCTCCAAGAAGCTGCTCCTGAACTGTGACGCAAAATGGGGCTCACCTTGGCTTTTCCAAAAGCTCATTCCTAGACACTGCTGTGGTCCAAGAAAAGCTCCTGCCAGGGGCTCTCAGACCTGCCCTGTCCCTGGAAAGAGCCTTTTCCAACACTAGCCCAGAGCAACTCTAGAGCCTCCATCAGCAACTTTCTGCTCTCACAGCAAGGCTGAATTCATGGGGCTGGATGGGTGGGTGGGCAGCTCCTAAACCAGGCAAAGGAAAGCGAGCAACCAGCAGCTCTGGTGGCCTCTCCAGGAATGCCGGGGCAACAGGCTGAAAGACAGCTGGGTGGCAGCCCTTCCAGCCGATCTCTGGGACACGCGGGAGTGCTGGGGGCAGGGGAGGGCATGGGTGAGGCCCCGACTCACTTTGCGAATGCAGTACTTGCTGAGGTTCTCGTTGTAGCGAAGGATGACTACTTTGCTGGGCATGGCTGCACAGATGCACAGCCCATTGTCAATCTGAAAAGCAAGTGGGGAGGAAATAGAAGCAGAGGCGGAGAGAATGTCACCACTGGGAACACAGGCTCTCAGTCCCCATCAGCACTCAGGGTCGTGTGGCTTGGATGCTCGCTGTGTGGTGGGGGGCCTGTCCTGGGCACCTTAGAGCCACTGGCAGCATCCCTGGCCTTGCCAGTAGCACCGCCCAGTTGTGGCACCATGGCCACGTGTTAGCTGTAGGGCAGAGCAGCCTTGGGCCAGAATCACTGCTTTAACTGGGACCCCTCTGACATCACACTGTGCCTATTGGCTTAGCTTAGTTGTTCTATACCAAAGCTCTCTTTTTCTTGAGCTTTGTCATTCACCAAGAAAGAAGAGGGGCCAACATTTCAACCAGTCCAGAAACGAAGGTGGGCAGCTAGGACAAGTGGTGGCAACAGGACGGCATGAGACAAGAAAAACGAAATTGGAGTAAAGTTGGAGTTAATACTTCATGTCTTACTTAGGGTGCATGGGGACATTATCAGGCTCCAGTTTACACATGTGTTCCATGCACTTTGTCATATATTACAATGGAAATCATTTCTGATTACGTTCCTGATTTGGAAAACCTAAAATGTTCATTTCTTACAGAGAAGAAATGAGAGAAATTTTCCTATATTTGGGATGATAGCAAAAATATACTACAATCAGAACAATACAAAAAGTGACCATATAAAAATTTGCTAGATATAATGACAACAGTAGTTACAGGAGAATGGATAGCATGTTCATAATGAAAAAAAAAATACTGAGCTAACGAAGAAATTAGAATAACAGAGGAAAGCCACAGAAAAACGAAGGAAGGAAAAACAAAAATAAATGCAGGAACTGACAGATAAAAAAATGCCATCCTGGAGACAAACAATAAAGCTCAAAGACTTTTTTTCTTTGTAAAGATTAATCAAATCCAAATAAAAGATGTGCCACAAGGAAAATCAGAACTGAAAACAGTAAGAAAGCTAATCTAAGAAAATACAAAAAAGTAGCAAACTCAAAAAAAAGGAGGAACAAAAAATGTTCTCCTTAAGATTAACAACAAAAAAAAAAAGGCCCAGCACAGTGGCATAGTGACTAAAGTCCTTGCCTTGCACACACCGGGATCCCATATGGGTGCTGGTTCTAATTCCAGCAGCCCCGCTTCCCATGCAGCTCCCTGCCTGTGACCTGGGAAAGCAGTAGAGGACGGCCCAAAGCCTTGGGACCCTGTACCCATGTGGGAGATCTGGAGAAGGTTCCTGGCTCCTGGTTTTGGATAGACGCAGCACTGGCTGTTGTAGTCACTTGGGGAGTGAATCATAGGATGGAAGATCTTCCTCTCTGTCTCTCCTCTCTATATATCTGATTTTGCAATAATAAAAAAATAGAATAAATCTTAAAAAAAAAAAGAGGTTAAAAAAAAAGTTGCCAAACTGCTGAGTGTACAGTCCCTTTGGCAAAGTCTACCCTGTCAGCCCCTTGCCGCCTGAGCTCCTCCAGAAGCCCTTTCAGACGAACACCTCCACGTGTCAGCCACACCTCACTCTATATTCTGTCCTTTTGAGGTATCCGGCCACAGTTACATACAGATAGTCCCCCAGCTTACAATGAGGTTACAGGTGGTGACCCGGTTATAGGTTAAAAACAGCCTCAGTCCAGAGTTCATTTGGTGCACTCCCCTGACAAGCAGCATCTCAGGTCAGCTGACCTTAAACATGCTCACAACACACCCACCAGGGCGCTAGCTCTACTCCCACAACGGAGGGGACCAGAAGCCACAGCCCTTCAAAGAACCACGGAGGACTGAGTGGCCCAACAGAAGCCCCTGTGGCTGGCAACAGCTTCCCCACCCAGACACGAAACCTTTGCAGTAAAAGTCTCTGAAAGCCCACTCAACTTTCTAGATTGTCCTGGTGAATAGTAACTGAGTAACCACGTGAGCAAATGCCCAGCATGCAGCCTTTTGCGAGGAGCAAAAGCCAATGCGGTTTTCAACTGTGGAATCCAGGGGCTGAACCAGCCCAGATTATCTTCATTCCCTGAACACCCACAACAGCCGGGGTGGGCCCGGGTCAAAGCCAGGACAGAGATCCCAATCCAGATCTTCCATGTGGTTGGCGGGGACCTGACCTGCCACCTCCTAAGGGCCATATTAGCAGGAAGCTGATATTGGGACCAGTGCTGGGACTAAAATCCAGGCCCTCTAATGCAGGATGTTAGGGTACCCAATCTTCACCACTTTACCAAGGGGTCAATTTTCTTTAAAAAAAAAATGTGTTAAACAAATGTATTTATGTTCCAAATTTGAAGATGGCAAAAACTTTGAAAAAAATTCATCTGACTTCTCATGACCTGATTTCCTGTTACATAAATGCCATACATTGGGATTTATAAACTTCCAGAAATAAAGCATCCTGTCATCCAGTTCAGACTCAGGCTTCCATGTCAGAACAAGAAAAGGCTCATCCCATACACACACACTTTTAAAAATTATCCTTTTAAATTGGTTAATCTTATTTTTCTTAGACATTTCTTTCATATCCAAAACTAGCATGAATTTCACAGCTATGCAAATTATTCCAGATCCCTAAAGGCTGCAGCAACAGGAATTAACCCAGTTTGAGGAGATGAGATTTCCAAGATCAAATGCCACACCTGAAGGACAGTGCCACTTTCTAGAATGTTCTTCCAGCAGCGGCCCCAAGGACTGCCTACCTTGCCAGCAGCGAACAAGTGGCAGCCCTTGACAGCTTCAAAAACATTGGGCGAGATGTCAGGCTGGGCGGGCAGGTGTGACTGTGCCAGGGACTGCTTCACTTTCTTCACATCCACGAGACACAGGGCCCGCTCTTCTCCTGAGGGGTAAACAGCCACCGGTCAGTGTGAGGCCCAGGAGTCACGAGGCGGCTGCCACTGTGGTTCTAGTCACAAGTGGAAACCTCAGATGGCCCACCCGGGATGGATATCGCTTCTTGGAAACACTCGGGACCTGAAGTGGTTCAGATCTGGTGTTTTCCTCTAGACACTGGAATATGTGCATCTCATGAGGTTATCTTGGGGACACACCCACGTTTAAACAAAATTCACTGAGGTGTCACTCACTCCTGCATGCAGCTGGAAGCTCATCTCACACAGCACGTTCAGTGCACCTGCATTTTCATTATGGCCCATTCTATGGGGTCAGTTGTGAAACTTCATACTCAAGGCAATGTCAGGGTTCAAAAAACTTTGCATTCTGGATTTTCCAATTAGGGAAGCTCCACCTGCACACACCCATCTGGCCCATGTTGCAGATCTTTGAGCAAACCTTTGGGCTTCCTGTCAACATCTCAGGTGGATGGACCCTTTTCAGACTTAAACATGGAGAGTATGAGCTGTCCTGGCCGACAAGCTCCTCCATCAGCACAGAAAGGCTGTGACGGGGAGACCACAGGCACCCATCCATGCAGCAACAGACATGGATGTGCCAATACCCCACCATCACGCAGGGCCTGGGAGCTGCTGCAGAGTAGAGAGGGCTGCAGAGACAGGACAAAATGCAAGGCATGATCTCAGGCTGGGCCATGAATCAGGAAAAACAACAGGCCATGACTGGAGCGGAGGGCAAAAGCCTGACAACAGGCAGCAGATCAAATAGTAAGATTACAGTACACATTTCCTGAATGATGTGAAACCATTCTAGATGGCAGCCCAGTGGACGTGTCATTACACTTATCAAAACCCACAGAATTCAATGACCCCAGGAGTGAACTGGGGTACAAAGTGCACAACATGGGCGATGACGTGTCAGATCATGCAAGTCCAGTGGGTCTGGTGGGGGGCGCACAGGGCACATGGAATGAGGGGTCAATGGGAAATGCCTTCCCCTCAATTTCACTTTGGATCTAAAACTGCTCAAAAGAAGAAGGAAAGGGAGGAGGATGAGGCAGGAAAATAGCAGAAAGATCAAAAGTCGATTCCTGACTACATTATTATCTCGGTCCCTGGAAGCAGCCATGCTTGAAATAAGTAACTGGATGTTTTGATCTTCGAGCCAATCAATATAGGACTGTTTCTCCCTAAAAATACAGTGCTGCCAACAAGAGAGCAAAGCAAACTGTACCATGATTATGTAAGAAAACACCTTTGGTCTTTGGTTGATATTCTGAAGAACCTCTGGTTCTGGCTGCCACTAACTCTCACTGTCAGAACAAAGGAGAGAAAAAGAGGTTTTAAAAAAAGGCAGGACAAAATGAGAGGCAGCAGAGAGTGCAGCAGCGACTCTGCAAGTGTCCATCATGTAAGGGACGCCCCGTGGGAACAGGGCAGCCCGCAGTGGCACTACTGCAATCAGGAGATTTCACAGGTCAAGGCACTCCCCACCTGGCACATCGGTGGGATTCTCTGAGCGGGGCGTCAGACAGTGCTAAACTGGACTCCACGGGGGAAGTGGAGGTAGACAGGCACAGTTCATCAGCCGAGGTCAGGGCAAACAGCCATTGCCACTTCACTGTGCCACCAGCGACCCGGCCTTGTGTGCCCCAAGCTGGCATTTGGCCGAACACACAGCTTCCTTCAAAGGCAAAGGACAAGTGCCCTGCCCCTGGCCTTGCACCTGCTATCATGAGCAGCTTCTCCAGGTCCTTGATGATATAAATTTGGAAGACGGCGCCAATTCCTGGGACGTGGGTCAGGGAATTTTTCAAGACGTTCAGGGCATACAGCCCTTCCTCGGTACCCACCAACACCACCTGCGGAGAGGCCCAAGGGCACAATGTCAGCATGGCCATGTCCCCACACAATACTCAGCCTCTTCCTTGCTGCCAGGGCCCTGGAGGCAGTACCTGGTCACTGAAAGGCAGTGTGCAGTTCATGTCCAGCCGGTCATCACCTTCCAGTTTTAGCAGGGAGTTACCAAGCCATTTCTTCTCATCCACAGGAGAAAAGATCAGAAAAGATGCATTGAGGCTGGAGTGCTAGGGATCCAACCAGCGAGCTATTCATGACAACACTCAGAAACAGTTGCTTTGCGCTTGCCCTGAATTTTGCTTTGGGTTCCAAAGGCAACACACGAGCCTCGCTGGTGTCTCTGAGATGGCTGTTAATCGGCAAGGAGGCCTCACTGGACTGGGACATAGACACGAGTGAGCGTGGTCAGCCCACAAAGCTATCCTGTGCTAGCAGGTAAGCGGAAGCTAAAAGAGATTCCACCTGCACAGGGTTAATAAGCTGCATGGCCAGCTCCTTCCCCACCCCACGCGGCAGCGAGAGTGCAGAGGTGTCAGCAGCCAATCAAAGAGCCCCCGCATCTCTGTACCTGAACCCACGCGGGCAGGAGCTCCAAGGAAGTACTGTCCTGGGCCTATTGTGCACACATCAATGTGGATTTTAGTAAAAGGCTCACACAGGCAACAATGCAACAGGTCGGCACTACAGGTCTACTCAGGGACCAGGTGCTCGATCAGCAAGCTCAGGGTTAAGACTGTCCTGAGCGCTAGTCCTTGAGCTGTTGGGAGTTCTCTGGGCCAGGGAGTGATGAGTGCTGTTTGTATCTTGGAACGTTCCTAGGGGGAAGGCTGCCAATCACAGCACACCTACATCTCTAACAGCTTAGGCACGAGGAGGATCTCAGACCTGCCCACAGAAGAACAGCTACTGCAGAAGCCATGGGAAGGCGAAGAGAAGTCGTGCTGGGGCCAGCGGGGCTGCCAGTAGCCCCAGTGCATCTGACTCAAGCTTTCCAACCACGCCAACTCCACCCCGCAGCAGGAGAGTAGATGTACTCTGTCGTACCCAAGAGTCAGCTACAGTTGCCAAATCCCCATGTTGTAAAATGGCTGAAAAGGTTGAGCTAGAGGTGTGCCACCCACTGCCTCGGGGCCTCATCCTTCCCCTAAGACCCTGGCTCAGGCTGGCCCAGAGCCATTTCCCTTCAGGGAGGGAGGGAAGGAAGCCAACATGACCCTCTGTGGGCAGATCAGCACTGAGTCAGTCTCTTCACGGAGACAAGCCCCTGCGCCCACGCCCATACTCACAGCGTCGGCCTCGGCCTTCTCCCTAGAAACTCTCCCACCTGCCACCACCGACTCCAAGGCGGTGACCCAGCGCTGCTTGTCAGGGAAACTGGGAGCTAGCAAGTAGAGAGTCCTCCCGGGCCAGCAGGTGGTGTGTGGGTGGGACTCCATCTTCAGGATGTATGGGACATCTAGGAGATGGCAGAGGGTGCGGCATTGGGGGGTGCATGTCCTCCTTAAATCCAGGGAGGATGGCCCCGAGATGTGAGACTCCCATGCCACCCCTGCTCAATCACGCACTGCGATGGGAACTGGGGAGGGAGCCCAGCCCTGGCTCCCCCTCACCTGCTTTGGCTGTGTTTGCGAGTTCAGAAGCACCAACAGCACCGTGAATAGATACGTCCCCGTCGGGAAGGCACAGCTCAAATTCTTCCACCGGCCTCTGTCCAGCTTGGTGCAAAGAGGAAGGGCAGAAAGAAAAACAAAAGAACAGGGACAAGAACAAAGTTGTGGGGGAGGAGAGGGAGAAGGGATGAGGGAGGGAGGGAGAGAGAGAGAAACAGAGAGAGAGCGAGAGAGAGAGCAAGACAGGGGACGCAAGTGAAGAGGGGCACACGAGAACAAGAGAAGCAAAGAGATGTGCAGAGAAGGCAGAGAGGGAAGATAAAAACAAAATAAAGTGTGTCAGATGCGTAGCACCGTCAAATGTCTGATGACGATGCGGGTTTATGGGTTAGTTGACTGAGGCAGAAGTTCCCAGAAGGTGTATTAGCAGGTGGAATCTTCGGGGCAGCACCCTGCGGGTCCTTCAGGGGGGAGACCTATAGATGTGAGTATCGCACCAATAACCTTTAGAAAAGTCACTTGGTTTTCACTTTTCAAAAATGGGAAAGCGTAGAAGGCGCGCGAGGCAGTCCAAAAGCAAACACAAAACAAAACAAACCAACAGAAACCAAACCCAGAGCCTTCATGCCCACGCCGGCAGGCTTGGACAGGCCACGTGCACTCACAGTCCCCCCTGAGCTGTGCAGCTACCTTCTCGGGCTTCGCTGTCATAAATGAGGACTTTGGATCCCTCCAGGACGATGTATTTCCGGTCCCAGCCTTGCTGCCCTCGCTTGTTATTCCTGGGGGGAAAAGAAAATAAGTAAACAAATAAATAAACGTTTGAATGCCTGAGAATTGGGTCAAAGGGACGGGTGGCAAGGAGGGGGAAAAAAGCCCAGACAAGATGCCTCCCTGGGAAATGTCAGGAGAGGAAGGCATTCTCCGTCTTTCATGTTAACACCTACCCCAGGCTGAGCCGCCCTGCCACCCTACCTGGGCACCTTCATCCATCCCTCCAGGTGCAGGTTGCTGCTGGGCTCCTTGCTCTGGAGTCCTGGGGAGTTCATTTTGTCACGGCAGAAGGCCTCCGTGAAGTGCATGGCGTATTCGGCGGGCAGGCCGCAGGTGGCGGGCAGGCAGGTGGAACACTTGGGATGACACATCACCTGGCACTCTAGGAGGGAACAGTGTACAATCCAACTCTCAGCTGGGCCTGAACCTAACCCAAGGCTTCCCGACCCCAGCTGGCCCCTGAGGCTAGCCCTGGCATCCTATCCATGCCTCAGCTTTCCCGGCTGCCAGGCCTCTGCAGGGAGGAAGGAGAGAGCCAAGTGACCTAATTTGCCTGTCTTCATCCCAGGTTGCCCACAAATGGGTGTGGGAAGGATCAGCCTTCAGATGTCGTCTGGAGCCAGGTAGGGAGAGTCTAGCCTGACAAGAAGGGGCTAGGAATGAGCAAAGATGGGGATACTTTGCAATGGGCTGCGGTCATGAACAGGGGACACATATGCTCACGGCTCAATGGCATTCTCCATGGAAAGGAGAAGCTTGCAGATCAATGTGGCTGATGGCAAGGAGTGAAACGCAAGGCACCAGACAACAGGTACCTGCATCTGACAGCTCTTCGACACAGAGGCCCCCGGCCGCAGCTCTTACCCAGGCATTTGGATGCTTGGCGTCCAAAGTGCACAGTATCCAGACACACAGCACACTTGGTGGCTCGCATGTTCAGTCCCACATTAAATCGGTGAGGAATATTGTGATGCATGCGCTCCTTAAGACGCCGATTAAATTCTGGAGGAAAAAAAAAAAGTTTACAAATCATTACAGTGCCGTGAATGATGCCAGCAAGAAAAAGACAAACCATAGAGGTGTGATGCGGGGGATATATCTGCAAATCATGTCTCTGTAAAGAAATCTTACAGCTCAAAAACAGAAGACAAACTAACTGAAGAACAGGCCAAGAAGCTGGGTGTTTGGCCTAAAGAGTAAGGCATCCCTTGGAAGGCCCGCATCCCGTATTAGTTCCAGGTTCAGTTTCCTGCTAATGCAGACCCGTGGGGGTGGCAGTGATGGCTCAGACAGTCAGGACCCTGCCACCCATGTGCGAGACCCATTCCTAGCTGCCAGCTCCTCACTTGGGCCTGTCCTAGTCTCAACCATGTGGCACTGAGGGAGTGAACCAGTACATGCGATTTCTCCCCTCTCTCCCTCTCCCTACTCCGTCTCAAATGTTTCTGAAAGGGGACAAGGCCAAGGGTTTAAACAGACATTTGCCCCAAGAGGGTAAACAAATGGCCAACAGGCATGTAAATAACTGCTCCCCATTATCAGTCACTCAGGAAACGCAGGTCAAAGCACCAGTTTGAGATACCACCAATCTCCTGCACTGCTCAGGTGAACGGGACATGACACAGCCAGGGAGGGACCTAACCCAAACTGTCCCACGGCCCAGGCATATCCCCGAGAGAGCCCAAGACACATGGACTCACAAAAATATGTACAAAAAGTTTCCTAACAGCAGAACTGATGACTGCCAAAATGTAGGAACGGCCACATGTCCATCCGTGGGATTAAAGGAAAAACAGGGGGTGCTATCCACATAAGAAAATAGTCAGCTAGAAGAAGAAACGAAGTTCTGATTGATGCTACACGCAGATCAATCTTCAAAAGACGCTGGGAAAGCAATGAGTCCCAAAGGGCCACATGTGACATGACGCCACAAGTGCAATGTCCAGAAGAAAGGAGCCGCAGACTAGTGGCCGTCAGCGGTTGTAGAGAAAAGCAGTGACCGTCAAAAGGCACAGAGCTTGGGAGGTTGTTCTTTGGGGGGGGGTCAGTGGGAGGGATAAAAACATTCAAATCTCAGCACTGGTGCTGTGGCGTAGCACGTTAGGCCACTGCTTCAGACACCTGCATTTCATATCGGACGGCTGGTTTAGGTCCCAGCTTCTCCACTTCCTTTCGGTCCAGCTCCTTGCTAATGAGCTAGCAAAACAGTAGAAGATGGCCCAAGTCTTGGATTCTTGCCACCCATGTGGGAGACCCAGATGGAGTTCCTGGCTCGTGGCTTCAGCCTGGAAAAGCCCTGGCTGTTGGAAGGCATCTGGGGAGTGAACCTGCAGAAGGAAGATCTCGCTTTGTCGCTCCCTCCCTGTTGCTCCATCTTTCAAATAAATACAGAAACAAAAAATAAAAACTTTAATGCTCAAAAATTACATTTTGATGATAGTTACATATTCTGTGAATTTGCAAAACAAACAAAAAACCTGAACTGTACATTTAACTGAATAAATTGAATGTAAAGCAAATTATATTTAAATAAAGTATTTAAAAACTGTTAAGGGTCCAGCACAGTAGCCTAGTGGCTAAAGTCCTTGCCTTGCACATGCCAAGATCCAACATGGGTATTTGGAGGAGGGGTCCGGGGGAGGTGAGGTCCCCGAGATGACGTTAGCGGTTTTCCGAGAAGTGGAAAGGCCCATTACCAAGCCATGATGCCTCAAGAAGTCCCTTGAGGACTCCATGCTGAGCAGGTGTCTGCACCCCACTCCTGGGTTCCTCACCCTCGACAACTACAAGCCACTGAAAATTTTATTCTTGGTGAATCGCTTGTCTCCAGGAATCTGCTAAAGCGACAGAGGAAGGACTAAGGAGAGAACGCACCCTCGGGGGTGGAAGACTCCTTTCTGCGGCTGGATGGCGGGGCCAGCAGGCTCATGGCACTGGGCTGGTGCTCAGGCGACCGCACGATGGCGGACATGGCGATCTGCTGCCTCGCGGTGGCTGGCGTGGATGGGTGTGGGTGTTCCGCGGCTTTCCGGTGGGCGGCTGCAGGAAGACGGGTACAATGGTTTACGGTCAGTGGGTTGCCAAGCAGGCTGGCCCCAGGCTGTTTTCCAAAGACCAAAGGCCACACATGACAGCCACGTGGCCACATGCAGCATGCTGCCAGCTGTGTGCCACGCTGGGGGTGCCTGCTTGGCAGGTATGTATGGGCGTTTTGCAAACATCGTCTTCATCCATCTCGCCAGAGGCTCTGCCTGCCCCCTCCGTGCTTCCCGAGACGGGGCGGGGGAGGTCCTACCTTCCTCGCGAGCAGACCGGAGCTCGATGCGGGTCTTCTGGAGGGCCTCCTCGAGCTCTGCACAGCGAGCTTTCTCCTTCTCCAGGGCCAGCTTCAGCTCATTGTACTGCAGAGGAACCTGTGTGGGCAAAGCAGGGTCCTCTTTCCGTCGACTAAATAAACCCTAGCAATGGAAACAGAGATATCTCCTAACTCCTGGAGACTGACACTGGGAAACTAACGACAGGAAACCTGACTGGGGAGAAGCAAAGCACAGAGGCTTGGGGCATACTCACTGTAAGTGCATTTAGGGAAAATGGCAAGTGAAGGGGCAAGGCGGCTGGAAACAAACAAAAAAACAGGGGTGCGGAAGTGTTCGCCAAGAGGGTTGGTTGGAGCTGCTTGCACTGCCACCCCCTCTTCCTTTGACAGTCTCAGGATAGGAGGACATTTCCTATGAGAATCTCTTCCCCCATAAAAAAATGCAATCAGGACAAGTTGGGAGGGTGAAGTCAGGAGAGAGGGGTCAGAGGGCACTCTTGCCTTAGATTTTGTCTCACGATGTTTATGACGAGACCCAGAGGGGAGTGGTTTACCAAACAGAAGCAAAAACAAAGCAAAACAACAACAAAAAAAACCCGAAAAAGGAAAAATGAAGGCTAAACATGACATCAAAAGAAGAAGTGTCATGTGAAAAAAAAAAAAAACCGCAAATGGAAACATTTAGCACACATGGAAGAAAAAAAAAAAAAAAAGAAAGAAAAAGCCAAAAATAATGCAACTGGAAAAGAAAATCAACTAAAAAAAAATTAAATGGAAACACCCTAACTACATCAAATGACATAACTGGGTAACAGTCGCTGCTAAAATAGAAAAGATTAAACATCATCAGAGTCACAAACATACAAGGTCATGCAGGTGCGAGAGGCTCTTCCCAGCAGCCAGCACTTAGCACGAGGCACCTCCCCAGGCGGTCCTTACCCCTGCTGCAAAGATGGCACCCCCAGTGGGGACACCTCACACACGTACCCCGACTCCCACCCCCACTGGTCTCCCATGCCCTGTCGAGGGATGCCAACTCCGCAAGGCCTTCCCTGAGAAAGCTACCGCCAATAAGATGAGCAAACCACCAGCCCCTCAGAGACCTTTCTGGAAGTAAGGACACTTGGCCAAACCTAGGATGAGTGAGGGCTGCAATGATCTGAGACGTCACCTGTTCAGGACTGCTAAAAGCACTCTCCCCACGTGCACCCACATCCAGCCTGTCCACAGTTGGTATTGATTTGTTACAATATAAAATGGGAGGGGCAGGGTACAGCTCTCTAACCAGAGCATTCCATCTCCCTGGGCTCCAGTCTCTGCATGATCCAAACAAACTCATTTCTGAGTCCCTTCTGGACTGAGAACTCTTCCAGAGTTCCCAGCAGAGGACCTACTGGACCCTCTGAATCCCCACCCGTGCAGCCATCTTATCTCTCTAAGCCGCTCACACCCATGACCTGCTGATCCCACTGCAGTCTAGAACACATGATCTTTGACCTTGGGAGTCATGTACACATGACCTAGTACACATGACCTACCCCACAGCTCCTAGGTGGTCACTCCCTTAAAAGAGAGAGGCATCACAACCTTAATGGCCGTAAACATAAAGTAACTGGCTAGACCTGACCAATGGTATCCCAGAAAGGGGCTACTCTCATTCTCTCAAAACCTAATTTTCTGACTACAATGAACAGGAACATGTGCCTTTTGCTTCCTTCTCTGTCCCTGTGGTCACACATGGCAGTGGTACCCACGGAGTCCGGGGTGATGGAGCGAGGCTGTCAACTCCCACTGGGACCCACCTTTTTCTTTTTAGCAGGTTGGTCCATTTTGGCTTGCAGAAAATCAATGAGTTTGGTTTGTTGAGAAATAGTGCCTTCCATTTTCACTTTTTCATGAGAATAGAGAACCTAAAATGCATGGAGAAATAAATAAGCAAAATAACCTCAGACCCAGATGGGAGAGTAAGTCCATAGGCAGTATCATCTGCAACCAGAGTGGAGGAAGTGCCAGGATCCTGGCATATGAGCATGCCACATGGATGGGCACTCTGCCAGGGTGCACACACATTTTTCAGTTCCGACCGTATCACAGGAGGGGGAAAAAAGGCGGGTTAATACATGACTAGATGCGTGAAAAAAAAAAAACAGTAAATGGTGGATGGTAGGATCCAGGTGGTGGTACCAGCCATTACAGCAGAGGTCTCACGCAATGGCACTCTGCCTTGCCCCCGCTTCCTGTACGGGTTCCCACCTGAATGTTCTCCAGCTGGTATTCCAGGTCACTCCTCTCCGTCTTCAGCAGATCAGCCCGGTCGAGGGCCTCTTGCAGCCCTTGGGTCAGACGGAAGATGTGGTTCTTCTGCAGGTCCATCTGCTGCTGCAGTTTGGCTTGCTGGTGCGGAAAGATGAGACAGGGGCTCAGCACCACAAGCCACCTAGCTCATGATCCCCCTCCTCCCCATTCTTATTCCCAAACTAATTTCAGGCACAACACCTAATGTTCAGCTTTTGAAATCATCTCACTCCATCATTAGTAACTGCCGTCTGTTACGGCCCAAGAGGATGTGGGCATGGTTAGAGAAAATGTGCAAGAGACTCTGTAATGGGCAGACGTCACAGGGTCCCCAGAGTAATGGGCACCAGGCTGCAATCAGAGGGAACCTCAGAGCATGGGGCACCTGAGACCCACCTGGAAGGAAGGCAGTGCAACTCAGGGCAGTGACAGCTAAGCGTGCAGCCCCTGCTTTCAAGACGAAGGTCTCAAGTGTTGTCAATAAGAGAGGAACTCCACTGCCCCCCACCCAATGAGCGCTGGTGAGGGATGCTAGCAAGTAGATTTGGTCATGTGTACAGCTCACTCCACTGCAGGCAGAGAAAGGAAAAGCTGAATCTCAGTGTTAGTGTTTGTGAAACCCGCAGGGAAGGAAATCTGATTTAGTATATCAGAAAGGGTTTTGTGCCACTAATTGCTTCTGCATTTCTACACAAAAGTCAACGCAGAGATACAGTGGACAACGAAAGACTCTTTCCCACCTTCCTACACAGTAAGTAGGAGCAGCCACCCTGATCAGCACCATGGCTGGCACTCAACTGGGCCCAGCTGCATTTCAAACATTCCTGCTGTGGGCCAATCCACCTCTTCCTGAGTGGCCTCGACCTTCTGCACACTTAGCACAGCGAGCCACACAACAACAGCCATCGCTACGGGAGTTTTCACACAGTTGATGGCAGGTCCCAGAACCTTCCACCCCGGCAGGCAGAGAGCTGCTGGCAACCTCAGTACACGCTGGCCCTGCTGACTTCATGCCACTTCTCCCTGCCTGCGCCTGTCCTTTCATTTCTACTCATCATCCACCTGTCCTGTTGAGAGGGGGCTGACTGTTGGGCATCATGCTCTAGTGTAAAGAACCTGGCTCAAGTGAGATTTTAACTACTCAGCAACATGACCGTGGGCGGCTCAGTGGCCTCTTGGGAGGGTACAATGCCTCCCTGGATGACGCATGCAGCGGGATGCCCAGCAGTTGGCAGGTGTTTACGGATGCTGGTACTCTCCATCTCCTTTGTCCTTTCAGCTTCTCTCCACCCAGTTCTGGCACCTTCCCACCTGCCATTCCCTTATAGTTCTGCCACAAAGCAAGAGACAATTACTAGTAACTAGAGATCGGCTGGCCTAACCGGAGTTTCCCAATCAAACTACAGTCTCCTAAGACACAGGGAAAAGAAAGAACAGCCAAGACACCCTCCTGATGGGAGCCATGGGTCCCTGCTGCCTGGGTCTCACCCACCAATCACCCTTTTCAGTTTCTCTCCGTTATTTTAGAACAACATTAACTACCCAGCAGGAGGTAGAGAAATGAGAGCTGGGGACAAGAGTCTGCTTGGTAACAGCCAGGCTCAACATCTGCAGATCACTTGCTTTCCAAGACACGAGCTGGTTACTTACTACAAAAGCCAACACAGAAGAGTGACATTTAGGCACTCTGAAATGCTCTTCGAAACCATTCACCTGCTTCCCAGAAAGAGGCGAATGGGTTAGCAGTGGACTGTGAGAAAGGCACTCAGCCCTGGCCAACAATCTTATGGGTGACGAGAGCACCCAGGAGCGAATGCAGCAGCCCGAGACAGAACTGGAGCAGGGAACGATCCCGACTGAGCAAGAAGGAAGGAACAAATGCGCCAAGAAACAGGTCACTCGGGTGGGGCTTCTCCACACTTGCACCGCACACAGGCAGAAGAGCGCAGTGATGTAGAGGAAGCACTGCTGATGCTCTCGCCGGCCAGTAGGAGTCCATACTGTGAGGGGACCCCCGCGGAGCCCTGGGAACGGGCAGAGGGCTGAAGGACCCAGGACAGAGGTAGGATCATCCCACGGCACCCAGTGCTGTGCAGCCCACAGGGGTCTTTGGAAACACCCCTTTGGCAAAGATAAATCCACAAGAAAAGAACATCCAAAGCTTGGAGGAATTGGAAATGTTTCACTTATAAAACAGAAGGCAACTTGGAGGTGGAGAGCTACTTGGATCTAGGCAACTGTCACAGAGAGGATAAAAGTAGCTCCCTTGTGAGCTCATCCCAAGGACGGTACGAGTTAATTCATGTAAAATACTCAGAAAGGCACCTGACACATAGTAACTGCTAAATAAATATGAGGTATTTTGATTACTTATCAAGTAATTTGACTACTCATCAATAGCATTCTCTGATTTGGAGACATTAGACTATTCTCTAATTTCAGGCTTTGGCATTATAGAGTCAATGGGTAGAAGTTTTAGGTTTTAGTTTGAAATAAGAAAGGACTTTCTAAGAATTAGAGATGCTGGGAAAAAAAAAATGGCTTCGGAGGGCAGCATTTTTTGCATGGTAGATGAGTCAAAACCTCTTTTTGTCTCTTTCAAATAAATACATGTTTTAATAAGGGTAGGCTAAGATATCCAAAGTCATCGTAAGTATCCAGGCCAATGTGAACAAGGGTCTGGGGTCTGGGGAAGGGGTTCTGTGCAGTGCATACAGAATCACATTAACCAGCATCCATAACTGAACTGCCTTCTCTGGTGATACATTCCAACAGACTGACAGCTGCTGTCAAGGACCCTGCCAGGGCCCGAGAGGGAACCTGCAAGAGGAAGATCCATGCGCACAGCCTGTCAGTGGTGGGCTTGTGGGTCACAGGAGCCAAAAGCTCCCCCAACGCCGAGGCTCTCACTCGGCCCGATCTAAACATCTCTGCACCTGCACTTGGATAGGATGCTGGGCCCACGCACATCGAGCACAGCCCAGAACCACGGCTCCCAACTGCAATTGGGGACAATAAACCTCAATCTTTATGTCCTAGCTGTTTCAGCTGTCTGTGACATCTGCTTCAAACTCAGTGTCAGCCAGATGTCTGCTCAAAAATCTCCCTGTGAGGTACAAACTGGGAAACTGGGAATGTTCTTGTGCCACTTAGAAGTGAGAACTAGGGAAGCGAGGCAGGCTTCCAGCAGCCTATTCCTGGCGCTGCCACTGACTCACCAACCAGTAACCTTGGACCACAGCACTGAGCTGTCAGGGCCAATTCGCCCTCCTCAGAAGGATGATGGGACAGGCAGTGTTTCTGTTCTTTCTGCTTCCAGCAGGTGGCTGCCAGGGAACACTGTCTATTCATCCTACATAAAAGGCCATAATTCTCTACTTAACTACCAGGCACATTTAAAATTTCCATTACAGGTTCAACATCTCTAATATTAAAAAAAAAATCTGGAATTAAAATATATATTATTTTATAAACGGACCTTACAGAATCAATTTTTTTTTCTCTTTGAGAAAAAGTGAGAGAGACAAAATGCCTGTCATGACCAAGGTGCAGGCTGGGAATCAAGTCACCCATCTGGGTGGCAGCAACCCAGTAACTTAAGCCATCAGCAGTGACTGCCAGGGTCTACTTAGCACAGAGGAACACGAGAACCAGGAGTTAGGATCAGGAATCAAACCCAGATGTACTCCTATATACGATGTGGGTATCTTAATTACTGTCTTTATAAATGCCTAACTCAAAATCCAAAACTTTTTGAGTGTTGATGTAAATGCCTCAAGTGGAAAATTCCACACATGACCCCTAAAGGGGTCACAACATACGTGGTCCGAAAATATTATATAAAATCGGCCTTCAGGAAACTGTGTAAGGTATAAACAACACAAAAATGATTTTCATTTTTAGATGTAGGTCCAACCTCTAAGAAATCTCCTTACATATATGAAGATATTCCAAGATTTTGAATCTGAAACACTTCAGGTCCTAAACATTCTGGATAAGGGATATTCAACCTGTGTGGTATTCTCCAGGCCATTCGATGAACTTTGTGTTTCTATATGTTTGCAGATGTACAGTATTAATTTTATTTTTTTATTTCTCATGGCAAAATGCACAGGGCATAACTGCTCATTAGCCTAAGTCCTCCCGTCTTTCAGTGTGGCATCTGGTGGCACTGAGGACACGCATACCACCATCATTGCTCTCCACAACTCTCCCAAACATGTATGCCAGCCAGATGTCTGTCTGAGACATACATGTTTCACAGTAACATTTTACACAATATTTAAGACTCACCCTAAAAATTTCACTACATTTTGCAAACCTATTAAGAGAGCGATAATACTTCTATCAGCAAATCACCTCAAGGGTGCTGGTTGAACTGACGGTCTCACTATGCAGAGAACTCTAGGGTTCAAGTTCTCATTAGGTAATCTGTATAAAGTGCATTTTTTCCTGGTAGGTCAATTCTAGCAAACAAAGCAGAATCATTAGTGAGTCAATGTGAAACCCTGACTGTGAGCTGGAAGTGGTCCTCCGTTTCTGCAGTGCTTTTCAGAACCCTGTCAAAAGGCACCGGAAATAAGAAAATGGCTGGGCTTAGGGATCAGTGTGAGCTGGACGTCTCCTGTCTCAAAAGCAGGACACAATTTGCGTTGAGTTCATGAAATGTGGTCTTTGACATAAGGTGATCCAGTCTCTACCCTATGTAGGAAGCTTACATTCATGGGTGTCCTTTCGGCATGAGACTTAACACGCTTGGGACCGCGATGCTAATGGACAGTTTTAACTTGCTATTCATTCACCTGTGAGTTTCCTAAGCCTCTCTCTGGCACAGAATCACTGTGAGCTTGCCAATCTATCGTGTACCATGCGGCAGGCTAGAGACTGAGACTCTCCGATCCTCACAACACTCTTTTTTTTTAAGATTTATTTATTTTTATTAGAAAATCAGACATACTGAAAGGAGGAACGACAGAAAGGAAGATCTTCTATCTGATGATTCACTCCCCCAACAGCCGGAGCTGAGCCAATCTAAAGCCAGGAGCCAGGAGCTTCCTCTGGATCTCCCACACAGGTACAGGGTCCCAAGGCTCTGGACCGTCCTCGACTGTTTTCCCAGGCCACAAGCAGGGAGCTGGATGGGAAGTGGGGCTGCCAGGATTAGAACCAGCGCCCATATGGGATCCTGGCATGTGTAAGGCGAGGACTGTAGCCACTAGGCTACCGCGCCGGGCCCATACAACACTTTTTTAAGGTTTAGATACTATCCTGCTCCTCCTTGAAAGCCCCCCATGTCTGGAGGTGCAATGTCTGCTTCGACCTGACCACCAGGACACACGGAGTCTCCATTTCCCCAGGGCCCTTTTGCTCACCTCTTCCAGAAGCCTCTGTTTGAGCTCTCGTTCAGTCTCCAGTTTCTGCTGCAAGCTCCGAGCATTCATTTCAAGCATAGCATGCTTCTTCTCCAGGTCATTGAGCTGGACATGGGGGAAAAATGACCATGATGCCACATCTAGGCCTATCAGATGCTAATAACTTCTAGCAAACTCTCACACGGGGAGAATAACCAAGCTCTAAAGGTCAGAATGACAACGTTGTTTTTAGCCATAAGTAAGTTTTCCAAGGGTTGTTTCCTGAGGTGAGAAATTCCTTCTGAGGAATGGTTCTTACAGGTGAGAAATTCCTTCTGAGGAATGGTTCTTACACGTTACTGTGACAAGTTCTACAGGGGTGAATGCCCACGAATTTATTTATCCGACATGCTTTGGCTGCATTTAATTAAATCATCATACAGTGAATGCTAACTGCCTGCACAGCAATAGAGCTCTGGGCATAAAAGCACGGCCGAGCTCTCCCAAGGGTTTCCAACCAGATCATGACTACGTGGCCTGAAGATAAATTGGATAAAAGAGCTGTGGGAAAGAGAAAGTCATCCCCACTGGGATCAAGAACGGCTGGGCTTGGACTAGCTGGACACACAGGAAGTGACTAGAATATCTGGAAGCATAAGAAACGACTCCTGGAAATTTTCAACAAAAGAATCCATTGGAAAATGAAGAACAGAAATACCAAGTTAAACATACAAGCTCAACTCTAATATAAGAAATTTACTTTTCTCATACTTTAAAAAAAAAAAGGTGAGTCAGCATTGGACAGCTCCAAGTGTGGGAACCTTGAAGCCCATCATTCTGCTCCTGTGAGTTTCTGGTAAGAAAACAGGATTTTCAGACATGGGAAGAAAACAAACCAACCCTACAAACAAGATTATAATACATATAACAAGATTATGGTACACAAAACATAAACAGGATTTATGTTGTTCATAGTGCTTAAATGGCAAAAAAAAAATTGGAAGAAGCCCAGATTCGCAGCACAAATAGGATACTTAAATCAGGTGCTGCCATCCAATTGATTTTTTTTAGAACTGCATGCTTCAAAATGTTCAATAACCCATAAAAGCAAAGCTTGTAATTATAGAATGTTAAAAAAAATGTAAACCTGCATGTATAGTAAAAACCCGTATTTCTACAAATGGTAATATATTTGTGTATATATGCAGACGCATAAACAGAAAGACTATCAAAAATTCTCCACTAATGTAACAGGGTAACAGGTTATTATACATTTTTCTTCTACTTTTCCCATGGTCTCTATATGTTCCATAATGACCTCAAGCAGTTTTTAAATACGAAATTACAAAGAAAATTTTAAAATCTAGATATAATGTGTGTATGTGAAAAAAATGTGAGCCTTGCACTTGTAAAATCTGATCTGTGCTTTTTCATCCATAACACTGAAGCAAAAAGCACCTGTTCTGTATCCTTCTAAAGTCATTAGCTAAAGAATCCAGAACATTCATGCAATATAACATGGAAAGGTCCACAGACAGAGCACATGTATATTTGCAGTGTGAAATATGGAGGACCTGCCTGTGTCATTATGCCATAATGTGCCCTGACCTTGAGGCTTAGGGAAACTGGCTAGCTGTGAGTGCCATCAAGCACCTGCCCAAGGATGCATGCTCAGCACTAAGTCCGTACAGCCCTGTTCGGAGTGAGGTGCCAGAAAACAAGAGAGTTGTTGCCCTAGATAGAAATTCAGGACGTTGGAGCCCAGATAGGGAGATGTTACCATGATAACGCGACACCCACCAACCATTCACACCATCACCATGCAAGGACGTCCCGAGGAGACACAGGTGACATTTCCAGAGGGAACGGATTTAAGCTCATGGAGTATGTTTACCAGGGACTGAACAGAGATTCATGTCAAGTACGGCTTTGAAAAACAAAAAATGCCTTTCCAAGAGGCCGGAGGGACGAGTGCTGACCTTGTCAGAGAGGCTCTCGGCTTTCAGCTTCTGCTCTTTGAGGGCCTGTTGCAGAGCGAGGATCTCGGCCTTGTGTTCCTTCACTGCCAGTTCCACCACCTGCCGAGACTCGGTGATCCGCTGGTCGGCCCTTGCCCTACCAGAGAAACACACAATAGGCCTGCTTTCAGAGCTCCCGTGCCCAGCGATCTGCAGAGGTGAGGCATGCATCCGACCCCGATAAGCAACTCAACAGGCTGAGAGCTACACAGATGCCCAACCTTGTCTTCTACTTCCAAATGATTTCATTCCCTCCTACCGCTGACCAAGCAAAGATGTGACCCATTTCAGGCATTGGATTTAAAAAAAAAAAATGCCCTTAAAAACAAAGGTTCCTGTGAGTACTCACTTGGAAAGGGAAAGATATTGCCAAAGGCAACAGAGCTGTACATGCTGTATCAGGACCAGCACAGCCTCTTTGTGAGCCTGGCCCACTGAAGGAACACAGGTGCTGGGACCATGGGAGACCCCACTGGAGCTGCAAACATTTCTTCTCTATAAACGTGTGCAAGAAACCAGATACTTTAGGGGCTCCAAGCAACTGAAGTGTGACCCAATGAATGGGTCCACAAGGAACACAGAAGAATGGAAACCAAGAGGCCAACTGGAAAGATGTTGTCCCCTCCCCTTTGTAGGTCAGACATTCTCCTACCCCACCCCTCGGCTCCTGCAGGCTTCTCCACAGACAACTCCCTCCGTCCACCCTTACAAACTCCAATATTACTCAGCCTTCCAACATAAACTCAACACCATGTCCTCCATAAAACCATTCCCAGCTCCTTCTTGGCCTGCTCCATACCAAAACTGTTTCTTGCCTAGTGCACCCAATGCCCTGCTTGGGGACATAAATATTAGGGTACCAGAGCCTATCTTCTCCACTAACCTTCTGAGGACAAGAATTCAGAGTTACATTTTCCTCATCTTGGTATCTCATAGAACATCAAAAGAGAACAGGAAAAAAGGAAAAGCCAAGCTTATTCAGAGCTGACCTGCAAGTCAACACGAAAACAGACGAACACAGACTTCTTAAGCACGTAACCATAATTACACCTTCCCTGTGAGCTTGTGTATTTCTTAATGATCATTATAATCATCACCATTAATACTACTGGAGAGGCAGACAGAGTTCTAACTACATGCTCACTCTCCAAATGCCTGCAACTGGGGGCCAGGCCAAGACCAGGAGCCAAGAACTCCTTGCGAGTCTCCCACATGGCTGGCATTGACCCCAGCACATAAACCAACACTGTCGCTTCGCGGGGTGTGCAAAAGCAGCAAGTTGGAATTCCAAGTGGATCCAGGCCTCGAGCCAGGCACTGAGATGCAGGTGTCTTATCTACCAGGTCTAATGCTTGCCCCTGACTTGGATGTGGAAGTCGGCTCCTGCCCCAGAAAGTTCTCTGGAGGATTCTAAGAACAGCCAGAGTAGGAGCCAGATTTGAAGATGGGACCGGAGCTCACAGCGAGGAAGTGGGGAGCCAAAGGGATTCAAGGAAAGCAGAAACAGCCTTGAGACATTTCCCCTACCCCCACCCTGGCCTCCCCGCAACAGCAAACACTCTGAGTGGGTGACTGTGCAAAGAGGAGCTATTTCCACCAGTGTCTCCTGATGCTTAAGGATTTTCATCTTTGCCAATATCTTTTCTACTGCAACTGAAGTGAGCCTAAGATTATCCATCCAACACATCTGGCTGAGTCCCAGAGGTGTAGCTGACACACCTGAGCAGACCAGGGGACCACAAGCAGGAAGCTGACACAGGCATGGTCATCAAAGAAAGACATGATTCAGCAGTCTGACCTGAAGCCATGAGGCTGATTCTGTCCTAGGAGCTATCCTTGTACCAACTGGAGAAGGCACCCTTTCTTCAAGGCCATTTCTTTCCATCTGTAAACTGTCCAAACACCCAACCCTTTCCTGTCAGGAGCTGTGAAACTATCACAGGAATACTTCACACCCTGATGTCTTCGATACAAACAGGCGCCTCAAGCTGTGCAGGCCAACCTGAGCTTCTGAGCCCCAGAGGAGAGGGCTTCCACGCTGGGGGAGTGCGACAGCAGAGCAGGGAGGCCGCCTGAACATCAGTTGTTCTCCAGAAAAACTTTGTTCTCCAGTCAACTTTTCTAGTAAAGCAGCAGTCCCCAACTGGAGGCCACCACTTGGCCCCGTATGAGGGGACACAAGGAACAACGTTTGGAGACATTTTCGGCCATCACAACTTAGCAAAAGGGATGCTGCTAGCACTCTGTGGGTAGAAAGAATGGCTGATGCTTGGTAACCTATGATGTCCAGCACAGTCACCTACAAAAGGAGCACCCAGGAGCTGGGGCAGAGGGGACAGACCAGCACCAGACGCAACCAAGATGAAAATGGTGGTGGTCTGGCAGGGACACTAGAAAACAAACTGAAGAGAGCATCTCTACCTTAACTCCGAGGTCACTGCACAGGCCAAAGGGACAGCGGCCACTGCCTGGGAATCTAGGGCCACTGTCCACAGCAGGGATGACCAGCCCCACCTGCTTTTCCTCAGCAATCTCCCAAGAACCTCCTCGGCCTCGGCCAAGCTGGGACAGCTAGTCACCCTGTTCACCACTCTTCTACTGCAGTCGCCTGCCATTGCCTCCCACAGGCAGGAATCCCACCTGCTCTGCTTCTCGGTGTCCAGCATCCGCTGGAGCTCTCGAACTCGACACTCGAACTGGGACTTCTCGTCCCCGAGGACACTCCGCCAGGCCTCCCACTGCCGCTCCTTCTCCAGCAGCTCGTCGTTCAGGGCCTCAAGGTCCATGACCTGCTCCTCCAGCATTGTGCAGGTGGTCTTCAGCGCCTCCATCGTCTATAAAACAGTACCACCGAGTTACACCTTGTACGAAATGAGGATGTCCCAGGCCCAGGCTCCGAACAGCACGTGGTTCTAACAAACGGACTGAGATACGGCTTCTCTCTGCTCCTCTAGTTGGAGCGGCTAGGACAGAAGGCATCGACAGCCAGCCTTTCCTACTGGTGCCTCAGAGGCAGAGTCCAAAGCAAGGCCTGGGGCATGAGGCCACATGTACGCTAACCTTACAGAGCATTCACTTTTAAGTTGGTTTAAATCAAAATGTAGAAGAACTATACACTTTCACAATGACAGTTCTAAGATCCCAAAACCTTGGGAACAAGGCACAATAGCAGAAAGAGCTTGTTTATGGAACAGACATCAGGAGGTACTCTGAAACTTTGGGGCACACCCCCCAGGAGTCAGGCCTCGTCTATGCTCCTCACCTGCTTCTGACTGGTGAGCTGCATCTCCCTCTCCGTGATCTCACGGCGGAGGTGGTCCACTTCACTCCGCAGCTGTACAATCTCGTCGTTGGCGCCGGAAGCCTCGTCGAGTTGCTTGGACAAGTAGAAGTTTTGGTTGTTGAGTTCGGCATTGTCCTCAGTCAGCTGATTTAGCTGCTCCTCCAGGTCTGTGATCACCTAAAAAAGCAAAGGAATCTGGTGATATGCCCGCTTAACAGTTCCTTTTCAGTAAAGAATCGCTTCAAGAGCTGCGGTTGGCTATCACCGTGCAGCTCCCAAACCCTCAAAGCCAAATCCATGTGTGCATGCCCACCCACTCAGGATGCAGTGGCAGAAGAGGGAAAGCCTCAGTTCCTCCCTAACTCAGGATACACCTGAAGAACACAGCAAAAGCCAATCCATCGAAAGTGATGGACAGGGTCACTTTAAGGTGGTAAATGCAAACTGAGCAAGGAGGAGCGGAAGTCGGATCATCACAAATAGGCTAATTAAGCTAGAAACGGCCCTGAGACCATCTATGGAGGACACTGCTACTGGAGATGACCAATGTGTCTTACACAGCGCGATAATGCTCTTATCATGGAAGACCGGCAGTGAAGGACACTAGAGTTATTCTAATCACAGGCAATAAATGTAATTTCATGCAACAGTGGAAACAGAAACTAAAGGGAAACTCAGAATGACCCTGCAGATACAGTACTGGAACACCTCACTTTAGCAGATTTCACTATACAGCTAGCTATCCGAAAATGGGAATTCATGAATATGAGATTGTGGTTTTACTGAGAGATTTAATCTGGTTTTTGCTCAATTATGTCCCTGTTCAGTCGCACAGGGACTTCTGCTTCAGTATACTTAGCTTTCTCTCGGCTGAGGCTTGATGTCATGGCTTAGAGAGAGCACTCGTCTATCATGCTTTAGAAATTTAAGGGTGATTTTCTAATAATAGTTGGAATGGGGTGCATGGGCAGTAGATTCAACTTTACAGAACAAAACAAAGTAAATTAAAAGGCAACGGCTCTTAAGCCCACAGTTACTCATTGTTTCCAATTTTCAAACTGAGAGCAGACCTACTGCATGAAACACTATCATTAATTTCCACAATCCGTATTTAACCCCTTTGATTATTAATTTTTTCAAAAAAATTCTTCCTGGGCATATGATTTAAGAACATCAGTTAAGTTCATTTGTTGAAGAACATGGCCCAGAAAACACAACTTTCCATTTTGTTAACTGAGCTGATGGTCTTACAGTGTTGTAAGTGGTCTAGTAGCTTGCTTTCTCAGTGTTAAAAAAAAAAGTGAATTGCTAATGTGTTCATTGAGATATGATGTCAGCTACAAGAGAGGAATCAAAGCTGAGCAGACGCTCAGCCCAACATGGCATCAGGGACAAAGGGAGCGAACTGCACATCTGTCATTCATGGCACACAGCTGTGCCTCATTGGGCAGCTCCCTCGTAATGGAGTCTCTTAATGTCAGAACTAAGGAACAACCAACTCCCCACCTGTTCCATTGGTTTGCTTCCTTTACATGGCAAACCTCTTCCATCCTGACACTTCACATCCTATACCATAAATGCCTCTGCTTAACCTCTACTGCATTCCCGAAGGAAGACAAGATGACTAAGGCAAATTGGCCTGGTGAGGGTTCCAGAGACACCCCGCCACCCCCAACTCAGCCACCTCGGGCACGGCTGAGTTAGATTTTCCATCTATGCTTTAGAAGCTCAACAGATCATTTTCTACTCCACCTGTTTTCATTTGTTGCTTTATTTCTTGTGTATTTCTTGACCTTCGTGTGTCACTGGAAATACTGGGAATAATGATGAATGACCCATATGATGCTTCATTTTTAAAGCCTCTTGGGAAACAGACCATAGGGAATCCATTCACATAAGCCTGAATTATTTACCTGTCATTCAGAGATATATTTAAGCCTTTGGGTAACTACTTACTTTCTCTGATTTATTTGTGTGTGTGTGTGTGTGTGTGTGTGTGTGTGTGTGTGTGTGTGTGTGCGTGTGTACAACATATCATGAATCCATTTCTGTCAATTCTTCCATTTCTCCCAAAATTAGAATACATAGTTCCAAAGAAGAAACACTTGAGAAAAGGCCAAGGAGATTCAAGGTTTTTATTGTCAGGATGAGTACTGTGCTGCAGTGGGTTAAGCCACCACCTGCACTGCGCACATCCCACATCAGAGTGCCTGGGTTCTGTTACCAGCGCCTCTCATGATTCCAGCTTCCTGCTAATACACATCCTGGGAGGCAGCAGGTGACGGCTCAGGTGCATGGGCCCGTCACTCCTGTCACTCCCGTCACTCCCGTGGGAGAACCCTATGGAGTTCTAGGCTTCTGGCCTAACCTACCCTGAGCTGCTGTGGGTTCTTGCGGAAAGAACCAGAGGGTGGAAGGTTTCTCTTTCTCCCTTTCTGTCACTGTGTCTTTCAGATAGATTGAAAATATATAAACATTGTTAAAGGGTTTATTACTCTCACTTCAGTGGAGATGGGCCCACTGTAGTGGGAAGGGTCCTTCTGTGTCGGTGATGTCATCCAGTTCTCAAGGGTTCTTGTGTCTCTGGTTTCTATTTCCAGTTTGAGAATGCTGCTTCTATATTTGGTCATCGTCTCTATTTTGCCCACTTGATAAGAAAAGAGTGACATGTCTGGATGAAGTGTCCATGCAGGGACTTGAAGCATTTTAATTCACTCAGCCTTTTTATATATTGTTGGTCCCAGCCAGAACATGTACAGGCGTGACCCTGCTTCAAGTCCCTGGGAACATGGCCCTGCCCACCCCATACACCCATACAGTATAGAGTCAGCCAACATGAAATTGAGTTGGAATACAGGCCGTAAATTAAAGGTCTCCCTGCTTTTAAAATGTCTGCCTTTGTGGTAGTCGTCACTTTATTCTTGCCTTATAGATGTAACTACAAGGCTAAGTGACTTTCCCAAGGTCACAGGGCTAGTAAATAACAAAGCCTCACCTAGCTCTGAAATGAAGAACCTGTGCTTTTCTCCTAAGCTGTACCACCTCTCTCAAACAGATGTGCGCATTCCATTCTTCCTTCAGATCCTCAAAACCAGAAATGATGGAGTAAGACACGCTGTCCATCGAGAATGGCACCCCTTGATTTTATACCAGGTTAACGTCCAAGGGGGATTCTTTATTTGTTTTAATCTGGAAGGCAAAGTTACAGAGAGGAAAGGGGAGATAGAATTCTCCCATCCAGTGATTCACTCCCCAGTAACCAAAGCTATGCTGTTCCGAAGCCAGGAGCTCAGAGCTTCTTCCAGGTGTCCCACATGGGTACAAGAACCCAAGCACTTGGGTCGTCTTCTGATGCCTTGACATGCCCATTAGCAGGGAACTGGATTGGAAGTGGAGCAAGCAAGTTTCAAACCGATACCCATGGGAGATGCCAGAGTTGCAGGCAGACACTTAACCACAACACCACAACACTGCCCTCCAAAGAGGATTCATAAGTCTACTTCGTGGCCATCGTAATATTGTTTCCACATTTCCACAATGATCTGTTTAGTAACAGGCTGTTATTATCAGGCTGTGAACTGTTCAACTCCATTCAGTTCATGCAGAGATGAACTGAAAGGCTGGTTGCACCAACGGAACTTTTTTATGTACATTTTTACAGATAGATTTTTGTGCAAATCTTTTAAGGGAGAACAAGGGTATTATCTACTCTCAGTGTCAAAAAAAAAAAAAAGGTGCTTGTTTGGAGCTCTGTGCTGCTCTTTGAGGCTGTCCTGCAAAGCTCCCAGCTCTGAGGAGCAGAGGTCAGCCTCTCTCCCCTGCAAGAACAGCAGGGGAGCATCAACGGCTCCAGGGCAGGCTGGAGAGCAAGCACCAGGCTAAAAAGACACAGAACTGCAATCCTATTTTAATGCTTCGTTCTTTCCTGAAGGCAGCTATTTGCATATTATTTATTTTTAATCTTATAGCTGACAGATTGATTCATAATTAAAACCGTGTCATATGTTTGCCCACCAACTCCCCTCTAAAACAGACTTAGGTAGGGCTGTAGGTGCCAGATTGAATAAAATCTTTTTTTTTTAAGGCCCTTCAAAATATAGACATAGTCTAGGCTTGGAAATATGACTGTTCCTGAGCTTTCTGAAAGCTGCTAACTGGGGAGCACCTCTCAATTGCACTGTCACGAGAGTCTCCACCAGTGCCAACGGGGGTGGCTCCTGGCAGACACAACCTTGGGCAGCACCAAAAGGAAGGGGACCACCCAGTGTGCTCATGTCAGGGACCTTCCAAGGGGCCTTGAACTTGGCAGCAGTGTTAACTGAGACCTCCTGGGATGGCCAGACACTGGTCAGAGGCTATGGTTTTCAGACTTTTTCAAGTAGCACAGCACTTTACGAGCAAGGCTATGTTATAAGCCCAGTACAAATGTAATGGTAACTGACATTGCTCAGTAGTATCTAAGGACCAGGCTTTGTGCAAGCATGGGGCACACACCACCTCCCTTAGTTCTTACACGAATCCTAGGGGGGAGGTGTTATTGCCAAATTCTATGACTCAGTGTTTTCTAAGTCCTACTGTTTCTGAAAATCTGAATGTATGCTGGAATGAAGCAACTATTTCTCCCCTCACCCAGCCCCCTAACAAGCAGTTCTGAAACCATGCCTCAAATAGTCCATGGTGGATTAGCATGAAGGATACCCGATGTTATCCCCATTTGACAGGTGAAGAAATGGAGGCTTAGGAATGTTACATCACGTAGGTTACCAAGAGACGAGTTAATAACATGAGTTCAGTTGGCCTGATTCCTGCGACCATGACATGGATCACTCAAGCACTACCTCAGCCCGTGAGCGGAAGGATTACTTCCTCAGATTTCTCAACTAGGGAAACTGTCCCCCACCCATCCACCCAAAAGCTTGGCCACAGAACACCAGACGTAAGTGAAGCAGGAATTAGAAGTCGCTGCTCCAGATAAAGCAAACTGGGAGAAGTTAGAAGATATATAAGTTAAGAAAGAAATCCAACTGTTTTATGTATTCTTATTCCAGGAAAACTGAGCTACCAGTTTTAAATGTGGGGGACAGAACAGATTCTTGGGGGACAGCAGGAAATTCCTGAGCAGAACAGTTGACATTCGTTTCTCTAACTGCTTCACTAGTTCCACAGATACGGAGACCCTGGAAGCTCCCCAAGTCACTGTTACATACGCCAACTAATTCACCCGCAACACAGCTACAGAAGTCATTTTTTTATTAGCAGTAGGATTACTTCTAGTGCCAAAAAGATTGGAAAAGGAAAAAAAAAATGATATGTGTGATAGGATTATACTGACGTCTGCATTGAAAACATGTCTGGGGTTACATCAGGAAAAACTGGTCATGTCAACACGCCAGTCGCGAATGGATGGGTGCTTCCCTTGAGATCACCCGGGAGTGTGTGAGAGACGCAAGAGCTCTGTGTCAAATGAGAAACTACAAAACTAGCCCAGGAGCAGAACCCAGCAGCTCCTGAAAGAAGGCAGGAGAGCAGGAGTAAGTCAACAGTCAAGCCTATCCTACTCCAACCGCCATGAGACCCCCCCCAAAACAAAACAAAATAAACAAACAAACAAAAACTGCCTGCAGGGCACCACTGGCACCTGTCAGTCTGGTGCGGACGCAGGCACATGGAAAACCCTCGCTCAAGAGCATTGCCAAAAGTGGTATGCATCAGGGAAACAACGCTAATGTCCAAACGCCAGAGAAAGGATGAGTAATCTACAGTTGTATGCATACACTACAAACACTCCACAGGGACAAGAAGGAACAGATTAGGGACAATGCCAACAACACAGAGCAACCTCAGAGAGGAGGAAGAAGCAACGAATAACAACCAAAAGATCACACCCTGGCTGACTATGTTTCTAAGAGGACAGTCAGGACTAGTCTATGGTATCAGACGTCAGAACAGTTCATTCCCCTTTGGGCAATGGAGGCTGAAGAAAGGTAATAAGCTGAAGAGAGATACCCCGCCCCCAACAAGAATAGGATGCCCATCTTCTAAAAAGGGACTGCTTCGAGGTCTGATCTTATCTAAACCTTGAGTTTCTATGCTCTCTATGGTGGGGGTGGGGATGCTGCTCATTTGCTAACGCAATCACTATTTCTTTGTATCAATCTCCTCTCCCAGATCAAGTGTTTGGTGCAGCAGTTCACACACTGCTTGGGACACTCGCATCCCCTGTTGGAATGGCATGGGGTCAAAACCTGACTCTGCTTCCATTCCAGCTTTCTGCCAATACACACGCTGAGAGGCATCAGTAAATGACTCCAATGGCTGGGATCCTACATGAGATAATGGGGTTCAGTTTCTGGCTGCCGGCTCCCATTGACACAACCCTGGCTGCTGCAGGCATTTGGGGAATAAACCAGTAGCTGGGACATACCCATTTCCTTCTCTCTCTCTCTCTCTCTCTCCCTCTCTCACCTTCATATAAGTAAAAATAAATACATTTTTAAAACATCATCATCCATGGGGTCCCAGAATTTGAACTTGCAAGTTAGGAAGCCAGATTTGGCCTTTTTTGAAGGAAACATTGCTAGGTCTCAACAGAAGGACAAACTTGACTTTCCTGTGTGCAAGGGGCAGTTGAGAGTCGTCGCAGAAACCTCCACAGTGGCAATCAGACCGTTTCTGTCCTGGTCCGGCCCCCTGCCCTTCCACGGGAGGCCAAGAACAGGAGCTATCGTGGACCTTGACTGCGACTTCAGTAACCCACCAGTGAACCACACAGAGAATCATGTGACTTTCCCGACAACCCTCCTCCCTGGCAATAAAGAAAGGCTGTCATTAAAAAAAGAAAAAAACTGACAGAACCCCGAAAGATAGATTATGGCGGGGAAGGGGGTAGGCTCCAAAAGGTCCAAGTCTGACCAGCACTATCTGATCTAAGCTGCAAGTGTGTATCAAAACTCAGTCACTGGTGTAACAGAGAAGCCACCCCCTGGTTCAGATCCACATCATTTGAATCATCTTGGGTGAATTAATACTCACAGTACAGCTGTTACGAAGAGCATCAAATTTGCGCTGGATTTCATCTCTATGTGCCTAAAAGGTAAGAAGTGGATTATAAATTTTTCATCGGGTAGAACACATTCCTATACGCTACGGGTCAAAGTAGAGAGAGCAGCGGATTGCTGGGAAAGCCACAAATCGCTGCCATGGCAGTCCCGGCATCCGCTTGCTAGAGAACTCATTAATCAAGTCATCCCCGACACCAGAAACAGAGGAACATGAGACACCATGTGAATCACAACTGTCTAGACCGCACATGCACGCTCTGCACGCAAATCCCGTGAACGTTCACATTCACACCCAGGCGCTAGCGGGAGAAAGAGGTGGAGAGGGTGGGGAGGAGCAACCTAGGCTGAAGCTCCTGCTTCCTTTCATCTGTCCCATTCCCACTCTGCAAAATGAGTGGCTTTCCTCCCCAGCCTGAGCCCTAAGATGCACAACACACACACACACACACCCCACAGGACAATAGCCAGGACGTGGCATACGGGATTGTTGTTTTCATCAAAAGCTTCCAAGATTACAAAATGCTAAGGGTCCCTTGAAGTAAACAGTCTTTCTCCAAGGCTTGTCCGCCAAACAGGTGTGTTCAGAGCATGTCGTATGTGCCCACAGAAGAACACACCTTTTTCTGGGGAGGGGAGACAGAAAATACCTGAGTGCAGGAGCACACATGGGGGGTGGGGGAAAAACACAATGAGAGGAACAGACAGAAACCAAAGAAAAAGACAGGATGAACAAGACAGCGAGCCCAGCCAAGCACAAAACAGGAGAAAGAGTAGAGGGAACAACCTTTGCAAAGACCGCAGTTAAGACCAGTCAGGTGCATGTGAGCAACAGAGTAAAGTCTGAGTGGCTGCTATGGCCCAATAGCAAGCAGGAAAATTGAGTTTTCTGTTGCCTTTTTCTTTTTCTTATTTCCCTTCCCGGCTTGTTGTGCCCATGAAATAAGCAGAAACACCTGGATGGGCCTTGGGTCCTGACGGTGAACACTGTGATAAGAAGTCCTCAGATCTATGTAGCTACCGATCACAAGACCTACCACTTCCACCACAACATGTTTATTTCTACACACGACGATTATCACATGTGCCGATTTCACACATCACAGGACTGAAGAAAGAAAAAACATGAGGGAGTTTCAAAAGTCCAAGTGAGCATTTAGCTAGTGGATAATACACTCAAAGTCCCACGTTCAAGTGTATAGGCTCAATTCCTGGCTCCAGCTCTGGACTCCACCTACTTATGCAACTCCTCTGAGGAAATGGGTGACAGCTCAAGTAACTGGATTCCTGTCAGCCATGTGGAAGACCTGGATTGAGTTTTTAGTTTCTGGCTTCTGCCTCAGCCCAATCCTAACCTCTGTGGAAATTTGAGTTAAACAGGAGATGAAAAATTGTCCTTGCTCTGTGTGTGTGTGTGTCTACAACCACACAGGCCTGTGCATGCACCTATCTGCTTACCACATAAATAGATGAGACTTTAAGTTCATAGACCTGGCGTGACAGCGTAGCAGGTAAAGTCCTCGCCTTGAATGCACCACGATCCCATATGGGCGCTGGTTCTAATCCTAGCAGCCCTGCTTCCCATCCAACTCCCTGCTTGTGGCCTGGGAAAGCAGTCAAGGATGGCCCAAAGCCTTGGGACCCTGCACCCACATGGGAGACCTGAAGAGGCTCCTGGCTCCTGGCTTTGGATTGGCTCAGCTCCGGCTGTTGTGGCTGCTTGGGGATTGAACCATTGGACAGAAGATCTGCCTCTCTGTCTCTCCTCCTGTCTGTATATCTGCCTTTCCAATAAAAATAAATAAATCTTTTTTTTTTAAAAAAAAGAAAAAAAAATGGAATAAAGGGATAATGTAATTATCTCCAAACCTTTCAAAGTCCCTTTGTGCACACTCCACATTAGATTGCTGATAAAAATATATGTTTCTTCTGTGGGTACTGGCCAGACAATCTCTGCAAAGGCACAGTAGCAAGGTTAAGAAGCAGCCCAAGACAATTATAGACAGGCAGGCAGGGACCAAAAACCTTCAAGTTCGGTAAAGAGCTTGGGCTTCAACCTAAATGAAACTGGAAGCCAACAGAGGATTTTAAGGAGAGGAGGGCCAGGTCTGACTGTTGTCTCGGGCTCCCCATGGACATTATGGGAGACCAGATATAGAGAAACCTGGGAGAAGGTCGTTTTCTGGTACAAGATGATGGCAGTGCAGAGTAGGAGGGTAGCCAAAAACAGATGAGCAGATGGAACTGGGGGATTTCTTTTGGAAACCTAAGTGAAAGGGTTTGTTGATGGATGTGCTGACAGGAAAACAACAAAACAAAACAACAGAGAAAAACCTGGCAACTTAGAATTCTATACCAAGGAGGGGGCAGGGAAACCTAGTGAAATGAAGATTCTGTCAACATGCAAGCTCAAGAATTTGCTACCAGCAGACCTGTGCTATTAAGAAGCATTACCGCAGGTCCCTTAGGCAGAGGAACAATGGCACCCACAAACGGATCTATACAAAACAAGGAAGAACAGTGAAGAAGACAACACAGCAAAAACACCTGCACAAAAACTGAGAAAGTTATAAATGGAACATTTTAGATTAGAATAAACTTCGGAAATAATTGGCCTGTATTTATCTTTATAGATTTAAGAGGTCATGTTTTTTTCCTAAAAAAAACAAAACAAACAAACAAAAAAAACTATCTGCCTTCTTCCCTAACAATGAGATGGGTTAACATGATGTGCTAGAAATCCCATTCACCCCAAGTAGGCACGTAGCTGAGATCAGCCCTGGAAGCCATCAACAGCCTGGCCCCCAGGACCACCCAGGCCCTCCAACGGGTTCCATGACAATGAAGGACAGAAGGCAAAGACACGGCCTAAGAAGTAACGAGACCCCAGCGTTAACCAACCCAAGGTTGGAGGCGGGACGTTTGGTCCAATCAGAACTGCTCGACCATGTCCTCACAGAGCAACAGCAGCTGCTGTCAGCATGCATTTACAAGGCTGCGGCTGTGTTTCAACTGAACCCAATTTACAGAAAGCACGTGGCTAGCTGGATTTGGCCTATGCACTGCAAGTCCCTGCACTAACTATCTAGTGTGAAATCACTCAAAGGCAGAAATGGGAAAGTGGTGGTGGATTTACAGCCTCCAAATCATGAAGAGGAGCCCAGACAGGGCCAGGAGCCTTGGGCCACATCCCCACAAGGCCCTACTGCTCTGCAGATCAGAGTCTGCAACTAGCACCGCCTCCTGTCAAGGCTCATGGAGCGGTCCCAGCAGTGTCTGCAGTGTCAGTCATTTCCATCCGAATCGATCACCAAGGGGTCTTTGGGTCAATTCACCACAGCCAATGATGATCTTCTCTGAGGTGATAAAGTAACAAACCTTTGGTCATGCCGGCCTTGGATCCATCATCAACTGTGAAACACACACACTCACTCACCATGCAGAATGGATCCCATCATGGCTACCAGAAACACTACAAGCATGTATCAATCACAGAAGTGATCTGAGTAAGAAACTAAGACACAGTCTCTCTCATTTAAAACAAACAAAAAAACCAAAAAACAGTAAAATGTCAAAAAAGTAAACAAGGAAACTAAACTCTATAAAGCAAAGCTCTAGGTTCTCGCAATGAAATACCTTAGTGCTAACTAGGTGTTAGGTATTACCGGGGGGGGGGGGGCGCTGTTTGGGGGGAATACAAAATGATTAAGAGGAACTAGCACTGTGGCATGGCATGCTAAGCCTCCACCTGCAGCACCAGCTTCCCCTACAGACACTGGTTCAAATCCCAGCTGCTTCACTTCCAGCCCAGCTCCTTGCTGTGGCCTGGGAAAGCAGCAGAGGATGGTCTGAGGCCTTGGGTCTCTGTACCCATGTGGGAGACGTGGGAAGAAGCTCCCAGTTTTGCATCAGCTCAACTCTGGCCATGGCAGCCATTTGGGAAGTAAACCAGGGTATGGAAGATCTCTCTTTCTCTCTGCAGTCTACCTTTCAAATAAAAAGTAAATACACAAATCTTTAAAAAAAAAGTCTCCAAGAGCTCTTGCTTATGTGAGTTGTGCCTGCATGTGCCACATCAGAAGTTAAAGCAGAGATATTCTTAAAATATTGGTATTCCTTTGAAAATAACAGTAATATTGCCTTTGTGTCATGAGGGTGCATGTTGACACAGTGGAAAATGTCAAGATTGTGGGAATGGTCTGCCCCCTCAGTCCCGACTGACCACTGACCAGGGGCTGGATGGTGACCAAGGGGAGTCATCAGGCTGCAGTCAACCTTACCCAAGGCCCAGGCACAGCCTCTTCCAGCAGGGTTTGTGGATGACAGCTAGTGACCGCACAGCCTTGGTATGAGGGAACACCACAGCACTGCAGACCAGAAGCCAGGATCCAGCTGCCTGACCCCCTCCCTGGCCAGGCTCCTGGAACACGGCCTTCCACAACACCAGCCCATCCCACTCCACCCCAAAGCGGCCCTGATGTCACATTTTGGCTATCGTGCCAATGTCTTATTAATCAAGTACAATCTACAGTGTAACATAAGAAAATGAGAGTGTGCCGTGATTACTGTTTTACATGAAAAGCAATGGCTCTGGGGTCCTGCCCGCATGCTGGGAGTGGGGAGGGGTCCTTTCACTGCTGCCTGTGTCAGTTCTTTGACCACATCAGTATTAGAGCTTGGAGCCAGGAGCACAACACAGGCCCACGAGGTCTCACTGGCGTGCTCGAGCAGCCCAGCAGTCCCACTTGCAGCAATGCTTGGGCCCTATCCCCCACTGTGCACTGTGTAGTCTCCAACTTTCTTCCTTCTAGATCAAGGGAACACACAGGATCTTAATGATCAGGCCCAGGCAGGAACCTTTCTTTCCCACCCATGACCAATAATATCTCCTAAAAACTGCTTCTGTTTACACCCGACTTTGCTGCGGGTCTCCACCTCCTTTTAGCCTCTAATGGCCATGGATTTCCTTGCAAACGTAGTTGGTTGGATGGGAACAGGGAGAGTGGGAAACAAAAAGCACCAGGAAGGCTGACAAGGGATTCCCAGAAACCCTTCCAAGCTCCTGCCACGGAACTCTTCAAGTGCACCATGCACCATCTGATTTGGCCTGGAGGAGGGAAGCCAAACAATGTGGCTGCTCCTTTGCCAGGCCGGGAGGCGGATGGCCTCTAAAAACGAAGCCCACCTGACCATTTGCATTGACTGATGAAGCAGGCTGCTGGGAAGCTCACAAACGTCCTACAAGATCATTTTGATTCGATCCAACGGATGCCGGCACCGGCTCTGAACCCAGGCTCCCAATAACCAGAAAGCAGAATACACTGAATTTGTGACCATTTTCTCATTTTCTTCAAAAAAGTGCATTCTGCAGTGCCAAAAGCCAAGCGAGCCACTGGGGCAAGCACCACATGCTGGCCACAAGCAGGTTCCCAGAGGACTGCAGCAGGAGGCAGGGGATGGGCAAGGCAGTCCACAGCTTCTGCAGGGAACTGAAGTGAGGGGCGGCGGCAGGGTGGGGACTGGTTTTCTAAGGTCCTGGCACCAACCCCTGCTGCTTCTGCAGACAAGCCCCGTTTCCCACAGCTGTTTGAGCCAGAGAGCCCCACTTCCCAGTTCTCACAAGTTGCTTGCTGAAGAAGATGCTCAGAGGTGGCGGATCTCCTCCAACTGAACAGAGTGGTAACTCGGTGCTGAGTGAGGCTTCCAGCAGCCATTATACACAGCATGCGCCAGCAGGCAGCAAGACGGCAGGATTTAAAGGAGTAATCTCCCCATGGATAAGCAGCGGTGACATACGCTCTGCTTTATACCCTCCCTCTTGCCATACGGAGCCAGGATGAGATACATAGCACCACCTCCCCTCCCAGGTTTCCACACAGCAGCCAAGATCAATGTGTCCTTCTCAGCTGCTCCAAAGTAAAAGGATTTGAGGAATTACAGGCCAAGGCCCTGGGGGGAAGAAAAGGCTAGAAGACACTGCATTAGGCACACAGACAGAGCTCATTAAATATGATGTCTCCTTTTCTCCCCTCTAGAGCTTGGGTGTTCACACCGAGGGGAGATATTAATATCTACGCACAAAGCATTAAATAAAGTTGTTGTTGACATTTAAGTGTCTTCCTTCAACAATGCTTTCTGTCTTCCCCCCACTCTCCCAGATCCAGCAAACACGTAAGACTTCCTGGCATGCACTCCGGGCTGCGATTCATTCTCACCTCCTTTCTCTCCACTGCACCCTCCCAAATTACAGTCAAGTTTCTCTTTGCCTTTTCTTCCTTCCTTTGTCCTGTTTCACTGTTTTGCATCTTTCCAGTCAGTTCATTTTGAAACAAGAACCAATATATAACTGTGATTTCTTTTATTTCCACTCCCCAACCCCAACACTGGAGGTTCATGGCATCATTTACTGAGTGTTTTCAGAAATGATGGAACTTAAGGTTGCAGTTGGCCTCTGGCCTAGAAAAATCTAGAATGCACAAACACTTTCCATACAGAAACTACTCTGAACCTTTAGAGCCCCAGAAGCCTCCGGGGCCCTGACTGGCTGCACAAAAACCCCAATACTGTTAGACTGCATTTCCATGCGCTATAGAGGCTGGGATTCCCAAGTTCAACAGCAGCCAATAACTTTTAAAGATGAGACTGTCACAGGGGCCAGCGTTGTTGAGGTGCAGTGCAATCTCAGCAACTCATATCAAAATATTGGTCCTAATGGGCTGCTCTGCTTCCAGTCCAGCTCCCTGTGCCTGGGAAGGCAGCTGAAGACAGCCCAAGAACTCTAGGCTCCTACCTTTGGTCTAGCCCACCCCAGGCTGTCACAGTCATGTGGGAAGTGAAATAACAGATGGATAGAAGATCTCTCTTCCTCTCACTTTGCCCTTCCCTTTTTCCCTCCCTGCATTTAACTCTGCCTTTCAAATAATCTCCTTATGTAAAAAAAGAAACAGATATTTACATTACTTTTCAATCAGGTGAATCAGAAGCAATGAGCATGCAAGAGCTATCTACACATGTAAGCCTGTTCCAAGAGCTCTCTAGAGATACCCACGGATAGAGATGAGGGTGGCATCCAAGTTGAATGGGTATAAACAGGACACCCACTTAGGTACCTTATTTTAAAACCACTGGGAACCAATCAGCTACATTATACCCAGTGAGCAGGGGAGGACGCCCTGACCAGCAGGCATGAGTATGCCCACCTTCTTGGCAGGTACAGTGTTTGACCATGAGAAACGTATGTGCTAATGTGACAATAGATGAAAATTATTCTGTGCTCAAAGCCCAGGGTCCGCCAAGCCAAGCTTCCAAAAGTCACACAGTGTTCTACGTGGCTTCTGAGAAAGAGGAGGAAATGAGAAGATTTTACCCACTACAAGGACCATAGTTGGCACTGTAAGTTGATAAGCTAGTTGCCACTTTGCCACGGAAACTCAAAGGGGTTTTGTTAGTGTGAGTCAGACCTGATGAGAAAGATCAGCTGGGGGAAAACAGTCTTGTTTTTAGATTTCCAGAAAAAAAAAATGAGGGCAGAAACCCAAGGACCTCCCCCACTGAGGTCCACTTCCCGAGAGCACACTCCAGCTGAGTCAGCTAATATCAGAGAAGAATCACTCCCATCCAGATGATTCCAAGTGCATATGCAATTCAAGACACAGAATCCACAGTTGAAGAAAAAGTAACACAAATGAAGGTAATCAAAATAAAAGAGTTCTGGTAGCAAAGACTACAACTTTAAGATACAAGATTTTTTTTTTTCTTTATGATTACTGGAAACTAAAGTAGAAGATCAAGGGAAAGCAGAAGTCAGATCAATGACAACCACTTTGAAAGCAGGAAGGACATAAATAAAGGGGAGCTTTTCAGAATGCTGCAGAGAGCTCGGCTCTGACCGACGACACCAGTCCCAGAACTCCAGCAAAGGGGAAACCTGCGGAGCCCTGTTCTTTTACCCTTTAAACACTTCTGTGGGCCATTCTGGCCCTCTGGGTATTTCTGAGCGAGCAGATCCCTCAGGCGGTGCCACCCTCATCCCAGCTGAGGCCTCCAGCCCCGGAAGGTGCCCTCCCCAGACTCACCGTGAGCGCCTGGATCTCCTCTTCTGCCTCTGCAGTGGTCTCCTCCAGCTCCGTCTTGGCCTGGCGCAGCTGGCTCTCCAGGGCGGCCCGTGCAGCCTGCAGCGCCGTCAGCTGGGACTCCCGCTCCTGCAGGGAGAGCTGCAGCTCTGTGAGCTGGCGCTTCAGCTCCAGTTTCTGCTCCTCGTGCTCCAGACTGACCTGAGGAAGGCGAGGACAGGCCATGCTGATGGCTGCCAGGGAGGTGATCAGAATGCCACCTGCTGCTTTCAGACCACGTGGTGGGGACCTAACTCCCAGCCTTCAACAGGGTGGAGTGGGAGAGTGGGTCCAGGTGGGAGGGCCAAACAGCTCCAAGTCCCAAACAGCTCAGACACCAGTTACAAGTGAGGATATATGAGGGGGCAGAATTAACACTTGATGAGTTAATGTTATAATGGCTACAAGGCAGAGACTTAATCCAACTGTGAAGTATAAAGTTGGGGTCTTAGGAAGCAACTGGGTTAGATTAAGGAATGGGGCAGAGCTAGGGGCTTCACAGATACGCCCAGGAGTGCTCCCTGTCTCACCCTGAGATTCTACTGCAGCTGCTCTGCCACCCTCTCTCCTCAGCAGACACAAGGCCCACTGGGGCCACCTCATCCTCAAAACCATGAACTGAAACGCACTGTCTTCCTTCTTAAGTAGCTTTTCTCAGTTACAGCAACCAGTCAGCTCAGATTTTTTAAAAAAAAAAAATTATCATACTGAGCATGTATATAGACTGTTTTCATTATTCCTTAGCAAACAGTAACTATTTACATAGCATTTATATTGTATTAGGAGTTGGAAGCAAATCAGAGATGATTTGAAATACACAGGATAAAGTACATGTAGTTTGCACAAACTATGCCATTTTATGTAAGGGAGTGGAGGACTGTGGATTTTGGTATTTGGGGGTAGGAATGCATCGGAGTATCTTGGATCCAATCCCCCACAGTCACAGATGGAAAACTGTGTACTCTAACTACCCCTACTTACAAATATCCCAACGCCTGGGGAGGCTTCAAAGGTAAAACCACACACCAAGGACCACAAATGGGAATGACGATAATTACTCTGAACAGAAAAACGTTTAAAGGTAAATGGATGTAAATACTATATTAGTAACAGGGACACTTTGATCATTAAAATGCAAATGGAATAACAGAATGAATTTCATTTCTTTGAAACATCCTGGGCTCTCTGATTTGTTCTCATTAGGTAACCCACATTACTGTCACCTCAGGAGCTCTCCTTCCCTTCGCCCATCCATCCACCTATCTAACTCTATGTTTCACACATTAATTTAAGGATAGTAAAAAAAAAAAAAAAAGAACATGGAGAAGAGAGAGCCTCTACCTTCAAGTGGGGGCAAAATATGAAAACCGATTATCCCTGTACAGTGTGCCAAGGACAAAAGCCAGCCCGTGGGTTTGTCATGGGTATACAGCAGAATGCTAAGGAGCTAACTCCAATCCTGCTGAAGAATCAGTGAGACTCAAAACAAGCCGAGGAGGAAGAGGATTCCAAGCTAGGAAAGCAAGACATCCAATGATAGGGATGTGACAGAGACCATGGCATGTCTGCTGACCTGACCAACACTGACAAGGCCATCCTGGGGCCTGCGGTCAAGAGAATGAGACGCTTGCTGTTCAGGGGAACTGTCCGGAAGTGGAGCACACAGGGGTAGCTCAGCACAGGAGGCTGGGTGCATGCAAAGGACACATCCAGGAAAGATAAGAGAAGATAGACATGCCAGAGACTTAATGTGCAGGAACAACAGGAGTGGTGAGCGAGAGGTGGGGAGGGAAGGCACAGTAATTCCTGTGTTTCTAGATGAGCAATTACAAACAATGAGAACATCAGCTATAGCAAGGAGAGGGAAGAGGAGAGGAAAGGAGAGGAGGGGAAGGGAGGGGAGGGGAGACCAGACTGAGGAGAAAGAGAAGAAATTCAGACGTGGCATGCTAAATCTGAGCCCCATGGGACACATCCACATGGAGATGTCGAACACAGATTGAAACAACAGGCCAGAAACAAGCCAGAGGTGGCTCTGACTCGCTGAGCTCCATCTAGGGAAGAGAGGGGCCTCGGTAAGTCAGAAGAAGCTGCGAACTTGGCTCAGATGTGTACTGCTGACGACTACAATGATGATGATGAGAGTGATGTGACAGCCACAGACACAGAACTCACAACATGCCAAAACAACCCATGATAAGCAAACTGTGGCAATGAGTGACAGATTAGGCACTGAAGCAAACATCACATGAGCTCAAAATAAAAACACAGAACTAGCATTTGAACTCAGGACATCTGGCTCCAGAGTCTACCTTCACAGACAATGCACCTAACACCCCTCACTCTCTGTCTTACTGAAATGCCAATAGAGCAGGCAAGGACCAACAACTCTGAGAATTTCCCTACTGCCATTTGGCACAACCACGAGAGGCAGTGGCAGAGAGCCAAGGAGACGTGGGGGTGCTGAGAGGTGGGTCATGAAAGATGGAGCCAGGAGCCTTGCAAGCTGGCCACTCCCCAGCCTTCCCTGAACAAGAGCTAACCTTGCATACACAGGAGTTAGAGGAGGCCTGGGGCCCTTTAAGGTAGACCAACCTCAAGGCTGAGGCCTCTGCCCTCAATCTCACTAGCAGCAGGTGGCCCAGAGAAGATGAACTGGCCGTGTTATATTTAGAGCTAAACTCCAAAACGCCCAGGGAGAATATAGAGCTCTGAGCCTCTCATCAAACCTTTTTTATGTTTCTCCTTCCATCTTTGGGAGGCCAACCACACCAACTCCCCCCTCCCCCCAAAAAAAGCTTCCTGGCTTCCTGGGGACATTGAAATGGCCCAGAGGAGCTACAGCTGTAAGGCAGGCTCTTGAGAACAGACTCTGTGGAAGCGAAATGCAAAAGACATCCAAAGTTTCCAAGCTATAGGATCCTGTCTGGGTTACCAACACTCACCCAAGAGTAAAGATACAGCCTAACTTGATAAGTTAAAGTCCTACCCCAAGGCTTCTGGAGGAGATGAGACAATGGATATGGTGTGAAGAATCACCTAGAGGATTGTTAAAGACAACTCATTCCCTGTCCATTTCTTTCTACAAAGCTAACACTAAGAAATTTGCATTTTAAATGACATGCTGGCAATGCCAATGCAGGTGTCCAAACCTTGACAACCTCCTCAGATACACCAGCAAGTCATGTTTTCCTGTATTCGGAGAACCAACTTCATTCTGATAGCCCAGTTTGTAACTAAACTTGGATTCATGAAGATTTACATTTACTTCTCAGAATGCCATCCTGGTTAGGAGTCATTTCTTTAAGACCATCTTTGAAAAATCCCATTACAAGTGTGTGAGCACATGTTACACACAAGACACTGGGTTTCCATTCGCAGTTCTCCTGGTCCTGTATTCTACCAGGACCAATTCACTCTGCCTGCCAGGCTGAAAATGCCCAAGACCATGATTTGTTTGTCCTGTTACTACCATCCAAGATTGTTTTACACCTAGATAGGGAAATATTATTTTGAAGATTCCTAACTGGCCTGCAGAAGCCTTTTCATGTACATGCAGTGACTATATGAATGTAACTTCTTGTCTTTAGTCAACCTCAACACATCTGCAACCAAACTGTCTTGCCCTCCCGGTCAGGCTAGGCTGTTCTCTTTAGCTTCCTTGTAACTCCGAGGACAATGACCCCCCAAATGAACTGAATTCAGTCTTGTCCTTGAATGGGACTCTGCCACGGTCATCCAGCCACACTATGTGCTTGATGCTGCTAAGGTCTATGCCTGGCTTGGCTCATGTGGCCCCCCAGGAAACCCTGAGAAAGTAGGACTTGGGCTGCTGCCACATGACAGATGCATTCATTACAAGAGTCCCCTACATGGCCCCAGGAAAGAGACACATTGATGCACCTGCAAAACTAACAAGAAAAGGACAGGACGTGCACATCTAATTCAGATCCATGTGGTCCAGTCTGCATCCTGCCTCCCAATGCACAGTGCCTTCTGCACAGGTGTGGCTTTAGGGGGAAGCATGCCTGTCTTCAGGTCAACAGAACCTCTTGGGAGACAGCTGCTCGCTCTCACCTCCCTCAACCTTGTCTCCAGTTCTAGCAGCCGATTCTTGTCACTGTGGTCTTGGTGGCTGATCTTCTCCAACTGTTCTTCTAGCTTTCGATTCTGGGCTTCTAGTTTGCCAGCTTGTGTCTCCAAGTAAAACTTCTGTTGCCTGAGTTCGGAAATCATCTCTTCCTGGGCCTTCCTGGTGGGGGTGGTGGCAGGGTGCAAACAAAATCACAATCTGGTTAACAGGGAGCATTTCTCGGTAGGACAGAGAGAGACACATGGCCTCATGGAGTGAACCATGGCCATGCCAACATCAGCCCTCTGCTGCCTCAGTCTTGATTGGCTGCACAATCTCAATATGCAGGGGCTGGACACCCATGAGTTCTTCAGCTCTGAGTTTTATATATGGCTGAGGAGGAAGCAAAGAACACCAACATTTCATTCCCTTTTTTCCTTTTAGAGGCTCCACACAAGAGCAGGAATGGGACTCTTTAGAGGACAAAGGTGGCCTCCTAACTCAAAAACATGAGCCTGTGTGAATCAGTTGCAAAGAAAAGAAAGAACCTCTACCTTCTAGTTCTCTGTACATCTTCCCCATTGGAAAATCATCTTTGTAGAGAGATATTTACAATGGTGTGGGTGGGAAAGAATCCTGGAGAAAAGGAATTCATGGGAATCTTACTTTCTTCTAACAGTTTAACAGATTAAGATACAGTAAAGTGCTTCCCTGTATGGACAGTCCTCACTGAACCTCGGACATCCCACCCCAGGGCCTTGCCTAACTACAGTGAGATAGACGGACCAATCAGACACATAGGATCACTTCCTGATCATTAGTAAAGGCAGGTCTGGGGAACAAAGACCAAAACTTTCCAAAAACAAACTATAAATAGCTTCATTAGAGACAGCACAACACTCTATAATCGGATAGTAATTTGAGGTACTTAAGAACCCCCAACTCAACAGGGAGTGCACACATAGAGGGAGACCACTTAAGACAGGGAGGAAATCACAAGAGCGTCCCAGGATTAGGCCGACCCACAGAACTCTAAAACTGCTCCCGCTCGATCAGAGAGAAGCAGAACAGAGTATATGCCCCAGGAAAGACCAAAGTGCAGTAACATATCACGTCAGAATCTGAATACTTACATGTTCCTCTGGGTGAAAAGGCTGCTATTTGCGGCTAGCTTATTGGCTTCAGACAGCTCCACAATTCTCTGTTCCAGGGATCTGATTTTGGAATCCATGGCATTGATCATCTGAAACACAGGGGACCTTTGAAACCCCACAGGTAGACATGAAACTGGAATGGGGTTCTAGTGGGCCTGGGGACTGGGGTCAGACTCTTATCTGAAACTTTGCCAGTGGTGGCAAGGGACTCCAGCAGTCTGTACCCTGGGGATCACAGATATGACCTCTCAAACAGAAAGGACACGGCTGTTTTTCCAACAGGGATGAAAGGCCCTCGCACTGGCTAAGAGGACCCCCACACAGAAACGTCCTGTGAACAAGCCTGCTTACGACTTTGTGCCATCTGAGTGTGACCAGACCTTCAGCTTCCTCTCTGGCCTCTGCCACTGGGTTATCACTTACGGTAAATCCTTCTCGCCCACCCAGCTATGGCTGTTCTATATACTTGATATCAAAGTTTTCACCAATTTAATGACTCATAATAGAACTTTCCCAGGACCATGGTTTACAGATTCTTACATGGAAAGTCTCAATGGCATCTGAGAATAAGATATGTAGTCACAAGGTTAGGGTTAGGTTTGAGAGAGAGAAGTAAGAAGCAAAGAAATGGAGAGCCACCAGGCATTCTAAAGGAGCCCATCCCAGCAGGTGGAAGCCCAGCCCAGTGTGAGCTCTTGACAAAAGAGCACATCCAGGACTGCACCTTTAGGAGAGGAAACAGCTGCAAAGGAAGTTCCCTGCCCTCCACAAACTCCAGGCGACCGCCCAGAGAGAAGGCACCAGAGGAGATGCGTTCTTCTCAGGTGGGTGATTCTTGGCATTGCCAAAACCCTCCTCGAAAAAAACTGGCTTGGCGACTCCCCCACCTACCGCCTTCTGCTCGCTGAGAATTTTGCCTTTCTCATGGGCCTCCTCTTCGTGTCTCTGCATCAGGTTCTCCAGACTCTCCTTATCAGCCAGGTCTTTCTTTATCTGATTGTCCAACACCTGCAGGAACAAAGGAAAAGGTGAGCCTCCTTCGGTGATGAGGGGGAGGTGAGAGGAAGAGGAGGAAGAGAATAAACAGTGAAGAGGTCTGAGGTCACCAAACTGGAGCGAAAAGAAAGCAAAAAATAGCGACTTTATTTGTCAGCCCAAGGAGAGTGCACCAAAACAAAGTTGCCTCCAGGAAGAGAGGGGAGAGGTATCTTCCCTAGTGATCTAGACCTACAGAATCCAGTTCTCATCATCCATTCGTAGGCATTGCCTGGAGACAAGTAGTTCTTATCCAAGGCAATCTTAGCACCTAATGGGAACAAAATTAATCCTGGATACCCCTGAGTTGTGTGCAGGGAGAGATACCCAAGACTGCCGGAGCTTGTGTGACCAAGGCCAAGAATGTTCAGAAACAGCCAGGATGTTACCCACCAAAGGAAATGTAGGTGGATGGTTAACAGATTGAAAAAACAGCATCAAAGAGAGATGGAAAAAAGAGAACCTCTCTCTTTCTTTTGTTAATCTCCTTCAGCAATGAATAAAAAAAAGTCTCTGGTAAGAGAAAGCCTTCCCAGGGGAGGAGATAACATTTGTTCTCGGTGCTTGGGAGTGTCACTGTTAGGCACCTGCTGTTCCCAGGAGGAAAAAAATAAAACAAAACGGTAATGGTGTCACCAACCACCAGCTTCCATCTAATGTTCCGCGAAACATACCACAGCCTTCCCGGTTACCAAAACAAGCAAGAGAGAAAGGAAAAGGGGAGGCATAAAAACCTGCCGGACCCTTTGACCACAGCCTTGTGGTTCACATCAGAGGCTCAAACAAACCCACTTTTCCAGAGGACACCAGTGGCATCAAGAAGGACAACGGGATGTTGGGAATAAAGCTCAAAGAACTGGTGTCACGGTTGGGGCTGAAACCTGTCTTTCTTGCAATGTCTATTGTGAAACGCCCACAGGGGGCATCAACCCACAAAGGAGACCATTAGCAGGGAGGGGGCCCACATTGCTTAAGAAAAGACCCATTTTCAAAGAGGGTTTTCAACTAGAACCAATAAAAAAAAAATAGAAGTTGGCTGAGAAGGCTGGGGGACAGGGTCATGAGAAGAAGAAAATCGCTCAGTGGGACAGGTGACCGTTCTCTTGGAAGTCACAGCACAGTTCTAAAATTGTGAGCAAAAAAGCAGGGTGCAATCTAGGTTATAGGCATAGTTATGACCGAAATGGTCTCATGGAGCCCAGGACAGGAAACACAAAACAGAATAGGCGGTAAAGAAACTGCCTTATACAGGTTCCACTAAAGGAGACAGAAGAAAACACATCTTTTTCTTTGGGCATGGGCTCCACAAAACAAAGTTCTTTCCATCTGGGATGTGGCAGAGACCACGGAAGACCTAGACTGGGTATCTTTCTTCCTCAGGCGTGCTGAAGCAAAGTGACACACTCAGCGCCACCCTGGACCTCAACTTGTGTGTTCATCATTGACAAAGAGGTTGGTGGGGATGAGAAGGGACAATTATCTATCTCTAAGCTAGGACAGCATTCCACAGGCAGCAGGAGGAGGAACAGCAAGATGGTAGGGGAGGCTGAGGGATTCCACTGTAGGCATCTAAATCAATTTAAGGCACAATGTGGCTTTCAATAAGAATGTCAATACAATCACCCAAATCACAGGACGCATTTTATAAAGGATTCTTTTTATCATGCAAATGTGCTGCTGCTTGGAGCCTCATTGTTTCCTGAAAGCTGGTTTATTCTAAAGAGAAAAAGTCTGGAAGCCAGAATGTACTCAAGCCAAAAGCATTGGCAAACTTTAAATGCACTAAGGTAGGAGGTCACATGAGAACATCTTCAAGTCACTCTAACATTATATTCACTTTAATGAAAAACACCCAAAAAACATGCAACAATAAAGGAAAGAGGTTGGGGGAGGGGAGTGGGGAGGAGTGGGCATTAGGCTTACTGGTTGGGAAGCCTACATCCCATATTGAAGTACCTGGGTTCAAGTCCTAACTCCAACCCTGATGCCAGCTTCCTGCTAATACACACCCTGGGAAGCAGCAGCAAGTGATGGGTTGGGAACTGGACTGAGCTCCTGGTTCCATCTTGGCTCAGCTCCACTGGAGAGTGAGCCAGTGGATGGCAAGAGCACATCTGCACACACACTCCAGAAATTAAAAAGGTAAGAAAAGAAAATCCATAGGAGCAGATGTCTGAGGGTGACACGGGCAGTGATACACGCAGACATGCAGATGTGTGGTTCTCCAGGAAAGAACCACTCACCTCTGACAGCAACAACAACAGCATCACCACAAAAATTACAAATCTTCCTTCCACATCTGAAGGAAAGGGGAAGCAGCAATACCCGAGACATAATAGCCCACATCTGACTCTCAAGGATATAAGAATGGAGTCAGTGTCGTGACTCAGTGGGTAAAGTTACCACTTGCAACTTGGGCATCCCATAGTGGAACACCAGTTGCAGTCCCAACTGCTCTGATTCTGATCCAGCACCATGCTAAAGCTCCTGGGAAAGCAGCAGAAGATGTCCTAAGTACTTGGGTCCCTGCTTCCCACTTGGGAGACTAGGCAGGTGCCCGCTTTCAGCCTGAACCAGCATCAGCTGCTGTAGCCATTTGGGCAGTAAAAAAGGAAACAGAGCCTGGCACGGTAGCCTAGTGGCTAAAGTCCTCACCTTGCATGTGCCAGAATCTCATATGGGCGCTGGTTCTAATCCCAGGCAGCCGTGCTTCCCATCCAGCTCCCTGCTTGTGGCCTGGGAAAGCAGTCGAGGACAGCCCAAAGCCTAGGAACCATGAATCCATGTGGGAGACCTTGGAAGAAGCTCCTGGCCCCTGGCTTTGGATTGGCTCAGCTTAACTCCGGCCGTTGCGGCCACTTGGGGAGTCAATCAGTGGATGGAAGATCTTCCTTTCTCTCCTCCTCTCTGTATATACATCTGACTTTCCAATAAAAATAAATCTTTTAAAATTTTTTTTGAAAAGGAAAAAGAAAATCACTCTCACTCATTTTTCCTTTCAAATAAATAAATCTTCCTATAATAAAATATAACAACAAATTAAAAAAAAAAAAACAAATTAAAGGCTTGGTGGCAATCAATGAAAAGGTGACATGTTTCTAAAAGGAAACCGATAAGCTGTCATCCATTTCTGACACTATAGTGGGCAGGATGTTGGGCCAGTGCTTCTGTTGAAAATCATATAAAAATCATGTTGCCGGATAAAACATTCTTGCCAAAGCATCTAAGAGCTGATGAGAGAGTCAGAAAATACACTGCAAAATCTAAGTGGAAACAGGGGCCAGGAGAGGTAAGGATATTAAGCTGCTGTAACTTGAGGCATTTGCTGAAGTGAATGAACTCGAGCTTCTGTTTTGATGATCTCAGACATGTCAGAGACAGAAGCCAAAGTCTAGGGTCAGCCCTCTAGACAGAAGCAGGTTTTTTTTTTTTTTTCCCACAGCCTCCAAGCATTCCCATCACTAACTTTCCCAGGAAAACACAGAACTAATAAAGCATACCACAGCAAAGAGACAACAGAGCAAAAACAGATTCTCAAAATACAGATTGGACAACTATGCCTAGTGCATTTGAAAAAAGCAGACAGACCTGAAAATGAAGGTGGAGAATAGCATTGTTACGAACTGTCTAACAAACTTTGAAAAGAACCAATAAAATGCCTAGAAATTTTTTAAAAAATTAGTTGAAATTAAAAAGTCAATGGATAGATTTAACAGTAGGTTAAACACAGGTAACAAAGAATCTGTAAATTGGAAACTAAGTCAGAAGAGCTAACCCAGATTACAACACAGAGAACGGGATAAAAAAGGATAGACCGGAAGTGACCTCACATGTGCCTGATCAGGACAAGTTATTTTCAAAGAGAACAATGAGAGTGACAGCTGACTTCGTAATAGTAAAACCAAAAGCCAATGGAATACTATCTTCAACAGCCAATGTGGAATTCGATTCACAGTCAACATTGTTTTTAAAAATATGTGAAATAAACAGCTATGTCAGAAAAACAAAACAGTTGGTTACTGATGGAGAGTAACAAGGGTATCCTTTCAACAACAGGAATAGTAGCTTGGGTTTGAAATGTCCCTGAGTCCCCTCCCCTTTTTTTTCCTTTTAAAGCAAACACTGTAATGACTATATGGCCAAACCTAAATGACATTGGCTAACTTTTTTTTTTAAGACACAACTGAGAAATCAGTGACCAAACACAAACAACAACAACAACAATAAAATATAGCCTCTTTAGATTTCAAACATCCACAAGGATAGCTTCCACGAACCTCCCACCATGGAGGAAAAGCAGCATTCACCCATAAAAGTCCTTTAGTTGAGATGGAAGTGACCAGCTCTTCCATCTTCCCAGTGCTTGTGCTGGGAAGAGGCACAAGCAAGATAATACTCCAGGGGGACCCACGGGGGAGGGAGATCAGAAAGTGTCTTTACTTTGATCTTCTCCTCGTAGTGCTGCTCTTTCTGTTTCAGATGAACTTCTAGGTGCTGGGCTGAGACCTGGGCTTCCCGGTGTTTCTCCTCCAGCTCCTGGACACAAGAAAACAGTCAGTCAGGTGTGCAAAGGGAAGGCCAACGTTAGTGGACGCTAGATGGTCAGGGGAAACCTGCCTGCGGCCCAGGCAGCTGCTCCACCGTTTCTAGCCCCTCAGGCTCTTGGGAAGGAAATCCACCACAGCGCTTTGGCCCTGGTTTTCCCAGGATTCACACACAGCAGCTGGGCTTTGCAGGCCTGGAATGGGAAGTCTGTCACCATGACAAGACAAGCAAAGCTGGCTTTTCCTTTTTGCATGGAGAAAATATGGGTGGCAAAGCAATGTTTCCAGATTTAAGGATGGCGCAAAGCTCCTGACTAGTAGCTTGAGCCTCAGATCACTTTCACTGTTAAGACTGCTTTAAGTGAGAAAAATTAATTTACAGTGAGGGTAGAAGCAGTATCTTTGCATTGCTCAAGAGCCCTAGCTAAAAGAAAACTAATGTTCTGATGTGATTCTACCGTTCTGAATGTTGAGTGATGACTCTGAGTGACTGCTATCAGGGAGTCCACGAGTAGCTGGGCATGCGCACATTATGCTGATGGGATACAAGGCACACAGGATCCAAGCTGAACACAAAACACACCAATAATGACGATGTAAAAAAACGCATGCACATTCACATGGAGGATGGAAAGGGAACTTGGAGTAATACAAAGAGCTCTGCTTTCATGCTCTCCCAGGTCTTTGTTTCCTGCTTTTAAACAACATTGTGATTCATTGGAAAATTATACCAATTCATTTGCCAAAGTATTATAAACTGATCTTTTAAAAGGCACTCAATTCACCGAAACCGTCTCTGAACGCACAGATAGTTGCATCAACATTAATTCCTGGGAATCTGGACCCATTAGTTAATTACCAATATCAAAAGTCATTATTCCAAGTTCTCAGCTCTTCACACCATTACAAAATTTTTCTTTGAAGTGGAGGCAATTATGAAAATTCTGAAGGATAAGGAAACTACACAGGATATGTCTATAAAATGGGATTGAAAAAAGCACTTTGGGATTCACGTGCACAGAGAACGTTCATGACTAAGCGTTTTAAATTCTGAAGACTGCGAGCCTTGGCTTTGCTTGGGGAGTGGAAAGAAGGGGCTTTTAAGGAGTCAATCTCCAGGCCAGGCGCACAAGCTCTATCACATTCTACCAGATGCGATCTAGAAACGCTGGATGTTAAACAGAACTTCAATAATGGAAACGCACACCTCGCATGCCCCTCGCGATGACTTCCATCAGAGCACGAGACTGCTCGCCCTGATGCCCCACGTATCTCTTTTGGGAATATTTATCAGAATGGGGAATATCTTCAAACGAGTGACACTTGGGGATCTCTTTCCAAGCATCACCACGATGCAATGGTGCCAAGGCCCCACTCCTGCCCATTGTCTGAGGGACTCTGCAGCCTGGGCACCTAGCCTAGGATGATTCTCGAGCAAAAGGCACCATCTGGTAAGTCAAGTTCCGACCACAAAGGTACTCGGGCAGGTTGACAAGACACATTTGGACAAGGTAATGTACTTATCTTTCCTTGGTTGTCCAAAATCACTTGGTAATCATCTTTTCTTGGTTTCAACCCTCATAAGATAGCAAAGGAATGGAAAGTAAAAACTAAAAATGGGTTTAAACAATCGAACAAAAAACCCAGAGATACCTGAAAAATGACAACTCTAAGGATAAATTCTGGTCTGGATACCAGAACTGCATATGCCTGGCAAGCAGCTAGGTGCTCCACAGCCTGACTTCCTAGTGCTTTGGCATTTTTTGTTGTTGTTGTCATTTTTTTAAACATCTCTTTTCTGTATGCATGAGATCAATCCCTCAGTCTGGGCTGGTCATGCGGATGCTGCTGTCTGCTGCTGTTAGCCCAGCTCCTGGAACAGTGCCTGGCACATAGTAGAAGCTCATTAAATATTTGTTGAATGAATGAATGAACACATCGTCACTGAACAGAGGACCACTCTGCAGCCCCAAGAGAGTTTGCCACTTCCTTTGGAACCGAGCAAGGAGAATGAGCAGGCAGGATCTCCAGGGGTCCCACATGGGTGGGAGATCTGATTTTACCCACAATTGAAACGGACACACTTGACAGTCGCCGAGGGAAACTCTGAGGACGCAACGAAAGAACAGAGAGAGGGGAGACTGACAGTTATCTTTCTGTGTACATGTATACATGGAGACAGGGTAGCAAGGCAAAACAATTTCATTCCGCTTTTAACCTTCTGTTCAATACCTAGGTATTTACAAACAGCCAGAGAAATGCCACATTCTGAAGAACTGGATTGGGTTTAGCGGTAGGCACTGCCTGGGCATGTAAGTTGGTCATTCTTGACTGAATGGTTAATAACAACTCATTTCCCAGAACCGATGTAGTGGCCCACTCACCATCTCCCCTTCTGAGCGTGGGGAGTCCTGGCCACCTACTTCAGAGTCTCCCCTAAGGGCAGTTAGAGGGTGGGTGAGGTATATAAATGGACCCCGCGTCATCACTAAGTCTCTCTGAGGTGACATCAAATCTCTGGCATTGCACTGAGATCACACATAGGGGAGTCCTTCACAGGGTGCCACCTGGGCTAGGGCAAAGCAGTGGCCCAGCTGCAAGTACAATTGGAGCCTTCCTCCCTCAACTTGGATGTAGCAGCCCAAGCCCAAATCAGGACAGCTAGCAAACCTAGATGAAGACCTGCAACCTCTAAGGGAATCGTAAACAATCCTCACAACCAAGGGTGGCAGAGAGAGTGTGGGTGAGCGCGGCTCCGTGACAAATGCTACTCGGAGAGCCACAAGCCTGTGTGACTCATTTGTTCTCTGAAAGCCAGGATCTGTGTTTCAGTCTTGAAGGTCTAAACCCCAATAGCTTTCAAAATTAAAAATGTAACAGTCGTACAAAGCTCTGCCGAGAGAAGGATGAAAACGCTCCTACAAAAATGTACCAAGAATGAAAGGTGCACATTCTGCTAAAAAAAAAAAAAAAAAAAAAAAAATGCCAGGCAATTGCAAACAGAGCCAAAACAACAAAACCAAAAAAAAAAAAAAAAAAAAAAAAAAAACCTACTACTGATGGGTCCGTTACCAATGCTGAAATGTCCAGTATTGGAGTTATCGGCACTATTCTACTAGGTGGTGTACACTGGACCGTCTCTTCTCTTGAGTGCTGGGTAACACCTCCCCTGCTGTGGCATGACTTTCCTCCTCCTTACCCCCTTCCCTTTGTAAACCTCTAACCTGGTGTCTTTGAACTTGTCAACTTGGGTTCCTGCTCACCAGAATTTTATCAGCCATCTGCTGGATCTGTTGGGATTTTGTCTGGATGTCATCCTTCAGTCTGTTTTCTCTACGCTCCATGGTCTCTAGCCTCTTAACTTTGTTCTCCAGAGAATGGCGCCGTTCCTGTAGATCGTGAATCAATCAGAGAGTTTTAATGGAGTAACTGCTACGGGCGTTAACACCTGCACCAAGGCAAAAAAGAGTCCCCAGGAAGCGCACGTTTGAGTTGGAAAGAGAGGTCTCAGGCACCCGAAGCAACGGCAGAGAAAGTACAGATTCTACGATTCGGGTACTCGGTTGTGTAGGTTACAAGAGTGCATTCATTCATTCAAATATTTACCAAGCACCTACTATCTGCGAAACTCCACACTAGGCATCACGGGAAAGAGAAGGGAAGATGACATAACTCCTGCCCTTGGGAAAGGTAAGCCAGACAGACACACGCACTGTAGCTTCAAAGGGGAAGAACCATAAGACAAGCAGGGACCCGGTGAGGCGGGATTTGGGAGGTAGGGAGGAGGGTTTCTAGCTAAAGGGTCCAGTGAAGGAGTCGCCAACGGAGGTGCTTTGGAGGAGGAGCATGTAAGGCATTTTGGAGCAAGGAGGGTAGAGGGTGTTTCGCTCAGTGGTCAGGCCCTAGCTCATGTCCTAAGCAGATTCGAGGAAGGCTACAGGCCAAGATATGTCAGCTGGACAGGTAGGTGAAACGGCAGCATTTGTGAATCAAATGCTCGACTCGCCTGGACCAAGTTGGGCTGCACATAGGGAACATGGATATGGGTTTGGGATGGGGCAAAGGGTGTTGCAGGTCCCAAACTGGCTGGGAGAAAAGAGGTTAGACAGGAACAAGAGGTTGACAGATTTCTACATTTGCTCAGATTGGAGGAAAGAGGCCTGGGGAGCCACAGAAATGGCAAGCAGGAGAGGAAGGACAGAGGAAAATGTGGCTGTCTTTACAGCACCACCTGAGTCAGTGAACGGCAGTGTCCCAGGCTGGGCTGAGCAACCATACGGATGCTGGTGGCCCTGACCAGCACTAGGACACTTAGAAGAGATGCAAGCCTGTGGGAAAAGGTCCATTCTGAATTGGAAACACCACTCAAACACCCAGCTCAGGCTTCAGGCGAGTGCTGGAAAGAAGGCAGCCAGAAATGTGGGCGAGGATGGCTACAGAGAATTGTGTTCCAGAAGGTTCTCGCCAGGACCGTGATGGGTGAAAGCCAAAGACCCAGCAATAGGAATAGAAAAAGACAGGGTGTTCAATTGAGTTCCAATCATTCTTGTGGAACCAACGCCAAGGGGAGGGGGAGACAGAGAGCAGTTAGGAGAATGTCACTTTTTTCACTATGCATGCTTTTGTTTTCAGTTTCTGCCTTGTTTTGTTTGCAGTGGAAAAGCACTCATATATTTTCTGGGCTAACTGCATCAATGGTTTCTACTACAACAACAACAACAACAAAGAATTTGAAGAAGAGGCCTGAGAGGACAGACAGCAGCCCGCGAGGTGGCAGCACACAGGCCCACAGGGACGGCCTGGAAAATTAATAGGGGTTGGCGGAAGAGAGGGAAGACAAGGGAAAGAGAGAGGCAGAGCTCAGAGACAGAATCGTGGCCGGCCTGCAGGGATACAGACCCTCCCAGACACCTGTGCAGGCTCAGCAAGGAAGAGCTCTCTCGTATTGAGATGTGTTTCTCCTAGAAGCTGCGGTGACAGAGCCCACACTCCTCTTGGGGTCTCTCCAAGGCTCTTGAGTTTCAAAGGGGTCTTCCAAAGCAAAAGCATTCTGGCCCAACATCAGTGAGGGATAGCTTCGCTATCTCCGACCTTCAGGCACAGCCAAAGGCCAGCAGCGGTCTCAAGGTCGCGCATGCCTGGCTGTTGCCTCTGGTCAGGGCAAGGGGCCGAGGTCAGTCCAGCATGGGCTGGAGGCCCCCTGCTCACCTCGGCTTCCACCAACTTCTTCTTGATGCCTTCGGAGGAGTCCTCCCGGTTCTGTAGCTTCTCCAGCTCCCTCTCAGCCCGCTCCTTTGCCTGCCGGATATTCTGCAGTAGCTCGGTGGCCTCTGTGCTCGCTTTGACAGCCTACAAGGGCAAACAGAACACAGGACACACACCCAGGTTCATACCCACCAAGAACACACCAACAAAATGGAAAAAAGAAGGCAACACTGGGTGCCACAGGTGACACGTGCTTTTCAAAGCACAGGAAGTATTTATTTTATTCTCTAGCCCATCTAATCTGAGGCATACTCTTCTAAAATACTATTGGATGGAGAATCCATTCTATAATTACAATGCCTGTGTTGTCCTTTCTCACGGTACAACTGATGATGGGATACAGCATAACCATTAGCATCTTCCACTATACGGCAGTGCAGTGAAGAAAAATAAAATGCTTAGGTAGACGGATTCACACAGGAATGAATGCATTTAGTTTTGAGTCTTCATCTTGATTTCTGTGATCTCATTTACTAGTTTTGTTTTGGGGAGTGCATAACATAGTTGTAAAAAAAAATAACAGAAGGACTAGCACTGTGGCAGAGTAGGTAAGCTTCAGTCTGTGGCACCAGCATCCCATAGGGGTGCTGGTTTCTGTCCCTACCATTCTACTTCCCATCCAGCTCCCTGCTTGTGGTCTGGGAAAGCAGTTGAGAATGACCCAAGGTCTTGGGAACCCTGCGCCCACATGGGAGACCCGGAAGAGGCTCCTGGCTCCTGGCTTCTGATTGATTCAGTTCCAGTCATTGCAGGCATTTAGGGAGTGAATGAGTGGATGGAAGATTCTTCTCTCCCTATAACTCCCTTAACAAAAATAAAATAAATCTTTAAAAGAAAGGAAGAAAAGATAAAAGCTATTATACATAAGTTAGTTTTTTTCCAGTCAGTACCTTTCATAGGGCATACCAGTGTTCGTTTTCCTTCACAAAGCCACGTTTAAAAGAACAATTAAACCTCTCCAAGTTAATTATGTATTTGCTCATTTTCACTTGAGTCCTTACTACAGCCAGGCTCTGAGTTCACAAGGCTGATGTCTTTATATTTGCTTGCTTCTATGTTAACATTTCAGAAAAGGGAAACTGTGAGAAAAGTCCAACCTGAGGGCCCTGGCTACATGCAGTCACTGAGTTCCTGCAAAGTGGCTGAAAAGTAATTTTTAAAAAAATTTTTTGGAATATTTTAATTAAGTGAAACTTGTGCTATTCCAACACATTAATTTTTTTAAAAGATTTATTTATTTTTATTGCAAAGTCAGATATACAGAGAGGAGGAGAGACAGAGAGGAAGATCTTCCGTCCAATGATTGACTCCCCAAGTGAGCACAATGGCCAGTGATGCGCCAATCTGATGCCAGGAGCCAGGAACTTCCTCCAGGTCTCCCACATGAGTGCAGGATCCCAAAGCACTGGGCCATCCTCTACTGCTTTCCCAGGCCACAAGCAGGGAGCTGGATGGGAAGAGGGGCTGCTAGGATTAGAATCAGCACCCATACGGGATCCCGGCGTGTTCAAGGTGAGGACCTCAACCTCTAGGCCACACCACTGGGCCCTCAACACATTAATTTTTAAGCTTAAGCATAATTAACTGAAAAACTGAAGCAATATAAATGCATTAATACTGAAACATTCTATAGGAGAGTATCAACAGTGATAATGTTTTTGGATATATTGGCACCAGAATCCCTGGATTTAAGATCCAGGCTCTGCTTCTATGTCCAGCTTCCTGCTAATGCAGAGCCTGGGAGAGCAGATGACGCCAAGTCGAGGGCTCCAGCCATCCATGTGGGAGACCTGGGTTGAAGTCCTGGCTCGTTGTGGTCGAGCCCTTGGCTATTTCTAGCATTTGGGAAGTGAGTCAGCAAATGCAAAGCATCTCTCTAAATATACCTTCACTTCTCTCTGCCTTAAAAATAAAGTTTTTAAAAGAAAGGGGCAGGGAGGAGCCCAGTTCAGTTCCCTAGTGGCTGATGTCCTAGCCTTGCATGTGCTAAGATTATATATGGGAACCTGTTCGTGTCCCAGGGGCCTCACTTCCCATCCAGCTCTCTGTTTGCGGCCTGGGAAAGCAGTCGATGATGGCCTAAAGCCTTGGGATCCTACATCCAAGTGGGAGACCCGGAGGAGGCTCCTGACTCCTGGCTTCAGATTGGCTCAGCTCCAGCCGTTACGGTCACTTGGGATAGTGAATCAGTGGATAGAAGATCTTCTTCTCTGTCTCTCCTCCTCTCTGTATATCTGACTTTCCAATAAAAATAAATAAATCTTGAAGAAAGGAAGGAAGGAAGGAAGCAAGCGAGGGAGAGAGGAAGGAAGGGAGAGAGGGAGAGAGGAAGGAAGGGGTAGGCAAATGTGGCCTGTCTATACAATGCATGTCATTCATCTTTGAAAAGGAAGGAAATTCTGAGCCAGATTCTACATGAATGGGACTACTTAAGGACATGATGACAAGTGAAACCGGCTAGTCACACAAAGATGAATGCTACACTACTCCACTTCCTTGTGGCATCTACAATAACCAACACCACTCAGGCAGTGGTGGAAGGACAGCTGCCCAGAGCCAGGGTCAAAAAGGACCCTGCACTCATGTATGCTGGACATTGAGTGTTCCCATCACAGAGTGCAAGAGTTCCAGGCGTCTGTTCCCCGGCAGTGTAAACACGCTCAGCACCACTGAACGGCACATGCTAACACGGCAATTTAACAATCTGTGTTTTTTAGCACAATAAGGAGGAGGAGGAGGGAAGAAATATGAAAAGATTCTATGAGCGGCCTCCAAAAAGTTCATGAAAAATGTGGATCATGGAAAAACTCTGCATGGATTTCCAAATCTGTCTGCGTCAAATTAAAGTCATCCTCTCACTCTGCCTCCCGTGAGCTTTCTGTAACATCCTCCGAGCCAGCAAACATGTTCACAGACGCTCGTGCTGCAGATGACATGCCTCAGAGCCACCTTCGTCCTGGCCCTTTCCTCAGGCAGGTAAGTGCACGAGGTGATACACGCTGAGCCTCACCATCAGCTTGAGGTCATCCTTTTCCAGTGTGCACAGGTAGGGTACACACACGCATGCATATACATACATATGTATTATATGTATTTTGATAGTGCATGCAGATTGCATTTATCAATTAGGACTTAATAAAGTTGGTGGGAGGATATGTACAATTTTTTTCATTATAAGAACCTGGCCCCTCTCTCTGTACAGATGACGCCAGCGAATTGCCAAGTGTCCGTTGTTACTCAGGGACCTGGCACCTCTCTTCTAAGTGTGCAAAATCGGGAGCCTGGTCCCCCAAGCCCCACCTCCAGCCTCTCGGGTTCTACGATAGTATAATTAGAACCTTTACTTGAGAATTTTTAAAAATAAGCACTGCTGACACATCTCAAAGGGCAAAAGCATATTGAGAACTCCGATGCTTTCAGGTAACACGCACTCCCCCTTCTTTTTCTTTGGAGCTGGATGACTAACTAGGTAGCTCTCATCACTCGTTGCTCCGGGACCAGGCAAAGCATTTAGGGAAGTGGATGGAGTCCCCTGAAACATCACTTCGGGCTTACCTTTTCCAGCTTCTCTTGGAGTTCCTGAATTTTGAGCTGTTGTTCAGCATTGATCTATAACAAAATCCCAAGAAATAAAAACCAAAGGCAAGTCAGAGTTAACATTTTGTGCTACACTAAGGGCAGTCCTACTTTCTTGAGGTTTTTGAATGGGGTCTTTTTGCTTTGTTTTCCAGAACCTCCACAAGGCGGGGGAGGGAAGAATGGAGGCCTTCCATGGAAGACTTTGGCTGTCCCAGTACCAATCTCACCCTATTTCTCTAAGGCCAGCAACACAGAAACAGCACCCAGAGGCAAAGTCACCCCATACTTCAGGCAGCAGCTTGCTGTTTTATGTAATGCCCGGGTTTATTTATGACCGTGAGCAGACAAGATAAAACAGGGAGTTTAACTCTTTAAGAATCACAGCTAATGCTAACTGTGGTCACTCAGGGGAAGATCAGCAAAGTGAACCTGGAATCTGCTACTCAGGCCGTTGCCACAAAGCTCCTAATCAAAGAATGGTCATCAATAGTGATACTTGAAGAAATAAATACCCCAAATGTCAAAGCCAATCATGAAGAAAAAATATACCTTCTCCAGTTTGGAATATTCGCCGACTTCAGGCTTCCCCTGATCCTTGGCCTGCAGTGAAAAGTGACAGTGACAGGGAGGGGTCAGAGGGAGGTTGGATAATGAGTATCAAACCAGAGTTAGATAGAAGTTTCCAGTGCTAAGTATTTTTTACCCCAACAAAGTTGGAAAAAAAGAGGAGCTGGAAGCTCCCACCCCAAAGTAGTAACAGGTAGAGATGTTAATTTCCCTGATTTGATCAACACACACACTGTACCCATATGCTGAAATATCCTATTGCACTCCCATAAACATGCACCATTACTACTCATTAAAAAAAAAAAAAACACAACTTTATTAATGATCTCAGCACAATGGCTCAAGTGGTTAATTCCCCCTCACAAACACTGGCATCCCATACGGGTACTAGTACACATCCCAGCTGCTCTACTTCCCTATAGCTCCCTATCTGTGGCCCGGAAAAGCAGTGGAGGATGGCCTGCACACATGTGGGACACCCAGAAGAAGCTCCTGGCTTCAGATTGGCTCAGCTCTGGGCATTGCAGCCACTTGGGCAATGATCCAGTGGGTAGAAGATCTTTCTGCTTCTCCTTTATTAAATATCAAAGGGATACAAATGTTAACTTGATGATCTTCATACATTCAATATATATGTTGAATTACCCTATTATGAGCATAAATATATAGCTGTGAAGTGGTAAATTCTTTAAAAAAAATTTATTTATTCTTATTGGAAAGATCTTCCATTCACTGGTTCATTCCTCAAGTGGTCACAATGGATGGAGCTGAGCCAATCTGATGCCAGGAGCCAGGAGCTTCTTCTGGGTTTCCCACTTGGGTGTAGGATCCCAAGGCTTTGGGTTATCCTTGGCTGCTTTTCCAGGCCACAAGCAGGGAGCTAGACGGGAAGCTAGGACATGAACCAATACCCATATGGAATCCCAGCACTTGAAGGTGGAAGTTTAGCCAACAGAGCCACAGCTCTGGACCCCCAAAGTAGTAACTTTTGAAAAAGGCACCACATATTGCAAGATCATATCAGTCAAGAGATCAGTAGACAACTTTGTTGTACTTTTCTGGTCTCCAGAGTCAAACCAATAACAATAAATGATAACATTACCTCCTACAAATAAGGACTGTGGGCTCTCCAAGACAGGCCATGATGCCTCCTATCTGCAATCCCATGACTAGCATGCCCTTTGTTCTGACAGAGGTCAGCTGTCCCTGCCCCCATCGGGCCCCCTCCGAAGTGACCTACCTTCATCAGCTTATGCTGACATTCCGTCGCTTTCCGCTTGAATTCCTCGGCTGCAAGCCGAGACTCTCGCAGCTCGGACTCATAGAGATCGCTGCGCCGTCTGGCAGACACAAGGTCCTCTTCCAGCTGATTCATCATCAACCTCATCTCCTCCACCTGAGCCTGGTACTCCTAAAGAGCAGGCAATGGGACAAAGGGAGACTTGGAGTTCCTCAAAGAGCAAGGCAGCAGTGAAGAGGGGAGAACAGCAGCCAATAGGGGCAGGCCTACGTGGAAGACAGAGATTGCCAAAGGACCCAGCAAGGGGTTCTGGGAGACAATGAACAGAGAGGGGCACCTGTGGGGCTGCATCACATGCTTGGAACAGCAGTTATGACATTGCTTGGGACACTCGCCTCCCAGAGCAGAAATCCTGGGTTCAAGTCCTATCTTCCCTTCCAACTCCAGCTTCTAGCTAATGAGCACCCTGGGAGCTAGATGATGGCTCCAATAGCCGGACTTATATGACCCATGTGGGAGATTCCTGACCCAGTCCTGGACGGTGTAGGCCTTCCAGAAATAATCAGTGTGGGAGGGGGAGGGGAGTAGGAGGTGGTGGTGGTGGTGTGTGTATCTTTCACATAAATAAATATCTAACTGAAAATTTTACAGAAAGAGACTCTGAATAGCAAAGGGAGTGGTATCTGGGGAAGAGGAAGGAGAAAAAGAAAACCCAGTCTCTAACTGTGTGTATGCAGAGCGGGATCCCCAGTGAGACCACAAGGAACACAGTGCTGGGGGCGGGGGGAGTGCCCCGGGGAGTGGGCTGAGCCGTTCCTGGCACCTGCAACCCTTTGCCGAGCTCTGACTCCCAGCTCCTCTGCCACTGGCCATGCATCTGCAGAGACCACAGGGCATGGCCTAATGCCTGGCTTCCTGCCACCCTTGTGGGAGACCCTGTTGGAGTCCTGGGTTCCTGGCCTCAAGCCCTGGCTGCTGCAAGCATTTTGGTGGGGGGGAGGGAGTGAATCAGGGAAAGATACTGCTTGCTCTTCCTTTAAAAAAATTCTATAATAAAAAAATATTTTTAATCCTTTGAACAAATAATAACTCACACTAGGCTTCGACACAGGACAGCCGAAAGGGACGCTCTTCACACAGCTGAGAAACTGCTTCCACGTAGGTTCCCTCCAAGGGTAATCATTTATATAGATTTGTCCTTTACAAGTCAGGTACCTCTAACACAATTAGATATGGTTCTAGTTTTAAAATTAACCTTTCCAGCAGCGCAAAGGGGTAATTGGAGTCTCAGTGGAAAGCCTCCTGGAAGGTGAAACTCATCATTGTCAGTTTCTCACCATTAATTTTTCTGGGTCCAAACCTACAGGGTCAACTTAGCATCATCACTCCCGCCCTGCAAGTCACCCTGAATCCTGGAAGACTCACAAAACCCTGGCTCTGGACACAATCACTCGGGATGAAAGTGCCAAGGAAAGGATGCTCCTGTCCCCTCCCGCAAACCCTCATGGGATTTTAGGGATCCCAGCCAGCCAGCCTGCTCCTTCCCAGGGGGACACTTCCAAAAGCAACAAAGAACACTTCGGTTTGAGGCTGCTCAAGATTGGAGGTGCCACAAGAAATGGACAATGACTTCAGCAACTTTGGGACGAGATGTGAAAATATTCCTTTTTAGCAAGAGCAGGGCTAACTGTAAGAATTATGAATAAGCATTTGTCTCATCCAAGGGGGCGGGGAGTGGGGAAGACACCCAAGGAGAAGAACAGGAAATGTAAGAGAGTGTTTGTGATCTTGACAACATGCAGTAACATCCTTGAGGTCTGTTCTCTCAAGGAACAACTAAGCCAGGATAATTTTTAATCAATAAGTTGCAATTTATGATTCTTTTTTTCTTTACTAACCAGGTACAAAGGTAACCTTTCACCCCCACTACAACAGCAGATCCTTCTGGTATACACTGAAGCAGAAGCCAGGTTCTTAATAAAGCATAGGTTTTCTGGGACAGGCCTCGCGGCACAGCTGGTAAAGCTGCTGCCTGCAGGGCTGGCATTCCATATGGGTACCAGTTTGTGGCCCAGCTGCTTCACTTCCGATCCAGCTCCCTGATGGTGCACCTGGGTGAACAGTGGAAGATAGCCCAAATACTCGGACCCCTGACTCCACGTAGGAGACCAGGATGAAGCTCCTGCCTCCGAGGATGCTATGGCCCAGATGCTATGGCCATCCAGGGAGTGACCCAGTCGATGGAACCTCTGCCTCTGCTCAATCTCTGCAGCTTGGATTTTCAAATAAATCAATCATAAATCTTTTAAGGAAACAAGGCCAGGCTGGAGCAGGGGGTCTCACCTCACTCCCTCCCACCCACACTGTTTCTGGGCTCGAAGCTCACACACGGTATCTGGCGGTATCCCCTAGACAGGGGAAAGCAGAAGAGACAAAGATTTCCACAAACATCTCCCAGCTGTGTGAACGCTGGGGACAGGAACCAGGGGAGTCAATGGGACATCCTTTACCTGGAGTTGTCCCGGATCCCTCAGCCAGGACCCCACTACAAGATGTCAGCAACTAACCCTTCTTCTATCCCTTCATCCATTAAAATTACACATGATGGGACCAGTGCTGTGGCACAGCTGACTAAGCCGCTACCCAGGACCCCAGCATTCCATACGGGCACTGGTTTAAGTCCTGGCTGCTTCACTTCCCATCCAGCTCCCTGCTTGTGGCCTCAGAAAGCAGTCGAGGATGGTCCAAAGCCTTGGGACCCTGCACCCATATGGGAGACCTAGGAGAGGCTCCTGGCTCCTTACTTCAGATTGGCTTAGTTCCAGCCACTGTGGCTATTTGAAGAGTGAGCCAGGAGATAAAGGATTTTCTGTCTTTCCTTTCTGTAAATCTGCCTGTTAAAGAAGAGAAGAGAAAAGAAGAGAAAAGAAAAGAAAAGAAACGAAAAGAAAAGAAAAGAAGAGAAGAGAAGAAAAGAGAAGAAAAGAAAAGAAAAGAAAGGAAAGGAAAAGAGAAGAAAAGAAAAGAGAAGAAAAGAAAAGGGCAAGCAAGCAGTGGAGGACGGCCCAAGTGCTTGACACTGCGTGTGGGAAACTCAGAAGAAGGGCGACCTGCATAGATTTCCCCTCTCTCTCTGGCTCTCCCTCTATGTGCCTGCCTTTCAGATAAATAAATAAATTCCTCTTTTTAAAAAATTACATGTGCTAACTATATTCATCTAAACACAAAGATATCAATACTATCTACACTTAAAGTGATTTTGACCTCAAACCTCAATCAATAACCTGAAGGTCCCTAAGAGTCCAGGGGGTCCCTGCGGCTGATGTGCATGCTGGGAAGCCAGCCACACCCAGGAACAGATGCCAAGCTGCAGAGCCCTCAGAAAGTTCAGACAGGGCCTGGGCACCTTTAACCGTCAGACTCACTCTGCTGTCTGACTTTATGCCCACAGAGGGAGCATGTGATTGTGGTGTTCTGTCGAGAGCAATGAGCCAGCATCTGGGCCCCTCCCTCCCCACCCCCATCTCTCTCCTGAGCTCCAGCCTCCCGAGGGAGGGAAGGCAGTGTCTGCCGGGCTGCCCTCCACCGAACTCACAGTAACGCATTTGTGGGTCTCTCTGATAATCTGCTGGCTGCTTTAAGGAAATCCTGGCACTGTGCTTCAGGGGCAAGCCTGAGAGGGAGAGGGCAGGCCCACCTCAGCATGGAGGGCTCTGCGGGTCCCGATGAGGCAGGGTCACAGTGCAGGCCCAGCCACAGCTCCGAGTCCCACGGAAACCAAGTGTCCAGAGGTCGGAGTTTGGGGAGGCAGCAGGTACACTACTGTCCACTCCGAGACCCTGGCATGCAGCTGCTTCTGAGGAAAACACCAGTAAGAGGGTCCCAACCAAGCCATCACCCAAGACTCCTAGGGATTCTTCTTTCAAACCAGATCCGAAGACTTGAGGGCGAGTAGTCTTGGTAGAAGCTGCACAGAAAAAGTCAGCTTCGGAGACAAAGAGATCCCAAGCCTGGGAGGGTTCAGTATGTTGCAAACCAAATACTGGAAGTCAGCTGCAAGCATGAAAAAGCCTTTTCCTGGTTTGGTAGCATCCCGTGTTCGCTCACAATGCTTCCTGCCAGGGCTCTTGAAGAAGTCCTTCTTCAGTAGTGAAAAAAGTCCAAGAAGTTTTTGACCCACCCCACCCCCCGTGGAACTTTTGGAGATCATTAAACCTGAAACTCCATATGATCACCAACTGTGAGATGAATCATAAAAGACCCGTCTTTGAATTCGGCCACCAGCTGCTCCCTCTGGTGGCCAAAGGCAGCTTTCATTTCCCCGGGATATCAACAAAACTCAATTTCCAAACACACTGAACTGATGGAGTTGGGTGGAGGTGGGGAGAGAAGGGAAAGATACAAGAACCCTCCTTCATGCAACTTTTAAGATGAAAAAACTGTCGACAAAAAGGGGCATGAGTCACCTGTCACAGCAGATGTCTCCCTGTGTGCCCCTCAATCTCTCTAGGGCCAGGGCTGTGCAGACACGTGACAATCCATCTGCAAAGTTAGTTCCCTGTGCCTGCGTTTCTTTCTAACGCTTCTAGGCAAGCAAGGGGACAATAATGAGTCACTCAGAGACGGGAAGGTGATGTGCACATTTTGCCAACAAGCCACACAAACACAGCAACTCCTACCTTAGAAAGTCAAGGATCAGGTTACTTGCCAGAGATGGCCGGGTCTGTGCTAACCCAGGGATAAAACCCTGCTTTTTTCTTTCAGTGTTTTCACTGTTTTTTTTTTTAAGTGAATGAGGGTTGCCTGGCAGCTGATAATTCAGCTCCCCAATTACTCATTGCCATTGCTTCATTAAAGTTTCTATTTACAGTTTCTTCAAAAGACAGAAAAATCCATGCTAAAAGGGAAACAATGAGGCAATATAAAAATGAGCCATCTACCCAAAAAAGACTCTTTTAGAATTAGGGGGGAGGCGAGTGGGCTTTTTAAAGGTGCACATTTTTTTTTTCTGGACTCACGGAGAACATTCGTCCACAATCAGACATGCTGTGTTGTCCGTGGCTCGGCCAGAATGACAAACCTTCCTTTCTACAACACTTCTTTGCAGAAGCAAAACTAGGAATTGCCTTGGTTTCTCTCCCCGCCTCCCCTCAAAACAAACAAACAAAAAGAAAAAAACCTATAAAAACAATTTGGGGTTTTTGTTGTTGTTTTTTAAGCTTTCAATTGGCAAATGCGTCCCACACAGAGCTGACAGCATGTGGCTCCAGCTTTGTGGGCCAGTCTCAGGCAGCACCTGTCACTCTGGCCCTTGCAGCAGGAGAGCCGCTATGGTCAACATGGGGGACACTGACCAGGCGGTGCTCTCATAAAACCATACTGATCGACACTGAAACTTCGATTTTACAGACTTCCAAATGAAAACCCATTCTTACTGGGGAGTTATTTGCCCTAATGATTGAGAGTCTACTTTAGAGCACCGGGTCTGCTTCCTGGCTTGAATTCTCAAAGCCAACCTGCCAGCACAGACCCCTGGAGGTCTGTGTAGCAACGACAGCCTGGGTGACTGCATGCCTGCCCCCCACCCATGTGGGAAACCTGGACTGTACCCCCAGCTTCCAGCTTTACTCCTGGGGGAAAGGCTGACTCACATGGATTTGGAACATGTGCCAGTGGCTGGATGGACCAACCTTTTTCTTAAAATTAAAAAAAAAAAAAGTTTTAAAGGTCTCTTTAACTGTGGGCCATATCTGTCACAGGGCTGCTCTTGCTCTAAACCGACATCTTTCTTAAAAGAAGGAGACATTATGGGGCACAGACTCCACAAGCAACCAGGAGAACACCACGACTTATGTAAATCACACAGAGCCTAAAGTTTCCAAATGACCTACATACCTCCCTCCGTTCGCCCCCCTGCTGCCCACACCGCCTCTCTCTTGGTGTATCTCAAACTCGCCTCTCCGGAGATGAGGGCACTGAGCCAGCAGGGCGCTGGGCTCGGCGGCCATACCTGCTCTTTGATCTCCTGGAGCTTCCGGCTCTGTTCCCTGATGTCATGGAGAAGCTGCAGTGCTTTGTCATCCTCCTGGGACACTTCCATCCGTGCTTGCTCCAAACTTCGCTTTAAGCTCTGTAGAAAGCAAAAGTGTTAACCTGGATGCCTAATGGGGCCGGCTCTGTTTGCGACAGAGCTGCAATGCTCTTCGTGGACCCCAGTGTGGAGCCAGGGTAGGACTGGCCAAGGTTGCCAACAATTCCCAGGTGGGTGCCGAGTCCAGTTTCCGTCCTGCAAAACCTTTGGGTTCGAGAAGCGTAACGTGGCTGTGGGCATCAGGACCCAGCCTGCCTCCTGCCTCTGACTACCTGCCCTCACACATACTTACACGCTTGGGCCTAAACACCAACGCACTCCCTCGGCCGTGACCACCACCGCCAGGGTGGCATCGACTGTCTTTGCCTGCAGCATCGCCATCTGAGGGCTCTCGCAAAGCCCCAGTGACTTCATCCTCCTGCCCAGTTGACATGGAGGACTCCGAGACATCTATTTCCACCCTACCCCCGGTCCCTGACCACTTTGCATTTGTAAGATCCCCTTACTGCTTCCACGGAACTGAAATATGTATCTGAGAATACAGAGCTGAATAGCTTCACCCACCACCGGCAGGCAGCCAAGTCTGGAAGGGAAACATAGCAGTTATTCTTAATCAGCCACGTCCTATAGATTTCCTCTCCCTTGTAAGAGGGGGAAAAAAGAGAGAGAGAGAGAGAGAGAAAACTTGGGGAAAAAAGTGTGATTCAACTTCTTCAGATTGTTTAATTGGACACATTAAAGAGACACCTGAATGAAGCATCGAACGAGACAATGGAGGAGACAGTCTACTCTGGTGAAGGAAAAAAAAGGATGAGTCACATGATAAGTAATGGCAGGGGGCCTGGGTTTTACAAGTGGAATCTTCGCATCCCTGGCTCTAGGCTCTGCTTAGCAGAAAGTTTTCTTTCTTTTTTTTTTTTTTCCTTGTACATGTCTGGGAGTTTGGTCCTAAGACACAAGATTATAGACCAGGGAGGCTGGGACGGGAGGTCTTGGGTCTGCTGCCACTTCCTACCATGGCAGCTCACTCCTGTACCAGGCTCCACGGTGCCCTGTGCCCTACTGGGACTTGGTGCTGCCAATGGTTTAGCCTCGTTTCTTGTGACCTGGTGCCTGGCTCTCACTGCTCTGTGCTACCTGTCTTTCTGAGCCCTGTCCCTGGCTGTGATGTGCCTCGTGAAGCCATCATGACACAGAATGAGACACGCACGACAGGAAGTGCCACCTCCAAGGGAAGGGGGCTTTGGGGGAGGCTCACACTGCATTCTGTGATGTAGGTAGCAAGGTCCTGCTCCAGGAGGGATCTCTGAGTCTCAGAGGCCTTCAGCTCCACCTCCTTCTGACTAAGCACAGCCTCCACCTCTGACACTCTCCGATGTAACCGGGTCATTTCCTGTTCCATCTGCAACAAACACATCGACAGGTTAAAAAGGCCCGCGGCGGCCCGCCGGGAGCAATCAAATCTCAAGCAGCCTCCCGGAAGCCATGTGGTGGCCCGGGCTACAGCTGCCTCGCCAGAGGCCAGGATGTGAGCAAATACCATTGCGTCTTCGCCCAGGAGCGCACGCTTCTTCGTAAGGACAGTCACCGAATGCTAAGTCACTCCTCTCATCCAAGTCTCGCTCCACTCGCGATCACTTCTCTACCCCAGTTAGCAAGGAAGTCACACAAGGTACCATTTGCCACTGGGGTGTGTGTGTTTTGCTTTGGCTGGGTCAGGTTTTGCAGGCGTCACTTTAATTTTATCCCAAATCCATCTTGGTCCCCCCCCATCTCCTTGCAAAGATCTAGAGGATAAATCCAGGACAGGGCAAGGAGTTACAGAAGCGTCTGTCCTCTTAGGAGTCCCAGGCAAGTAGTGCTATTAGTCTCCAAAGAGTTGCCCGCGGGCAGGAACAGTGAGTGGCGTTTAGGAGGCGTTGAGCATAACCAACAGAGCGGCCGCAGTGAGAGAGCAGGAGTGCTCAAAGACTACGAAGACAGACTTCGCATCACTCAAAGCAGATGGGGTGCATGTCGGCCACAGGAGAGGGCCCGGCCACCTGCCGGGAGGAGCACACATCTGGCTGGCTCGCGCTGAGAAACGGGCCGCTTTAAATCCAGGGCCTCCTCGGGTTAGGACTTAAAGGATTTACAGCAGAGTCAGGGCCCAAGCGAGCTCATCTCCCTCTGAGCAGCTTGGAGGCGCGACTTCGGCGAGGGAGGGGGCGCCTCGCTCGCTACAGATCAGGTGGCTCAGCGCCAGCCGTGGCCCCCGGCGGCTCCCTTGGCATAGATGGACGGGAGGATCCTGGAGCAAGGAGGGAGGCCGGCTGCGGAAATAAATACCTTGTGACACTTGTCCTGAGAGTCCTGCAGCTCTTTGCTTTTGATGAGAAGTTTCTTTTCCATGGAGCTAGCCTTGGCAGGGGAGTCCAGACTCGATACAACAGACCTAAGTAGAAGAAAGCCGGTGTCAGGGTGACCAGCGGGTAAGTGGGCCTGGCACGCACCAGTCAAACACTCCTGCAGTGGAGACCCTATCTCCGCCAGCATTCCATGGCTGCTGCTGCTGCTGCTTCTAACAGCATCAAGGCCACAAGCCAGGCAAATGGAAGGACTCTGGAAAAGAGGAGCCTCGGGTAATTTTCACTCACCATGGACAGCCTCTCCCAGCCTCAGTCTGCACATCCACACAGTGGTATGGTAATAAAAGTGCTACACTTGCTGCATGGGAGAACATGAGCACTGAACACACAACTTCGTGCCTGGCGTGCCTCTGAACACTCACTCACTCACCAGGTGTGTGCAATCTACCCCTTTTGCTCCAGAAACTCTTCCTGGTACTAGCATGCAGTAGTGAACAAGACAGATTACACCTCCACCCAGCACCCACTTTGTACTAACAATCTGTAGAAAGCAGACACATCAGCAAGAAGGTTACAGAGGAAGGTCACTTTGGGGACAAACTGAAACATGAGCATGTGATATGATGCAAGAAGTGGAGCCGAGGGGCTCGTTTTAAACAAGGCTGATCAAGAAAGCCTTCTTGGAAGGGGCAGTATTAAACCCACGATCTGAAGCATAAGATGCTGACCACACAAAGTTCTGGAAGGAAACAAATTTCAGAGAGAAGGGGGACAAATGCTGATGCTAAGGCCCTGAGGCAGGATAGAGACGACACAGCAAGGAAACAATGATTGCTGTTGCTATGCCAATCAAAGCATTGCTTGCCAGCAGCCATTGTGGTTCCTCTCATGTTATAAAAATAGCTAGTTAGTGCTGGGAATAGTGTGCCACAGCACAGTGGGTAAAGTTGGTTAGCGCTCCCATTGTTCCACTTTCAATCCAGCTCCCTGCTACCGTGCCTGGGGAAGCAACAGAAGATAGCCCAGGGCCTTAGGCCCCTGCCGCTCATCTGGGAGACTGGGGTAGATTTCTAGACTCTTGCCTTCAACCTGGCCCAACCCTGCCTATTGCAGCCATTTGGGGAGGGAATCGGTAGTTGAAAAGTTTTTCTCTCTCTTTCTCTGCCTTTCCCATAAATAAAATATTTTTTTTTTAAGAAAAAGAGAAAATAACTAATGCTTATGAGGTTAGGTCAAATAGCCCTCCCACTCCTTTCCCAAAGATGCCCACGTCCAGAGGGTTGCCACTAAACAGCCAAAGGGACTTGGCAGTCACTACTGGTCAAGGACCTCAAGGTGGGGAGATCATCCCAAGGTAATCACCAAGGCCCATGGAAATCAGAGGCGGACAGGCAGAGGAGACACACCCATGGAATGCAGGCAAGCTCTAGCAACTGGAAAACAAGGAAACAGTGCCCCAACACACACCAGCAACCTGGCCGCTGATAAATGGCTGCTCCGCAGGGAACTGGGGAGTGGCCCACAGGATGCTCTCCTCATGGAAAGGACATCTAACCCGCTCAGTGTGTACACAGTAACTCACACTCTGAGCCCTTTCCCCAGAAGTGGTTAACTACACACAGGGGTGGGTGTTCTGCTGGGGCAGGCATTGTGGAGCAGTGGGTTCAGCCGCTGCTTGCGACACTGGTACCACATACTGGAAAACCAGCTTAAGTCACACTTCTGATCGAGGTCCTTCCTGCTGATGAAGCCAGGAAACAGCAAATGATGACCCAAGCATTTGGGCTCCTATCATCTACATGGGAGACTGGGTTGGAGATACCAGGTCCTGCCTTCAGACAGGCCCAGTCCTGGCTTCTGCAGCCATTTGGGAAATGAACTAGCAGGTGGGATATTTCTCTTTTTCTCTCCCTTTCCAATAAGCACATAAAAGAAAATGAAAAAATCCTCACCCAACACCGTGCTGCTCCCTTGTTGGTTCTCTTGGTACACACCATGGGACAGGGAAGGAACAAGGCCGAGTGAAAGCACAGTGGTTTTTATGCACACAGGGACAGCCTCGCTGCCCCACAGCCCTGTACCTAGTATCTTGGTGACAGGCTGCAGGCACTGGGTGTCAGTGAGCACTGGGTCTGACCAGCAGCTGCCATGAAGGGCTCCTGGCCTGAAAGAGGTCAGTTTCCACAGCAATGTAAAACCTCTCTCCTGGGCAGCTCCTGGCCCAACAACAAGGGTGGGCATGACGGGTGTCAGCTCCCAACACTCACACTCGGGCAAGCGGGGAGCCGATTCCTGGAGGCAGCTGCTTCATCCCACACCAAGCCCACCATGCCTTGGCCTGTGCCAGCTCTGAGCCCCAGATTCCTCCCCTACACAACAGGGCTAATTCTCAATCCACTTCCTGCAGAGACAACAGGGGGCCAAGCAGGCAGAGCCCTCCCTCGGCGCAGTGCCTGGGGATCTGTGAGTGATGACGGATGTCCACCATCACTTTCATCATGTCAGGCAACATGGAGCAGCGCATACGCCTCTCAGACTGGAATGGCAGAACGCTGGGGCTGGGTGTGCTCTGCACTGTTACTCACTTGCAGACAAGTGTTGCAGAAATGGGCAGCAGGGATTGGCATCCCAAAATAGACCTTTTGGAAAAAAACCTGCACGTTTGGCTAGAAATGTTAACCAAGCTCTACACCTCTCACCATGCTGTCTTCTATCTAAATGCTTTCAGTACACACACACACCCTGTGCATACACACGTCGTCACACACAGGCACACACCCACATGTACACACACACATAAACCCACATACACCCATGCACACACATGTAGCAACGCACACTCACGCATACACCCACAAGTACCCACACATGCATCCGCATACAGATGCACACACACCCACATGCACACACATGTACCCACACATGCACCCTGCTCACTCAGCCTATTCCATGGGAGGCAAGGTGGACTGTGTAACATTCCCTTGACTTGACTGTACCCTGCCATCATTACTGACTGCGCTCTTACAGTCGGGCTAGAGAGTGAGGCTCACCCCCTAAAGGAGACAAGGACAAATCATAGACAGGGTCCCCAGCCCTCTTAACTCAATCACCTGCATTTCACGCCGTCATACGCAAGACGTACGTCATAGATGACCACTCAGCCACAGCTCTTTGTGGCCAAGCACCGACTGGCACCCGTTTAGGAGAACAACAACATGCAATGCTGTCACTCATGATGGTGGCAGGGGGAGATGTGACTTAGGAAATGGCATGACATGTGGCTGGTAAGGTGCCCGGTGTTTGAAGTATGCTGCTGCAGGAACAAAACATACTGCTGATTTGTACAAACGTGCTTCGAGGTCACTCACTCTACAGAGCCTGGCAGGCTGGAGACGTGCAGCCTCCGCCCGCCAGAGGCTAACTCCCTCATTTTGCTATTTTGATGCTGGACCAACGCTGTTAGGAAGTTCTAAGTACAACAATTAAGAGCCCTTCAGAACAAAGGCACTGAAGAAACCATTCTTTTTAGAATAAAGATCACAACTGAAAGAAAAAAAATAATAAAGCAAGCTATGGGAAGAATGTAGTGACTAAAGTTGGCTTGCAGCAGCGATTCTGTAAGCAACTAGAGCACAGGTCAAGACCAGAGGGGCGGGGCAGGCTCATCATCATGCTGTCCCCTCCTGGCCTCAGCCGGGGCTCACAGCACCAGCACCTGAAAGGTTTTACACACATGGAGAACCCCCCTACACTCCCACCCCGAGGCCAACTCAGTGTGCAACATTGGGAATACAGACCCAGGCAGCACCCTCTCTGACAAGCACCTGAGTGACTCTAACATGTAGCCAGGACTAAGATCTTGCCATTTTCAGTAAAGCTTTGACAACTTACAGGACAGGGCCCCGCATGGCAGCATAGCACAGTAAGCCACTGAAGATCCTAGGTGTTATCTGTTTTTGTGATTTCTGCCTTACTTGCTTGGCTGGGGGCTGTGTGAACTCCAGGCCTGGCAGTCTACGTGACACCCGGCAGGACACCTGGCAGAGCACTCCTCAGAAGGAGGTCCCCGGTGTGAGATAAGATTCACTGCCCTATAGCCCATCAGTTTGTACTTTTTGAAAGTTGCTTACTTTAAACCCACCAACAGAAACCTGCCAGCTTGCTCTTTAAAAAAGTTAACAGTTAAACTGACCAATCATGACTGTGTAATTACATGGAATTGGCCTGAATGTATAAGAAGCCTGTGCTGTTCAACCTCACTCTCTTTTCCTGCCCCGCTGGGCTGGGCCGGGGGTGGGGGTGGCTGGGAGGCCTAGGTTAACCTGAACAAACTGCCTTTATGCATTAGCACCGACTTCATACTCGATGATTTTCTCGGGATCTCAAAATTTGGCACAACACCACCACCTGTAACACCTGTCTCCAGTATCAGAGTGCCAGCTAAGTCCTGGCTGCTCTGTTTCCACTCCTGCTTACTGTTAATGAGCCTGGGAAAGCAGCAGAAGACGGCCTCAGTGCTTGAGCCCCTGCCACCCAATGTGCAAAACCCAGATGTTTAAGGTCCCTGCTTCAGCCTGGCCCAACTCTAGTCATTTTGGCCACTTGGAAAGTGAAATCAATGGATAGAAGATGTCTTTCTCCATTTCTGACTCTACCTTTCAACTGAGTAAATTAATTTTTAGTAGATTTTCAAGATTTATTCATTTTTATTTCAAAGGCAGATAAATGGAGAGGAGGAGAAATAGAGAGGAAGATCTTCTGTCCACTGATTCACTCCTCAAGTGACTGCCACAGCCAGAGCTGCACCGATCTGAAGCCAGGAGCCCGGACCTCCTCTGGGTCTTCCACACAAGCACAGGGTCCCCATGCCCTAGGCCATCCTCGACTGCTTTCTCAGGCCACAAGAAGGGAGCTGGAGGGAAGCAGGACCACCAAGATTAGAACTGGTGCCCATATGGGATCTCAGAGCATGCAAGGTGAGGACTTTAGCCACTAAGCTACCACGCCAGGCCAAGTAAATGATTTTTTTTAAAGAAGAAATAAGAAAACTAGTCTTCTTTGCTAAAAATAAAATAAAATAAAATAT